GCCAATGTGGGGCCGGCAGCCGCCAACCAGCAATGGCGAATTGAGCGGTGGGGCGTATCCTTCGACGGGGAAGATGAGCGAAACTCGGTGGAAGACTTTCTCTTCCGGTTGGAGTTCCTGCAGCGGCAGTGCCAATGTCCGTGGCAAGAGGTGCTCCGAAACTTCCACCTGCTGCTCACTGGGCGGGCTCGGGAGTGGTACTGGGTGCACGTGCGTCACTGCAGGGTGGACAGGTGGTCCCAGCTTCGAGCCTCGCTGATGGATAGGTTCCGATGCCATCAGACGGAGCACGATCGGATGCACCAACTTCTACAGAGGGAGCAGCAGCTCGGAGAAGGAGTTGGCGATTATATCCATGCGATGCAGCAGTTGGCGGCTCGACTGAAAAGGCCACTGTCAGAGCGGCAGCTGGTGAAGATTATTAAAAAGGGATTGAGGGAGAGCATCGCAAGGTTTGTCTACGCGATGGATGTGCTCACGGTGGATGAACTGCGGGAAGAGTGCTGCGAGGTGGAGCGCAGTTTTGGACGACGTGGACGGACCACGTACACGCAGCCGATGCGGTATCCTCTGGCGGAAAAGGCCAAGGTTAGCGAGGCGATTGGCCCAGATCCTGCTGAGGATCCTCCGTGGCAAGAGGTGGACGAAGTGCGGGCGAAGCCTAAAAATCCGTTCCGAGCCGGCTGCTGGAATTGCGGAGCCGTGGATCACGGGTTCCGTGACTGCGCAGCAACAGAACGCAGAGTGTTCTGCTACCGATGTGGGAAGCCCGACACCGTGTCTCCCAAATGTCCGGATTGTGCGGAAAACGGTCGGCTGGGCGATCCGAGGGCGGAGAGGATGCGTCCAAACAGGAGTTCCGCAGAGAAGAAGAGCTGGTAGGGTTAGATAAATGTTTACCTTCTAAAAATAGTAATAAGTTTGCATTACGATACTTACCTTATGCGGAGAGGATGCGGCGGTATCTAGAGACCAGGAACAGGATCTTCTCAGAGCACCAGTTAGGCGGGATGCGTGTGGTGTCTCGCAAGGTGCAAAAGGCCAGGGAGCGATTTCGCAAACGTCGGAACTGCCGACGCGAAGCAGTGGCCGCCGTGAGGCGCAGTTTATCGCGAGATCCCAGGCCGTTCGCCGCAGTCCGAGTTCTGACCAAGCAACTGACGGGGTTGTTGGACACTGGAGCGAGTGTGAGTCTGCTTGGAAAAGGTGGCAGAGAGCTGGTCGAGGCCTTGGATGTGCCGTCCAGAAGTACTTATCCACAGTCCGTACGGCCTCTGGAGAGGATCGGTCAATTATAGGACGGGTCAAGTTACCGGTGGAATACCGAGGACGGACAGAGCACATTCTCTTCTACTTGTGTCCTTACCTGGAGCAGCCAGCTTATTTTGGAGTTGATTTTTGGCAAGCATTCGGACTGGCCCCAGCGATTATAGGCCACATCGATTCGGAAGGCGTGAAGAAGGCCGAAGAATTACACGCCAGGGAGATGGAACACTACGCGGAAGTCGAGGATGACGATGAGGAGAAACCCGATCCCGAGTCCTGGACGCTTTCCAAGGCCGAGGAACAAGAGCTGGAGGAGATCAAGCAGCAGTTCTTGACTTTCGAGAAGGATGGCTTAGGTACCACCAGTCTGGAGAAACACACTATTGAGCTGATGGACGGAGCCAAAGTGTTCAAGGATCGACCCTATCCGATGTCTCCCGCGAAGCAGAAGGTGGTCGAGGACGAGGTCGACAAGATGCTAGCGCTCGGAGTCATCGAGGAGAGCAAAAGCCCCTGGAGTAACCGCACCACCGTAGTGTCAAGATCTGGAAAACACCGGTTCTGCTTAGACGCACGTAAGCTTAATGATGTGACCATCAAAGATGCTTACCCGTTGCCCAGCATAGAAGGCATCCTGTCCAGAATTGAGCAAACATACTACATTTCCAGCGTGGATTTGAAGTTCGCTTTTTGGCAGATTGAGTTGGACACGAGCAGCAAGGAATACACAGCCTTTACGGTTCCTGGTCGGCCTCTTTACCAGTTCCGTGTGATGCCTTTCGGACTCTGCAACGCATCACAGAGGCTGGTGAGACTCATGGACCGAGTAATTCCCGCTGAAATCCGCTCAAATGTGTTCGTCTACTTGGATGATCTGCTAATACTAGCGCCTGACATAAGAACGCACTTGAAGTATCTTCGCCGAGTCGCTGAATGCCTGAAGGAAGCAGGGTTAACCATTGGGCTGAGCAAGTCGAAGTTTTGCTTCAAGTCTTTGACCTACCTCGGCTTCATAGTGGGTGGAGGTCGTCTGCGGATGGATCCAGGGCGTGTAGCAGCTATTAGGCGGATGCCTGAGCCAAGGACCATGAAGGAAGTGAGAGCCTTTCTTGGGACCGCTGGTTGGTACCGTCGGTTCATAAAGAACTTCGCAACTTTGGCTGCCCCGCTCACGGAATCCTTGAAGAAGACGGGAAATAAGAAGTTTTCCTTGAGTCCAGAAGCACAGCTGGCAGTAGAGTCCCTGAAGATGGCCCTAACTACTGCGCCAGTGCTGGTACATGCGGACTTCAAGCGGCACTTTTTCATCCAGTGCGATGCATCCCAGATCGGAGTCGGTGCAGTGTTGTTCCAGCGGGATGAAGACGGCCAGGAACAACCAATAGCGTTCTTCTCGGCCAAGATGAATCGTCATCAAGTCCATTACTCCGTCACTGAAAAGGAATGCCTCGCAGCCCTGCTGGCGATTCGAAAGTTCCGGCCGTACGTGGAAGGAATGCCGTTCACGTGCATCACCGATCATGCCAGCTTGAAGTGGCTCATGTCCATGAAAGATCTTTCGGGTCGGCTGGCTCGGTGGTCATTGCAACTCCAGGGATATGACTTCAACATCGAACACAGGAAAGGAAGCGAGAACGTTGTGGCAGATACCCTTTCGCGTTGTGTTGAAGAGCTAACGGTGGACCCGTCAGAGTTGCTCGGCTTCGAGACCACTGAGTTTGCTGGAGAAGAGTACACGGAATTGCTACAAGAGGTGGAAAAAAACTTGGCCAACCTACCTGACTTGAGGATAGTGGATGGTCTCATCTTCAAGAGAGTCTTTTCGGCAAATCTGGATGACGAGGTGGAAGGCTTCGAATGGAAGTTGTGGATTCCCCAGAGTCTGACCCACAGCATAATTGAGCGTGCACATTCGGATCCAACGGCAGCTCATGGCGGAATGGGAAAAACTCTGGAAAACCTACGGCGGCAGTTTTACTGGCCTGGCATGGCACTGCAAGTCCGGGAGTTCATACGCAGGTGTGAAGTGTGCAAGGAGACGAAATCCCCGAATTTCCGGATGCAAGTTGGTATCGGTGAGAGAGTCCAGACTGAGCAGCCATTCCAGAAGCTGTACATCGATTTCCTGGGGAAGTATCCGAGGTCGAAGAAGGGACAGGCCTACATCTTCATTGTGGTGGATCACTTCTCCAAATACACATTTCTGAAGGCCATGCAAGAGGCATCGGCCTCCAATGTCGTGGAGTTCCTCATTCACGAGGTTTTCTACAAGTTTGGGGTTCCAGAAATTGTGCATTCGGACAACGGCCGCCAGTTTACGTCCAAGATCTTCGAGGAGGCGATGGAAAGCTTTGGCATCACGCACATCAAAACGCCAGTCCACTCTCCGCAAAGCAACGCAGCGGAAAGGGTGAACCAAAGCGTGTTGGCGGCGATCCGAAGTTACTTAGAAGAAGACCATCGAGAATGGGACGCGTATCTTCCGGAGATTGAGGTGGCCCTCCGCAACGCGGTCCATTCAGCAACTGGAGAAGCTCCGTTCTTCACCGTATTCGGACGACACATGTTCCTGAACGGAGCCAGCTACAAGTTGGCAAGGAAGTTGAAGTCGCTGTGTGATCACGAAATGTCTGGGATGAGAACAGCTGATAAACTCCAAGTGATTCATGACAAGGTGCAGAAGAACCTCGAAGATGCATACGATCGGAGTCGCCTGCGGTACGACAAAAGGGCTCGTACTTTCCTTGCGAAGCCAGGTCAGGAAGTGTATCGCCGCAACTTTGTCCCCAGCGATTTCAAAAAGGCCTTCAATGCAAAGTTTGCTCGGAAGTTCCTAAAAGCTCGGGTGGTCAGGACAGTCGGCAATAATGCGTACGAGCTTGAAGATCTTCAAGGACGACCGATCGGAGTATACCATGCCAAGGACATTAGGTTGTGATCTGGAAAGAGGAATAACAAAGTACACGAGCTCAGAATCGGCATGTGTCTACTTCCCGTAAAGCGTGGGCCCCGCGTTGGACACCGTTGGAACTGCATCTTGGCATCGAGGCCGGCGGAATCCGAATAGTCCTAATCCAAATGCTCCCAAGTATTCCTGCGCTAGCCTAAAACTCTGTGTTAGCGTCTCTCGGAATCCAGGGTGGTGTTGCATTTTCAGTTGAAGCCGTCGGGAAAATACTGAAACGAACCGATACGTCAGCAGGTTCCGCTATCGATAAGATTTGGTGGTGACACCGACTATTGATAGCGGGAGAGGATCTAGCTATTTAAATTTAGCCCGGTTCGCTCGTTAACTGGGTTTGATGGCCTTGAATACGTTCGCTGACCCATTTTGAGAGAGCGGGAGGGAACATGGCGAGCGACTTTGGTGTAGGTCAGGGTTTTGCTTTAGTTGCTGCAAGAAGTAGTGGGAGAACGGTCAGAAAAAAAGACCAAAAATTTAAGTTCGTGATTAGTGTTTGAATAACTCAAAGTGAGTGTTTATTTATTAGTCCGGAACTTGTAAATTACAGTGGTTTTTTTTACATTGAAGCCGCCGGGGACCCTAACTAAAGGGCCCCGGAAATTTAAACATTTGGGAAGTGAAATCTTACCAGGCGGACCTAACCTGGTCGTCGACCACCTGCCGCAGCAGCATCAGCAGCAGCAACATCAGCCGCAGCAGCATCAGCAGCAGCATAGGCCGCAGCAGCATCAGCAGCAGCATAAGCCGCAGCAGCATCAGCAGCAGCAACATCAGCCGCAGCAGCATTGGCCGCAGCAGCAGCGATCAGTAGCAGCAGCAGCAGCCTCAAGCGGCAGCAGCTACAGCGACTGCCGCCAAGACGGCCAGATACGGAGATTCCCTCGGTGAGTCCGTTCCGGGAACGTATGCCCGCGCTGGCCACGTGGTCATCTCCGAGTCCACCGACGCCCTGCTTCCGGCCACGCTACGCTGTCCTCCGGACCAACTGGCTCCGTGCGGACTCGCGCTGGGTTTTCGCCATCAGCGTTTTCCCTGCTGCAGCTTCAACACATACGACGTTGAACTCTGAAATAAATTAGTTTTAGTTATTGTTTTGTGATAGCATATAGTCAAGATTGTAAAGTACTTACTGTGAAATCTAATCTAAATTTTGAGGCTCAAGCCCGAACCCTAGCCCGCGTCCAACTATATCTAAATTGGGTCGCGAAATTTAATAACTTGTGGGATTTGTTTAGCGTACTTACCTTGTCAGCACGTCCCTTCTTTTCCCTTGGAGCTCCTCAGGATTAGGCGACCCGGTTGGCAAACGCCACCAATTTAGTGCCGTGTGGCGAGTTTGCCGGACACTTTGTACTCTAAGCGTCTAAAAATTTCCCTTGTAGTTGTTTCCGCTTTGACCGCTTCTCATCTGGGCGACGGTCTGAGATCGGCCTTAAAGTTTCTAACGAAAAGAATAGATTATCAGTAGGAATCTGTAATGAATGTATTTACTTGTTAATCTCACCAAGAATTAAATGTAAACAAGCTACCGAGAGGGTTGTGTGAGTTACCTTGGGCGGGGAGATGAGCCGATCCTAATCCACCAGGAATAGACTCCGGTCTGCCGGAGATGGGGTGTGCCTCCCACATCTCTCTTGGGGCACCCAAGGTTGGGTGGGTGCGTCGTGGCAAGGACATCGAAGCCACCAATTTCGTCGAATTGTCTCAGTTGCTTAATGTAAACATAGTTTTGTTTGTTTTGATTTGTGCTAGAGATGGTAAATCGACGTGAGACGTCCGATGAGTCGGAATCGATTGTTCGGACTGCAGGGCATAGGGGGTACTCCGCCCTGGGACTCCGTGGCTAGCCGGCGCTGCCCTCCGGGAAAGATGCAGTTCCGTAACATGGTAATTGCTTACACTAATGACTAGGCTTAATTTAATTTCAAATCGTGTTTTAACACGAAGTGAAGTAATTGTTGGGTAGGTATAGAAAGTTTTCTCCAATTTCGATTGCTCAGCAGAGCTGACAACACATCGATAGTGTATCCATCGATAGTTTTGTAAGTACATTTTGTAGCAAAGAATATAATTAAAGTTTACACTATTGGTGTAAAATAAAAACCAAAGACATTAACATTATTTGTAGTCGATTTTTGAGACATGAAATGGAAAGCAAAAAAAACTTTTTCTCACCATTCCATTGCGATAGTCTTGAGCCAATCGATAGTCCCTCCGGTCATTGCCCAATTATCGATACTATCGACAACTTTGACAGCTCTAAACAAAAGAAAAAGAAAAAAAATTACGGCAGGATTGCGAGCAATATTCGATTTATCCGTTCGCAGCAGCATTGAGACGCCCCCGGAAAGCCAACTAAGGCGGAGTCCAGTCCGGAGTTGCAGTGTATCCTTGCAGCGGATCCGCAGCAGTGCCTCCTGTCCCACGGCCACAGCTTTCCCCGCAGAAAAAGCAGCAGCAGTAGCAGCGACTCTGCCCCTTCGTCCGCCCCCAACCCCCACGCCCCCCAAGGCCCCGCCCGCCGACCACGCCACGCCCCCCCGCTGTACCGCCCACACAACCCCGCCCCCTTGCCAGCGCCAGCAGCACGGCAGGCTTAATCAGCAAATAAACAAAATAAACGAAAACGAATACGAAAACGGAAGCGAAGAGACGACGAAGACGAAGGGCACGAGCTCCTCCTGTGAGTAATCCGGAAGCTGGAGCAGCAGAAGCGTGGATCCTCATCCATCCGGCGGCTGAGCGATGCAGTATAGGCCACCATGGGTTCGCAGACCTTGGAGATATTGCGCCAGGGCGTGTGGGCCTCGCTGACCGGCGGCTACTTCTACGATCCGCACCAAGGTGTCTTCTGCAACGTGGTGCACCTCTACCTGTGGCTCTACCTGCTCTGCTCGCCTTTCGTGGCCTATCTGGTGAGTAGTGAGTAGCTACAGCTAGCTCCTGATCTGTATATCATACATATAGGTGGGCCTTTCTAATCTCCACCCGATATTTTAGTACTTTCCGAGCACTTGGTTGACATGGTGCCTGTACTGCGTGATAACCAGCCTGACCATTCTGATGGTGAAGCTGGCCAATCTGGCGCTGCACCGGCTGTACGATCGCGCCCAGACCATGTCCGAGGTGAACCTCAAGGGACAGTTTTTCAAGGTTACCAAGGAGACGGAGCCGCGCCACGACGACGAGGGCGGCATCGAGATGAAGGTCATCCGGCCGGGCGGCTCACGAATCTCCGTGGAGCAGGCCATCAACGAGGCCAGCGAAGAGAACAGCATCATGTCCATCGACAATGTGAACAGCATCATTGGTGAGTTGCGCTTCTTGTCCTAATAAGTGCTTCTTGTCCTAATCCCTGATCCCTAATCCATTCGGCCACGGCAGATCTCAAGGTCGATGTGCATCGCAAGAACAGCTCTGAATCCATCGAGCTGATGTTCTACGCCCCCTCCATGTTGTCCGGCGGCAGCCAGCAGGATCAGCAATCGCTGGCCGGTTCTGCCAGCGTCAGCAAGTCCATCCGGAGCACGGGGCCGGGCGGCAACTCCTCCACCAGCGCCGCCGCCCAGGCGGATTTGTTCAACAAGTACCTCACCGTCTATCCGGAGGTTGTGGAGGCGGCCGGGAGCAGTGCGGGCAGCGCCGACGGTGGCAGCAGCGGCGGCGATAGCCGCTCCGGCGGAGCAGTGGGTGCACTGTGTCCCGCGGGAGCGGGAACAGCGTCCGTACATCACGTCCGCACGGGCCATCTGTCGCGCAAGTGCTCCGAGGTCTTTAGCCGCCGACAGCGACGACGTTTGGAGCGCCAGAGCAGCCTGGACACGGCGGCAGCCGCTGCCAACAGCTGCAGCGTGGAGCACAAGCTGATGCGCAACCAGTCGGACACGATAGCCACGGCCGCGCCATCGTTCCTGCACTCCCAGCCGACGAACAAGGCGCGCCAGAGCCAGGCCAATCCGCGCCAGCACTTCATAGCCAGCACCCCGTCGTCGGGGGGAGATGCATCCTCCTCCTCAACCGCCGTCGTGGTCATCGCCCCCGCCTCCGCCTCGAATCCTGCGGCCAACCCCGGACGCTCCTCGCGTCTGCAGCGCCACAGAAGCTCGGAGACGCACGACGAGCGGCAGAAGCACCAGAGTCGCGGCGGTCTCTTTCAGCCCATCCTACACCTGCCGCATCACAGTGCGGCCAGCAGCATTGGGGCGCTGGCGGTGATCGGCGGCGGCGGCAGCAGTGGCGGCGCCAACGACGTAGAGGACATGGAACTGGGTCTGGCCAGGAACGCGGGCAGCGGCGGCGTGGCCGACGCATGCAGCCGGGCACTGCAGTCCTGGATATTAGGTGAGCTAACCAGAGGAAACCGACTCCCAGTTGGAGTTATTATTATTATCTTTCTGTTGTCAACGCAGATCCCTTCCCGGATGTGTACCTGGAGGACGATAGCTACACCAAATCAGATCTGGGCATCGAGCAGCCCCACCAGCCGACTTTCCGCGCCCAGCATCACCATCATCACCACCACCAGCACCACCTGCATCATCACCTGGGCGGAGCGATCATCCGCAAGGATCCGACGAGCACAATGTCTGCCCTTCAGCTGGCAGGAGGCGCTCCGCCGTCAGCGGGAGGATCGGGAGCAGGCGGCAGTGGCGGAGGAGGAGCAGCAGCAGCAGGAGGAGGTGGCGGCTCTGCTGCCGGGATGAAGCGACGCAGACATTCCAACGCCACCAGCTACAAACACGGCTCCTCGGGTCAGGGCAACAAGAACTCTCTGGTGAGTGGAGGCGGAGGCGGATCCAGAGGCCCCACCGGCGAGGCGGGGACACCAAGTGGAGGAGTGGGAGGAGCTGGCGGAGTGAGGCGCATCAAGAGCGCCGCCTTAGAGGTACTCTGCCCGCAGCCATCGGTGTCCAATCTCAGTCCGCATCCGAACAGCGTGGAGGCCATCTCGGGGCAGCATCAGATGCGCAATCCCCTGCCCCCGCCCAGCAAAAGTCTGGTGCGGAACCAGCACCTCAATCTTTATCCCACGCAGGGCTTTGGCGACGCCAATCATCATCCCACCGCCGGAGGAGGAGGCGGAGGAGGACAGCCTGTGGGCGGCAGCACCTGCAGCAGCCTGTTCTTCGGCAGCTCCAGTGCCTGCGGCTCCACAACGGCCCTGATTGAGCCGCCAGTGTATCCCATAGTGGAGCACTCGGACGAGAGGACGGCCCACGAGGGCATTTGCCTGGGCATTGGCCAGGGCAACGCCGACGATGACGACGAGGTGGACGATGTGCCGATCCGGAGGAGGACGAGGGCCCTGGGTTGCAGCCAAACGCACTACAGCGCCGAGTCGGATGTGGGTGGTTTTCTGGCCGACGACGATGCCGCCGATGAGGATGTGTTCAAGGACTTCGACGACAACCTCGATCACATCCTGAGCGAGATGCAGCAGGAGCACAATCAGCTGGACGACGTCCTCAAAAGCCACGATCTCCATCTCCACTCGCAGCTGCAGCTGCACCATCACCATCACCACAAAAAAGCACCAGTGGAGGGTGTGGGATCATCCGCAGGAGTCGTGCCAGCAGGCGGCGGTAATGAGGACGACGACGAGGAGACGGAGGACAACAACACGGGCTCGCGATCTCCGCTGCTCAGCGATCGCAATCGCCAGCAGGCGACGCTGCGCGACATCCAGGCGGACCAGCAACTGCGCCAGGAGCTCTCCCACCAGTCCAGTGCGGCCCCCGTCGCCCCCAACGCTCCCATGCCGATGCCCATTCGCAGCGAAGCGGACTCGGGCTGCCCGTCCAGCGACTGTGAGCAGGTGAGCGCCAGCTCCAAGGATCAGCTGCTGTCCGGAATGGAGTCGGAGCAGAGGCTGCACCAGCACCAGCAAGCGCCGAGGTGCCAACTGGACGAGGAGCAGCCCTGCACATCGAAAATGGCGGCCAAGAGCCTGGGCGCCATTCCGAAGGTGGTCAAGTACCGGGAGGTGGACGAACTGAGGCGGCGAAGGAGAGGCGGCTCCCCGGCGGATGCCGCCGAGCTGGGCAACGAGTTCGCCCTGGTCAAGCAGACGCAGACCGGCAAGCTGGCCTCGCGCAACTCCTCCTCCTCGAACTCGACGCACAGCATCAGCCTGACCGACAGCCTGACGGCCGACATCCACAAGATGCTCTGGCTGATGCACGGCGGGGCGGTGGACGAGCGCGGCCGTCCCATCACGGGCATCTCGGCGGACGGCACTCCCATCCCGGCGAGCAGCAGCCTCGTGCCGCCGAACATGTCCAACGCACACTTCCAGTTCTACCAGGACGCCATCCAGGCGCTGCAGGGTGCCCATCCCACCACCGCCGGCTCCAGTGTGGAGCACATGACGAACATCGAGCGGGCCCTGGCCCGCGACAAGCTGCGTCTCGATGCCAAGCTGATGTGCGAGCAGCTGGCCGCCGCGGCGGAGGCCAACTCGGGCGGAGCTGGAGTTGGAGTGCGGGGCAGCACGCTGGCCAGCCAGCAGATGACGCAACAGCAGGTGGGCATGCTGATGCGCGGCAGCTCCGGCTCGCGGCATCCGTCCAGTGCTCCCTTTTCGGTGCAGGGACTGATCAATGTGATCCGCAACGAGCGCCAGGTGGCGCGCAGCCAGTTGGACGCACTGCAGCAGCTCAGTGATGCGGCCGCTGCGGTGGCGGCCAATGCCAGTGAAGCTGCCTCCGTTTCGGCCTCGGGAATCGGCGGAGGAGGTGGAGGAGGAGGCGGTGCATCAAGCGGCGGCGGCGGAGGAGTATTGAGCGCCCTGGGCCTGGCCAATCACCCCAGCAACCAGATCAGTCAGATCAGTCAAATCAGCCAGATGAGCCAGCCCATGCTGAATGTGGACGGGCACTTTGCGCCGTACTGCGACTACTGGCGGCCCGCCTGTCACCTGTCGGCGGCGGAGAAGCCAGTTGTGCCCAAGAGCTTCTACAAGTACCGATTCCAGTGGTGCGGCCAGGAGCACGAGTTCAAGATCGCCATGGACCGGCTGGAGCTGCTGGCCCTGTTCGACCGCGACCTCCACTGGCTGCACGTCCTGCTGGCCAGCCTGCTGTGCACGCTGGTGGCCTGCCTGGGAGCGGCCATCCTGCAGCACGACCACTACAAGGACCTGTGCGCCCTGCTCTTCTGCGCGGTGATTGCCGGAGCGCAGTACTCGCTGGTGAAGAGTGTCCAGCCGGACGCGGCGTCGCCGGTGCACGGATTCAACAAGACGGTGGCCTACTCGCGGGCCATCTACTTCTGCCTGGGCGGCGGCATGCTGCTGCTGCTCAAGCGCCTGGACACGGACTACGGGGAGAGACCGCCGGACCCGGTCGTCTTCTTCGGCCTGCGCTACTCGCCCGCCGACGTGGTGGCCCTGCTGCTCCATGCCCTCTACATCCTGCTGCTGTGCTTCCCCATCATCTTCTCGGTGGGACTGTGTCCGCAAATCAACACGTTCCTTATGTACCTGCTGGAGCAGATCGACATGCATGTCTTTGGAGGCAATGCTGCCAGCAGTCTGTTGGGTACGTCCGCCCCTCACCATCTCACCATCTCGACTTCTAGTTTCTCATTTCCTTTCATCTCATTACTTACATTTGCAGGTTCCTTTTTGTGCGTGGTGAGATCGGTGCTGGCCGTGATGCTGCTCTACGGACCGCTCTACGGAGCGCTGGACGAGCAGCGGGGCACGCAGTACATCCTGTTCTCCATCTTCTGCGCCATGCTGGTGCCGCTGGGCTACCACCTGTCGCGCTGTGCCAGCGACTTCAGCCATCTGTGGCGGCTGATCAAGACCTGCATTGTGAGCACGTATCGGGACGACGAGGACGAGGAGCTCAGCCATGTGCAGCAGGTGGCGACGACGGCGGCGACGACGGCGACGACGGCAGCGGGCACAGTAACCAGATTGGCCACCAGCACGCCCAAGCAGCGCAGGCAGGCGCCGGATTCGAAGGCGGAGCAACAGGAGCAGATCGAGCTGAGCTCGCTGGAGAAGCTGGCCGCCAACGAGGAGCAGCCCGCCGACGATCAACTGGAAGCGGAGCCGCAAGATGTGCCCCTGCAGCAGCAGCAGAAGCACAGCAAGTCGAAGGCCTCGTCGCTGGGCAGCAGCCAGCAAACCCTGGGCAAGACCATCAGCAGCAGCAAGCGGGCCATCACGGCCTCCAGCTCGTGCACCTCCATCGGGGCGGCGGCGGGAGAGGGGGTCGTGGCGATGGCGGTGGCGGTGGCGACGGAGGACCAGTCTGGCGGCGACCTGCTGGCCAGCGAGGAGGCAGCGGAGGCCTACGACCAAGCGGCCAAAGCCGAGGAGGCCGACGACGACAAGATATCCAGCTCATCGGCCACCAATCCCGGGGACATGTCCACGGTGACGGCGGGAGCGGGCACGGCCACCACAGACGCCACGCCTGCCTGCCTGGAGGCCGATCCGGATGTGGATGGCGAAACTCCAGCTGCCGATGAGAAGCAGCAGCAGCAGGGAACGGGCACTGGAACTGGAACGGGAACGGGAACCACCGAAGCCAGTGAGAACAGCAGTAGTGGTGGCGGAGGCAACGAAAACGCCAACGGGAGCGGTGCCTCCAACGATCTGCCCGATCCGCTGCCCCGAAAGCTGCAGGCCACCGTGACCACGAGGCTGAAGAACGACCTAGTGGTGATGACCCTGCTGGCGGTCAGTGTGCTGGGGCTGCACTGCAGCACCGTGTTCACCGCCCTGCAGCCGGACCTCAACGTGGTGCTCTACTCGTTCATCGGCGTGCTCGGCCTCCTGCTGCACTACATTGTGCCCCAGATGAGGAAGCACATGCCCTGGCTCTGCTTCGCCCGCCCGCTGCTCCGGCAGCGCGAATTCGGCCAGTTCGAGGTGCTCAACGCCCCCAAGATCATGTGGTTCGAGAAGCTGTACATCTACCTGAGTGTCCTGGAGCGGAACGTGCTCTTCCCGCTGCTGGCCATCTCCTCGCTGACGGCGGACTCGCAGCTGATTGTGGCCAAGTTTGGGCTGCCCTGGGGCACCCTCATTGTGGCCATTTGCGCCCTAAAATGTGAGTCATCCATGGATTGGCAATACTACTATGTGCACAACTGCGGCCAAAATAATAGTTTCTCTTTGGTTTGTGGAAAGGGCAAAAGAAAATAGTTTAACCGCCTCTTTTGAAAACTTTTTTATTTTTAAAATGTTGAAAACCCTGAAATAGGCATTTTTTTGAAATATTTTCAAAATGCTTTGAGTGAACATATTTTTTCAATTTTTAAAATGGATTAGTTAGAGTTAGCACTAGATAGGCATGTGAATTGAAAGTAGAAATGTTCTTCTATTATGGAACACTAATTTGTTTTACTATTTTTATTACCGCAACTGTGCGTCTTCTCTCTTGCTCACTTTCACGCTTATTCCAATCTACCCCTCTCTCTCTCTCTCTCTGTCTATTGTTCAGTTGTGAGGAACGCCTACTCGGATCCGACCAACCAGTACCTGATCATCATCTTTACGGTCCTGCTGTTCCGCATCGACTTCGCCATGGCCACGGAGACCTTCATCATTGACTACTTCTTCGTGTCGCTGGCCTTCCGCAAGTGCTGCGACTTCCTGCTGAAGGTGAGTGCTCCTCCAGTTGATCCCCGCCATCTAGATGGTAACCGAAGCTCCCAATTCCACTTGCAGCTCCAGTTCATTGTGACCTACATTGCGCCGTGGCAAATAACGTGGGGCTCCGCCTTCCACGCCTTCGCCCAGCCCTTCAGTGTGCCCCACTCGGCCATGCTGTTCCTGCAGGCGGGCATCTCCGCCCTGCTCTCCACGCCGCTCAATCCCTTCCTGGGCAGCGCCATCTTCCTCACCTCGTACGTGCGGCCCATCAAGTTCTGGGAGCGGGACTACAACACGCGCCGCATCGACCACTCGAACACGCGGCTCAGCTCGCAGCTGGAGCGCGACTTGGGTGCGGACGACAACAACCTGAACAGCATATTCTACGAGCACCTCACCCGCTCCCTGCAGCACTCGTTGTGCGGGGATCTGCTGATGGGTCGCTGGGGAAACGTCAATCAGGGCGACTGTTTCGGTAAGCCTAAAAATCCAAAATCCAGCTCCTTATGTTGTTGTACTCCAATAGCGATGTTCTTTCAGTGCTTGCCTCCGACGATCTCAACTGCCTGGTGCACATCATCGAGCTGGGCAACGGGCTGTGCACGTTCCAGATGCGCGGCCTGGAGTTCCGCGGCACCTACTGCCAGCAGCGCGAGGTGGAGGCCATCACCGAGGACGTGGAGGACAACGACGGCTGCTGCTGCTGCGATCCGGGCCACCTGCCGCGCCTGCTCAGCGCCAACGCCATGTTCTCCACCCGCTGGCTGGCCTGGCAGGTGGTCGCCGCCCAGTACGTCATCGAGGGCTACTCCATTTCGGACAACCTGGCCAGTGCCACGCTGCAGGTGTTCGAGTACCGCAAGGTGCTCATCACCTACTACATTAAGGTGCCTTTCTTTTTTGTTTGCCTTAATACGGGCTATCCGCAAGCTAATCCCGCTTATCCCGCTTTTGCAGAGCATCATCTACTATGTGGTGAGGAACCCCAAGCTGGAGCAGTGGCTGGCCTCCGGGCCCATCCAGGATGCCCTGCAGCACACGCTGGGCCGCCAGTTCGTTGACCTGGACCCCATTTTCAATTTCAACCTGGACGAGGACTTCGACTTCCGCGCCGTGGGCATCACGCGGTCCAGTTTCTGCTATGTGTACCTCAAGTGGATCAACTACTGCGTGGACATGCGCAAGGATGCTGCCTCCATGGGGGCAGCCACAACTGCTCCGGCTCCCGCGGCTTCTGCTGCTGCTCCAGCGCCGCCGCCGCCGCAGTCGACGTCGTCGGTGGCTCCAGTGACGCCCGCCCACAATGACTCCAAGAGCACGCCCAATCTGTCGGCGCACGGCGGATCCACTGGTCCCGCTTCGGGTCAGTCCAAGTCGCAGTCGCAGCAGCAGTTGCGCCGGCCGCCCAAGGGTGTGGCCCAGGAGAACAGCAGCATCGGCGGTGGCGGTGGCGGCGGCGGAGGAGGAGGAGGAGGAGGAGGTGTTGCCACTGGCGGCACAGGAGGACCAGCGGGGCCAGGAGGAGGCACAGGCACCACCGGGGGCGGAGATCCACAGCTGAGCAGCTCGCACAGCTTTGCCAACATATCGCGCCAAACGTCGGAGAGTGCACCCGGCCTGGGTGGCTATGTGACCTACATGGATCAAAACGTGTTCGTGAAGCTGGCCAAGAGCAGCACTACCACGGCTGCAGGAGGAGCTGCAGCCGGTCGAAAGGAGAGCCAAGAGAAGCCCGCACTGCGGCTGAAGCTGGCCAGCAGCGTGGGCAAGGATGCACCGCTGGTTTCCCTGTGCCTGGCCCTCGGACTGCTGGCCCGGCGTTCGCTGGCCACCGCCTCGCACAGTTCGCTGACCGGCGTGGAGTTCTTCCTGCACGGCCTGCATGCCCTGTTCAAGGGCGACTTCCGGATCACCTCGCCACGTGACGAATGGGTCTTCGCGGACATGGAGCTGCTGCACTCGGTGGTGGCGCCGGCCGTCAAGATGGCCCTCAAGCTGCAGCAGGACCACATAACCAATCCGGACGAGTTCCTCGACCCGCACGCCCTGTACGAGGCCATCGACAACTGCTCCAGCGAGCTGGTCATCTCGCACGAGGCCGATCCCGTGTGGCGCAGTGCCGTGCTGCGCGGAGCGCCCAATCTGCTGGCCCTGCGACACGTAATGGAGGACGGCTCGGACGAGTACCGCATCATCCGGCTGACGAAGCGCTGCCTCAGCTTCCGGGTGATCAAGCTCAACCGCGAGTGCGTCCGCGGCCTGTGGGCGGGGCAGCAGCAGGAGCTGATCTACCTGCGTAACCGCAATCCGGAGCGCGGCAGCATCCAGAACGCCAAGCAGGCGCTGCGCAACATCATCAACTCCAGCTGCGACCAGCCGATCGGCTACCCCATCTACGTGTCCCCGCTGACCACCTCCTATGCGGACACCAATGCCCAGTTGTGCGAGGTCATTGGCGGCGCCATCACGCTGGACACCATCCGGCACACGGTGCTGGGCTGGTGGCACCGCATCCGGGAGCGCTGTCGCCAGGGCTGCAGCTCGGGTTCGGCCCTGGAGCCGCATCCCGGTGCGGGACTGGGATCCGGCCCGGGTGTTCTTCTGGGCGCCTGCAACTTCGGCAGCGGCGGCAGCGTCGTGGGAGCCGCGTCCACGGCCACGGGCGTGGGTGCCTCGGCGGGATCTGGCCTGGGTGGAGGCGCTCCCGGCACCGCCAGCAGCACGGGCGGCGAGTCGGGAGACCTGGCGCCCGTCTTCATCTCCGCCCCGCTGTACAACACCCTCACCGTCAACCAGTACTACAATGTGCGCCCGGGAGGAGCCATTCCCGGCGGAGCCATGCCCGCCAACCTGGGCGGCAGCTATGTGAGCGACAGTTTGGCGGTGGTGCGCGGCGGCCTGGCCGTGATGCCCGTGAAGCCCACCTCCACAACTCTGATTGCCGGACTGCTGAACAGAGAGCGGGATCAGGAAACTTCGGGATCCGGCGTGGGAGGAGCATCCAGAGCTACCGGCAGTGGCGGCGTGCGCAATCGTAGCCAGCTGCACCAGCAGCAGCAGCAGATGGGCGGCGGCAGTCGGGGCAGAGATCACGAGCGCAGGGCCACCCTGCCCATTGGCGCCGAGTCTGGCAAGGATCTGGCCACGCCGCAGACCCAGGTGGAGCACGAGCCAAGTCCGCGCAGCACCAAGCTCTCCTCCTCGTCGGGCAGCCTGGGTCTTGGAATGGGCGTGGGCATGGGCATGGGCATGGGCCTGGGCAACATCATCACCACGCCAGGAGACTATCCACGCAAGACCAAGGGACCCATTTGCCTCGCCGCCATGGAAACGGGAACGGCGGAGGCAAAGCCCGCCGGATCGGGAGCAGCAGGAGTGGTCGAAAGAGCAGGAACAGCTGGAACTAGTGGAACTGCCACCGTCATCAGGAAGCCGCGCATTGAGATCTTCAAGAAGGTCATCATAGTGGATGACACTGGGGTGAGTAGAGACAGCTTAAGGGGGGGATCCTCATCAGTTGCTCACATACAAAGGTGGTTTTTTTTAAGGATTAAAATTACATTTTTATTTAAATTAAAGAGAAAAAAAGAATTTAACCGATAAAACCCCTCTAAATAAATAAATTTTCTAAATCACAGAATTAATCATGAATGAATCTCTCCGAATTGCAGATCTACGACTGCCTGGACATCATCGATGCCGTTGTGTGGCCCAGCGAACGGATGCGCAACAATGGCGGGCGGCTTTCGTGGAAGGATTGGGAGCCGAATGCCGGCATGGTGGGCCATGTGGTCCACTGCTGGACGCCCAACCACAAGGACGTGCGCTTCCGATCGCATGTCAACCGCTATGTGTACCTGGTGGAGATCGGCGACCACTACGTGCCCGTGGAGGAGCTGGGCCTGCGGGAGTACAACCAAATCATGGGCAGCACCGAGGAGATGGCCAACTCGCGGCGCAGCTCCATCCAGCGCGAGTTCCACGAGTACAACATGCAGCTGAAGCTGGCCGGGCTCACTCCGATTATTGGAGGTGGAGGCGGAAGTGGAGGTGGTGGATCCTCCACGGCGACAGCCAGTGCCTGCGACGCCTCCAAATCGCACAAGGCCAAGATCCGAGCTGTGAGCAGCAGTAGCTCCGAGGACGAGGACACCTCCTCCACGCGGTCCATACCCTTGTCGCATGGCGATCCCGGCGATCTGCCCAACTTCACCCGGCTGATGAGCATGTGGAAGGAGATAATATCGGACAACAAGCGGCGCTTCTACGATATGGGTGAGTTATCGCCGGAACTGCTCCGAAAGCTGGACGATGCGGTCCAGCAGCAGGAGCAACAGGACCAGGAGCAACAGGAGACGCCTGGAGAGACGGAGGAGGAGCAGAAGGCCACCACCCCAGCCACACCAACAGCCATAGTCACTGCCAATGAAGAAAAGGAAATGGAGAAGGAAATGGAAATGGAAGTGGAAACGGAGCCAAATCAGGAAGAGGCTCCACTGGAGGAGGTAACCGTTTCCAAGCCCGAGGAGCAGCCAGCTCCGCCCACACCGCCGCCCAGTCCCGTGCCCACTTTCAGTGAAAGCTCGCCAAGCTCACCCTCCCTCAGCCAAGAAGAGGAACAGGAGGAAAAGGAGGAGCAGGAGGAGGCAGTGCATCCAGACGAGGAGACACCCGCAGTGGCCTCCAAGGAAGAGCGGGACGTGGATGAGCAGCCACCTGGCGATGGCAATGACAACAGCGAGACGACGGGGACAACGGTCTAAGGGATCACGATCGCCATGGACCTGCCTTTACATTGATTTGCATTTGTTTGCCAAGCAAACACACCAAACGACCCAACAAATAAATGGCATGGACAAAGGCACACACACCCAAATGGACATGATGGACACAACCACAACCACAACCTTGTAATACATATCAGCAAAGAGCAGAGATGAGAGGGCTTCCTTGCATGGGTGCATGGGTGTGGCCCATTTATATCCGAACACCGAGATCCTGGCCAGAAAAACCAACAGCAACAACAAGAACAACAAATGAGAAACACTTCCAAGAAATCAAAGTAAAGTTTATAAAACGACTGCGTTTAGTGTATGCATAGAAATTAGGACAAAAACTACAATAATTCAGACAACAACAACAAAAAACAAAAACAAAAACAAACAAAGAATTCAATTTTTAGTATTAATGAAAAGTTATAGATCATACTCAATATATAGGAAAAAAAGAGCGCAAATCGAGAGCAGAGGAAGATTTTGGACGGGAGGAGATCATAAGATCATAAGATATCTAAACTAATTGTTGTAACTTGCGAATTGTATAATACGGAAACGGAAACAGAAAACCAAATGCTTCTCAAACATTACCTATTTTGTTCTTTCTCCTCTTGTTAGCCAATACAGAAATATTAAGCGAACCTAAAGAATTTATAAATGTATATTTAACGGAAATTAGTTTAAAGTTAATGTTAATGAGTCCCACACACACACACACACATACAACACTCAACACACAGACACAAAACATACCAAAATTGATTGTTAAAGAGTACAGAAAAGATACAAAAACCCGCATACAATTAGCCTAAGCGATAAGCGAACTTCGGACAGGATTCAAGTTACAAAACTAAGATATTACACACAATTCCTAGATGATTAAGAGAATGATGAGGATGAGGACGAGGATAAAGTAGAATGACGACATGTAAAGCTCTCACGTTGCCTTAATATATTAGACTGATTTTTTCTACACACACATTTGTAGACGTATGGAAGATGACATTCGAGGAGTCCCAGCCAAATTGCAAATGCCTGGGAAGGAGGAGCTGAGCTGCAGCAAACGGAGTCCTAATCCCGATCCCAATCCCAACTAGCGATTTACATGTACATAACCATAACACCATAACATATATGATGATGATGATATGATGGGAAGAGCGAAGCTAAGCGAACAAAGCTACAGTTTGTCGGCCAAACCGAATCCGATCGTTCCGTTCCGTTAGTTCGTTCGTTCGATGCGTATATAACCAAGGCATATATCAATGCTATATAGCCACATGCCCAATTAGCCAAATCTCTCATTCAAACACAGTGTGAATGCTAATTTCTCATTAACAGCAGAAGGATAAACTTACGATTAATTAACCAAGAGAGAAAACCAACAGACAACAAACCACAAACAAACAAACAAACTAAAAAATACAAAATACAAAACACAATGAATATTGATTATTTCTATGTACATATATATATGGATTGTATTAAACTTTAATCGAAACTTAGCTGTTAACAAACAAAAAACATTTGTATTCCCCCTCACTCCACTCCATTTTTTTTAGTTCCATTTAAAACAAATTTCATATTTATATTATACATAAAAAATTATATAAATATATATCAATTAAATAAATAATAAATGAAACTTGTTATACAAAAGATCAGATCCCCCCGCTCGTTAACTAGCTTCTATAGTTTCTTCTTGTCAACTGGTGGCCACAGGGGCGTCAATTGGCTGAGGGCCACGTCATAGAGAAGATTCTGATACTCCTCCAAAAGGACTACGGATATAGAAGGTGGATTTGCTATAACATAAAGATTATGAGGAAACGCCGGTGTACTTACAGTGGGGATCGCTAGTCCACTGGTCGAGCAGCGCCTGGCGGCTGTGGATCTGCTTGGTGATAAGGGCTCGCTTGAAGCGCAGCACCTTGTCGTTCATGCTGGACCAGCTCTTGATCACGGAGGCGGGCGTGGACTTCAGTTTGCCTCGGAAGTCGGCTAGCCGGGGGCACACTTGGCCATCCAACAGGAACATGCCGAAGTAACTGCGAAAGAAATAGTGTATTAATCATTAAAAAATGTATTTTGAAAATCATTTAATAATAATAATAAGGTTCAACTTCTGAAAAAAAAAATATAATTTTGTATTTAAAGCTAGATGTTTACCAATACATAAAAAATGAACAGTTTTTGTGATTTGTTTCAAGGGCCATTATTTTTTGAGTTTTACTTTTTAACTCCAAAAAAAATTATTAGTTTTTAATTTGAATTAAATTTTTCAACAATATTACATTTTTTTAGGATTGAAATACAAAAATAGCCCACTATGCCCTGTAACTGGGGGTAGCCCCTTAAGCCCTTCAAGTACCCAATGCAATATCCCAGCGACTTACCAGCAGGCCTTCTCGCTGAGCGGCATCTCCACCTCACCGAGTGGCAGCTCCCAGCCGGACTTTCCAAACGTGGCGTCCACATGGCAGTAGATCTTGCCGGAGGTGTTGTCGAACCGGGGAGCAGGATCCTCGCGCACCTCACGTATGTTGCAGAGCAGGGGAACATATAGCAGCAGCCACTCCGGCTCGATGGCGGTGATGCCGCGGATGAACATCTTGGTGGAGTCGCCGTTCTGCAGTTCGTACGCCTCCTGGTAGACCACCCAGTCGGGCGACTTCTGGCGCAGCACCGACGAGGCGTGCAGGAAGGCCGGCTCCTCCATGTCGGCACAGTGGTAGGCGTACTTCAGCCGGCGACGCTCCTCCTTGTCAGCGATGTCGGCCAGCGGCACCTTCCTGGCCACCCGGTCGCCCATGCCGGCCAGTAGAATCTGCCGCAGGAACCGCGCCTGGCCATCCGTGGGCGGCTTCAGTTCGGGATCCACGCCCAGCTCCACATCGCTCACGTTCAGGTTGATCTCGTTGGTCAGCTGCACGCGCAGCTTACGCACCTCGCTGACCGCCTTCTGGCGCAGTCCGTTGGCGGCACAGAACTCCGGCAACCGGCCTTGGGATCCGGCGTATTCGGCTGCCCCGACGGCCCGCAGCAAGACCATGGGATCCCCGAGCAGCTGGTAATTGCCACTGGCCGCCCAACTCTGGCGCTTGCGGTGGTAGCGATTGGCGCCGGGCGCCACATCCTCGTCCCGCTGCACGCCCGTCTCGATGAGCACCTCCTGGACGGAGAGGGCGGCCACCAGGCAGACGGTGTAGGGCAGCAGGTTCTGCTGGTGGGACAGGGCCAGCATCTTGCCGAAGCGCGGCGCCACCGGAAAGCGTGAGATGACCTGGCCCAAACGGGTGACAGCTGGCGGCAGGTCCAGAGTCTTCTCGGATGTGGTAGCCTGGGCCTCCAAAGCACCCAGCACGGTCAATCGCCGCTCGGCCGCCTGCAGCTGCACCTGATCCGGCGGCGATGGAAAGGGAAAGTGCACCACGCGATCGATGCCCATGCAGCGCATCTGCAGCATCAAATCCTCCACGGGCTTCCGCTGGATGTCGGGCTGGGCGAAGTCCTCGAAGCAGTCGTTGTACACGGCGCTCGAGTAGAGCCGGTAGCAATGGCCGGCGCTAATGCGACCCGCTCGTCCCGCCCGCTGATCCGCCGAGGCCTTTGACGTGTACGTCACCACAAAGGCGCTCACACCGGTCAGCTTGTCGTAGAGACGGGTCTTCTGACGGCCGCAGTCCACCACGTACTTGATGTGCGGAATGGTGAGCGAGGTCTCGGCCACATTGGTGCTGACCACGCACAGCCGGCAGCCCTCGGGCACGGGCTGGAAGATGCGGTTCTGCTTGTCCGAGGAGAGCAGCGAGTAGAGGGGCAGCACCCAAAGGGGTTGCCTCTGGCCGGAGGACTGCCCTTCCAGTCCCAGTTCCTCCTCGTTCTCGTCCTCGTCCTCCAATCCCTCCTCTAGATCCTGCTGCTCGTGCATGTCCGCCTCCGTGTCATCGCCCGGCAGCTTGTAGTCGTCCAGATTGATTTTGGGCAGCGCTATCTGGGCCAGGAACTTCTTCTTCGACTTGCGTATGTTGCGTATAGTTCGTTTCATGTCGAATTCCAGCTCCTTGGGATCCTCCACAGTTTCAGTTGTCTCGGCATCAGCACCATCCTTTGTTTCCTCCAAGGCTTCTGCGTTTTCCGCCTCCTGCTTGGCAACCGGTTGATATGGAAACGTGCGTCGCAGCTTGCGCACCAGCTGGTTTACCTCTTGCTGGCCCGTGACAAAGATCAGGATGCCGCCCTCGGGCAGCTGGTTGTGGATCTTCAGGGTCTTGCGATAGGCCTCCGCCACGTAGTCGTCGGGCGTGCGCTTCTGGAAGTGAATGGTCACCGGGAACTGGCGCGCCTCCACCTTCAGCAACGGCGGCGGAATCTTGAAGAGGCGCGTGTTCTCCGTGAAATCGGTGACACGCAATGTGGCGGACATGATGATCAGCTTGAGCGGCTGGCCACGTTTGTGGCGCAGGGGCACGATGCGCGAGAGCAGGCCCACCAGGATGTCCGTGTAGACGCTGCGCTCGTGCGCCTCGTCCAGAATGATCACCGAGTACTTGCTGAGCAGGAAGTCCGTTTCGATCTCCTTGAGCAGCACGCCATCGGTCATGAACTTGATGCGCGTGGCCGGCGTTACGTTGCCCTCGAAGCGGATGAGGTAGGACACCTCGCTCTCGGGCAGATTCATCTCGTGTGCCACGCGCTTGGACATGGCAATGGCGGCCACTCGCCGCGGCTCCGTCACCCCGATCATCTTGTGCTGCGCGTAGCCCGCCTCGTACAGGAACTGCGGCAGCTGGGTGGTCTTTCCGGAGCCCGTCTCGCCGGCCACGATCACAATGGGATTCTCGTTGATGGTCTCCATTACCTGCTGCTCCTCGGCCAGGATGGGCAGTCGCAGGCGGGCCTCCTGCACCTCCGTGGAGCGATGCACGGGCACATAAACGGTCTGGTGGACGACGCAGGCGGGTGGAGCAGGCTCTGGTTTTGACTTTTCTTTCGTTGGCGGCGGTTTCACCACGATTTTTGGTGGAGCAACGGCAACTGGTGTTGGTATGGCAGCTGGAGTGGGTTGCACTTCGTCTTCCTCATCTTCCGCGTCGTCAGAAGAGTCATCGTCCTGCTCCAAGCTCACCACATTCGGATTCCTGCGCTTGGCCTCCAGCTCTTCCTCCTCCTCGACGAGCAGCTTGCGCTTGGAGCCCTTGATGGCATTCACATTCGCTCGGTGGCCAGAGCCCGAGCCCGAGCTCTTCTCGGCCAGTGCCTGCGCCTGTCGCTCCTTCTTCTTGGCCAGATACTCATCCAGCGTGGGCAGACGCTTCAGGCCCACCGTTTGCACCTGACTGATGGAGGTGTACTGCTGCAGCTCCGTCTCCGGGATTTGCACGGCGGCCAGGTCGCCCAAGAGCTGGGCGCGCTATAAAGACACAGAAGAATCGTTTTCAGAAGCAGCTCCTATCCCGAAAATCCCTGAGTCAACCTACGCCCTCCTTCTTCTTCTTTTTGTCCACAATCGCCTGCAGGTGCTTGCGCTGCTTCTTGGTGAGGATCTTCACGTGCTGCACCTTGTCCACCTTGATCTTGGTGGCCCGCTTCCCGGAGGGCAGCACCAGGGCGTTGGCCTCATCGTATCCCGCCTGGCTGCCGCCGGCCACTGCTTCCACATCGATCTGGATCTGTATTGGGTTGGATTGGGTTAAACTGGGTGAGCATTGGTTTGTGGCAAAGGCTGAGTCTGGGTTTACCTTCTTCACGGCCGAATTGTCCACTATGGTGTGCGGATTCTGCCGCGCCTTGGCATTGTGCACTTTCTTGCCCATGTTTACTTAATTAACAATATTATTCTTAGTATAAGTAATAATATTGGGTCTTTTTGAAAACAGTAAACATCACATCACACGTGCAGAAGCGATAACAAACATATCGACGGGCTTATCGGGTTGTCAAGTGGAAACAGGTTTAAACATCGAATGTTGATTATAAGTTCCTAGCTATATCACGATAAGAACTATCGATTAATTTACTTAGTAATTTAAAATTTTGTCTTACAAGGAATATTAAGTGTATAAAATCAGGAACATACAGATAGTTGTACAAATAAAATGTTATGAACTGCCGCTTTGTTGCCAACTACAGCTATCGATAGCTAGGCAATCGATGCCTTAAGAGTTATTGACAGCTATCGATGTTTTCTATTCGATCTCTTACTACCGATTGTTATCGTAGTTTTCCTAATATCACTTTTTTTTATCAGAAAGTAAGTGTGAATTATTTGTTGTTTAGCCGCTCTTCGTGTGTCGTTCCCATCTCTTCGTCAATCCTTGAAGTCCTTGATCCCCTCCAGTCAGTTGGCGCTGCTCGCGATGGTGTCCAAGAACCAATTCCAGCAGAACCGGCCCATGCAGCCGCAGCAGTACCCACAGCCGCAGCAGCAGCAGCCGCAGCAACAGCAGTACCAGCAGTACCAGCAACAGCAGATGCAGCAGCGCAACAATCAGAACAACAACATGAACAATAATATTAACAGCAACAATGCCCGAGCAGCTGCAGCTCCGTATAGGAAGCCCTTCCGTCCGGGCAACAACAATGGCTCCGGACCCGGCGGAAATGGTAATGGTAATGGCAATGGCAATGGGAATGGTGATGGAAATGGAAATGGGAACAACCAGATGATGTTCTCCTCCAGCCAAATGCCCAGCGATCCTCTGTACATCGACTTTAACAGTCCCACTCCGGGTAACCATCAGAATCAAGGCGATGGTCTCAAGAAGAAGCCTCTAAAGGGCATCAAGCAGCAGCAGCACACCAATGCCAGCCAGCAGCAGCTGGGTAGGATGAACAACAACCAGAACAACAAGCAGATGAACCAGCAGCTGCAGCAGCAGCCCTACAACAACCATATGAACGGAGGCGACTGGCAACGCTTTCCAGGCCATAACAATCCCAACCAGAATCGCGGCGGCGGTTTCAATGGGTTCCAGCGCGGACCGCCACCGAATCGTCCGCCTGGACGCCACATGATGGGTCCGCCCATGGGCCCCATGGGTCCCGGACCAGGACCCCGTGGCCCCGGCCCAATGGGCCCGTACCCGCAGATGCCTTTCCAGCCGCCGATGCATGGAATGCGTGGACCACATCCCATGGGCGGACCACCAATGGGTGGACCACCGCTGCCGCCACCGCCGCACTTTATGCGTCGCAATGGGCCTGGTCCCGGTCCGGGTCCCATGATGGGTGGACCACCGCCGCCACCCATGCACCACATGCACATGGGTCCAAGGATGCCACCGCGCGGCATGCCGCCGGGTCCAGGACCCTTCCTCGGCGGCGGACCGATGAACATGAACGGCGGGCGGATCACGAAGCCCAATCCCAAGCTCATCAAGCAGGCGCTCAAGGGCAAGAGCAGCATCAAGACGCTGAAGAACCTGATCAACCAGTACCCCATCGACAAGCCCTGGGTCACGGACGAGATACGCGACGAGCACGCCAAGAAGGTGGACATCGAGAACCGGCTGAAGGGTCACAAGGACGATGAGCTCTTTGCCCAGTACAAGGGGCAGCGGGACAAGTTCGTGGGCCTCTACGAGGCGGCACGGGAGGAGTATCTCAAGCAGGAGGCTGCCAGCGTCAAGGCCAAGGTGAGCATATGCAGTGGATCCCCCTAGAGTCAGTCCCCCACTTTTCCCGCCCCCCCGCAGAACAGGTGTCCCATTTGAAAGTCATCCCCCTTAGGGAAGCACATCGATGGAGGGTATCGATTTGCAGCCCTAACCGAATCCGTAAACCCCAATCCCTCGATTCCCCGATCTTTGTTGCGTTTGCCAGGTAGGAGAAGAAAGCCGCAACCTGCTGCACTGCCTCCGGTTATCCGGCCATTCCGGAGTCCCTGGACAGCAGGTTGCGACCCCTTTCGTTTTTCACCTTCGGTTCCCTTGGCACAAATCAAGCTAAATCCGCAAAAGAGAAAATCTATTTGACATAGATTTACTAGATAACTACTATTCTTAATAAAATATCATAATATTAATAACAATAATTACAATAATGTATAGGCAAATATCTTGCATACATGGTTGCCACTTTGTATAAACTAATATTAATTTTTGACTTTCCAAGTGGCAAGCGTAGTTGCATCATCAAATGCACTCTTAGTAACTTAATATCCTTAATTGATTTACAACTATTTCCATATTAAACGAGCCTCAGTATTCAAGAATGTTCACGCTTTCATTTACACTTTTAATACACATAAAAATGCGCCAAATAGAAAATACTTAGTTTTCAAAAATGTTACTTCATATTAATTTTAATTTTGACTGCAAATGATTGAAATTAAGTCTGTTCTATTTGGCCAATAAGATTTTTCGAATTTCCTAGGCCTTTATTGGTAATTGAAATAAGGGAGTTTTCGAAATGCAAGTGAATGCGAGAACAGATCTGAGAGCGCTCTATTTATATACTCAAAAAAATCGCTTTTGAAACACGTTGGCAATACTCGTATTTCTTTTGCAGGATGCCAAGTCAGACAAAGACAAAAACGAAAATTCAAATCAGAGCGCCGCCCCTAAGGCCGGAAGCGCTAAAGATGCAACAATTCCAAATCCCTAGGCAGCCAATGCAACCGAAACCGAATCAAATCGAATCGAACCGAATCAAGATCAGGTCGACTCACAGAACATAACAGAAACTAAAATTTAAACGTAAAACTAACTAATTCAAAACAAAAAGTCAAGAAAAAAACAGAAAAATCAGAAAAAACAGAAAAAACAGAGAAAAGCGAGCAAGAGCAAGAGTCTGACAATTGAAGACGTATTGAACGCAAGACCCCGACTCGATATCGGCTATACATAGAGCCTTCTTCTCTCGAGGAGGTGCTTTTGTCACACGTTGCTTTTGCGACTGAGAACTGAGCTTAATAACTATAATATTGAAACAGAAAAAAAACACAAAAAACAAAAAATAAAGAACAACAACCCCAGCGATGATTATGTGGGAGATTCTTTCTAATGACAAAGATAACGATAATGAATAATGCATAACGATTCACACATTTTTAACGATGATTGTTAATTGTGACCGTAACGTAAAGTAGAGTATTGAAATGTAACCGTAACGTAACAGTTTCCCTATTCGAAAAAAACAACCATCTCTTCAATTCTAAGATGCAGCAATATCAATTATTTGTACACATAATAATACACCCTTAGCTACATATATATGCATATATATTGATATAATATATATAGATAATTAATATTAATTATTCTCTACCCGGTTGCTTGAGATATGCAGCGTTATTGGATCAGAGAGACCGGATTCCAAGCAACCGGGTATAAATCACTCTGTAAGCCTTGGATTACACCACTTGATTGTATTTTTAAATTAATTCTTAAAAATTACAAATTAAGATCACTCTGTGAACGTGTTCTCGATGGTGTGCATCTACGGATTTGTTTTTGTGTTCTTTTTTCCTGACTCCTGACTCCCGACCCCTGACCTCTGACCCTTGACCCTTAATCCCTTTTCTCCCTACCGATAGTAGATTTATTATACTCTAGATCTTGTGGACCCTCTTCCACCTGACAAGTAACCTTAAAGTAGCGAATACTAGCGAAAAAGTAGCAAGTAATTGTGGGGCCTATTACGAAACTCGAGCATAGCACCAATTTAGAACCAGTTAACAACAAACCCTCGATCAACAATAATTTCCTGGCCTTAAGTGGCAACAAAAAAATGAAAAAATAAAAAAACAAGTAACCACCCTCAGGTTAAGTTTAACGTTTACATTAAACTCAATGAGCGCCTTTAAAACATCACCAATTTCCATGCAAAACAATCAGTTAACAGCAATAACTTAACTGACTTTGAAATCAGCAGAGTTACAAATAATTCTAGGGCACAATTAAGCAACAGTAGGCCACAAGGCAAAACCTAATTGGACTTAAAGTAGGATTCCTGTAATCAGTGGGGAAACAATTAACCCTCAGGTAGCTAAACAAATAAACAAACTGGTAAATAGGGAATATTAAGACTAAATATTTTAGCATTTGGCACTTTGACCTTGCTTGTCAGGTGCCTTTGGGCCTTACTACCTTACAAAAAACTCCCAAATCCCCCTCAAGAATGAAGAATACTGCAGAATAAAGAGAGATTTCCGACAAAAACAAAAAATAAAAGCTGAGTGAAAACTTTTACTGGGGCATCATTAGGTCTAGGCCTATGGGTATTTTTCCCAGCCACTTACCCGAAAAGTTGTTGGCCCAACTAGTCAGGTAATGGCCTGGTAATCACTGGTAATCAGTATCAGCAGTATAAAAGCCACTCCTTGCAAGGGACCAACAAGTAATCCGCATCATGGTGGCGAATCAGGAGGGATTGGACACGCATAGTGCTGTATCGTACCACTGGCGTGTTTGGGAGCTCACTGGCCTGATGCGTCCGCCGGGTATTGGCCATTTGGCCTACCGGGTGTACTCGGTGGTGCTCAATTCGGTGGTCACCGTGCTGTTCCCGCTGAGCCTCCTGGCCCGGCTCCTGTTCACCACGAACATGGCCGCAATGTGCGAGAATCTGAGCATAACCATTACGGATATTGTGGCCAATTTGAAGTTTGTGAATGTCTACCTGGTGCGCTCGCAGCTCCACGAGATTCGGGTACTCCTGAGGCGAATGGATGGGCGGACCAGGAGCGTGGGCCATCCCGCCGAGCTGTCCGCTTTGAGGCGCGAGGTGGACATTGCCCAGGGCACCTTCCGCACCTTTGCCCGGATCTTCGTCTTCGGCACCATCTTGAGTTGCGTCCGGGTGGTCATTCGTCCGGATCGCGAACTCATCTTTCCGGCCTGGTTCGGCCTGGACTGGCAGCACTCCACGCGGAACTATGTGCTCATCAACCTGTACCAGCTGTTCGGCCTGATCGTGCAGGCCGTCCAGAACTGCGCCAGTGACTCCTATCCGCCGGCGTACCTCTGCCTGCTCACGGGTCACATGCGTGCCCTGGAGCTGAGGGTGCGTCGCATTGGCTACAGGATGGAGGAGGATGGCAGTTCCGGGGGAGATCTGGACTACGATGCCTGGCGCGAGGAGGTGTACGAGGAGCTGGTCGAGTGCATCCGAGATCTGATGCGCGTCCATCGGCTGCGGGAGATCATCCAGCGCATCCTGTCCGTGGCCTGCATGGCCCAGTTCGTCTGCTCCGCCGCCGTCCAGTGCACCGTGGCCATGCACTTCCTCTACATGGCCGACGACCACGACCTCACCGCCATGATCATCTCGATCGTCTTCTTCACGTCCATCACCCTGGAGGTGTTCGTCATCTGCTTCTTCGGCGACCGGATGCGGACGCAGAGCGAGGCGTTGTGCGACGCCTTCTACGCCTGCAACTGGGTGGAGCAGCTGCCCAAATTCAAGCGGGCCCTGCTCTTCACGCTCGCCAGGACCCAGCGGCCATCGCTCATCTTCGCCGGCAACTACATCGCCCTCTCGCTGGAGACCTTCGAACAGGCAAGGGATTTCATCGTTCATCCTACAATATCATTAACATAACTACATTAACTTTCCAGATCATGCGGTTCACCTACTCCACCTTCACACTTTTGCTGAGGGCCAGGTAAGTTGCAATTGGAATGGATACAAGGTGTTGTCGATACTTTTGGGAACAGGAAAATAAATGTTTTGTCATGTGTTCGTTGAATGAATTAATAGTGAATTGTAGTAAAGAATGAGCTAGTTTTACCTATAATATCACTAACAAAAACACTTATTTTTTAAAAACAATATATTTTCTTTTGTTCCTTAAATAAATCTATACCAAATAGAGTCGAAAACTCAAGGATTCAAGATTGTTTTAAATATAAAGATCTAGCTTTACCTTTAATATCACTAACTGATCACAATTTAAATTAAAAAGAGGAATGTAGTTTAAAAAGTAAAACAAATAAAATGCAAATGTTAAATGTAGTCATGATGATTTATTTAGTTGGTTTAGTCCTTGCATGTTCAAAAATCAGGCGAACTGCAAATTGGCGGGTAAAAAACAGGGGGATTCCTCCAAAGAAATGTCGTTTGCTTCGTTTCAAAAGTGAAAAAACATGGAATAACATGCTCCGCATCAGTCACCGCTGGAGCTGGTTGCCTCCGCTGGAGCAGGATCTGCTGCTGGGGATTCCGACTCGGATGCAATGGCTGCTGGAACGGGTACATCGTCCTCCGTGACGTCCTTCTGCTTCTTCCACATCTTGGCGGCGGCCAGGAGCTTGAGATTGGGCCGCGCCATCTCGTCCTCGGGGAAGATGTAGTCGAAGACCTCTTCCCAGCCCTCCTCGACGCCCTCGTCCGAGACGATCTTCTGCCGCTTCTTGATGCGCCGCGGCATCTTGTCCATCACCTTTTCCAGCGCCTGCGCGTCGGCGGCGTCTCGTTCGAAGTCGCGCCACGCCTCCAGCAGCAGGACCCGCGACTCCTTGTCGCCCAGCTGGCGCAGCATCTCGTTGGCCCGCTCGTACACCCGCCTGGCCAGCCGCACATTCAGTTCCGCATCCTGACCGCTGTCGCCGTGGCTGAGGCCCATCTCGAACTTGGCAAACGACATCCACACCTTCACGTGCTGCGTCCGCTCGAGCAGTCGCTCGTACAGCTGCCGGGCCAGCTCCGTCTCGCCCAGGGCCACCTCGAAGTCGATGTACGCCTTCCACAGCAACTCCGGCATGTCCAGGCGCGACTGCTGCACGGCCAGCTCGAAAATGGCCCGCGCCCGCTCCGTGTCGCCCAGGAGGTTCTCCAGCTCGGCGAACTTCATCCAAGTGACGCAGTTCTCGGGCCCGAACTCCAGGAACTTCTCGTACAGCAGCCGGCAGCGCTCGAACTCGCGCAGCTGGATCTCCAGGTCGATGTAGCCCCGGAAGAGCTTGTCGCGCGGACACATGCCGATGGCCAGGCCGAGGGCCTTGCGTGCCCGCTGCAACTCCTTGCAGCGGATCTCGAACTGGGCGTACAGCAGCCACAGCTTGCTGAAGGTGAACTGCTTGTGCGGTATCAGCTCCAGGCAGGTCTTGTATATCTGTCGCGTGCGCTCCGCATCCTCCGCCTCGAGCTCCTCGTACAGGGCGTAATTGATCCACAGGTAGATGTAGCGCCGCCAGAAGTTCTTCTCGTTGGCGGGCGGCACGTTCGCGATGGCCCGCTCGTATGTCTCCCGGATCTGATCCCGCTCGCCCTCGGCCTCGATCAGGCGCAGATAGTCGAACCAGGCATCGTAGTTGGTGGGATTGGCGGCCACCTCCTGCTCGTACTGGTACTTGCGCTTGGACACGATCACATCCTCGATGCCGGCCCTGTCGCCGTACTTCTTCTCGTGTATTGTGTAGGCCTTGAACAGCTCCTGGGTCCGCTCCTTGCCGAGGTGATCCAGGGCATACTTGTAGATAATGCGCGCTCGGTCGTGCTCCTTCTGTCCCTCCTCGAAGCGCGCGAAGGCGATGAACAGCCGCTCCTCGATGTACTCGTCCCCAAAGAACTCCACCGCCCGCTCGAAGACGCGCCGCGCGCCATGGATGAACCCATGCGACTCCTCGAAGCGGGCAAACTTGATCCAGTTCTTCACATCCGGATGCACGTAGACAAAGCGCTCGTAGACCTCGCGGGCCCGGTCGATCTCCTTGTAGCGCAGCTCGAAGTTGACATAGGTCTGCCAGGCCTGTTCCTCCGGCTGCCACTCCATCCAGCGTTCGAACACCTGCCGTGCCCCGGCCACGTTCTCCAGCATCTCCTCCATGTAGGTGTACTTGTACCAGAACTGATTCACACGCGGCATAATGGTCACCGCCCGGTCCCACAGATTGCGGGCATGGTTCACCTGCTTGTTCTTCATCTCCATTTCGGCGTACTTCAGCCAGAGGGTCACATTCCGGTGCTCGTTGTCCAGTGCCCGCTCCCAAATGGAGCGTGCCCGCTGGATCTCCTGCTGCTGCTCCTCCCACTGGGCGTACTTGATCCAATGGCTGACCACCATGCGGTTCTTGCGGAGATTGTCCTCGAAGGTCTTGCGTTTCCGCTGCTGGTAGTCGGCCAGCTCGGCGGGATCGGAGATCTTCTGCTTGGGCGGCGGCGGCAGGATCTCCAGATCCCGCTCCTTGGCCTCACGGAGCAGCTGCTCCGCCGTAATCTGCACCTCTGCCGGCGCCTTGTTCTTCACCTGGTGAAATTTGTGGGTTAGTTGCCTGCTTCCAGATGATCTGATCTGCATCCATGCCGTACTCACCTTGGCCACCTTGGGCATCTTCTGTGGCCGCTCCATGGCTGAAATCTTATGTGGGTTGCCTCCTTACTCAACAAACTTAACTTAAATTAGATTTAGTTTATAAATAATGCCACCAATGTGTTGCGATAACACACAATGTACGTCTTTCGATAGTTTGTTATCGATAAACGATGAGAGGGCTGCAACAGCCGTGGCATTTCTCTTCTATTAAGTGTGAAAAGAATATTTTCATAAAAAGTAGCTAAGAAAGTTGGCTTTATAAAAAATTAAAATTAACCAAATAAAATAGGAACAAACCGTATACTCCAACTATTAAACATGACTTAACTAAACTAGTCACAATACTTGTGCATTTATTAAAGCCAAAAAGATAATTTTAAAAACTGTTAGCGCTCTGAAAATACTATTTGCGCTGTTTTTGGCCCAAAGTAAAAAAATTAATATCAGTAAATATTTATTTGTATTTTCCTTGACAAAAATCAATGGTTAATTCAACACAATTACAATATGAGCTTTATTTAAGATACGAAATGCCGCAGGAACCATTTAAATACACAGGCACATATATAAAGTCTATAAATATGAAAAAAAAACAATACCAATTAACGAGTAAGAACAATTATGCCCTCTCCAATTATTTGAAAAATCTCCATGAGTTTCCGTTACGCTTCTCGGTTTTCTCCACCACCCAGTGATTGGGATTCATCAGATAGTCACTACAAAAGAAGGCAATGGGGCGTTACTAAATGGTCCTGACTTGCAGATCACAAACCCACCGATGCTCAACCAAGGTCTTTTGAGTCTGTGTCCGCAGGGTTTCCAGGGATCCGGCCCCTCCGCCATATTCCTCCGGCAGCATCGCCCGGGGCACAAATTCGTACAAGGACTCCATGCTGACCGTGTGGAAGCGGATCTGAATAGGAGCAAATAATGATGAAAGTTATAACATTTTATGATTGAGCCCGTTATAGGAATCATTACTTTAAAATCTACCAGTTTGAAAATATCCCTTTTTTTTAAATACAATAATATATACAATTGTACCCGTAACCTACCAGTTTGAAGATAATGGATGCCTCTAGCAACTAATATTAAATTTATTTTAAAAAAGGCTACTATTTATATTCATATACATATATACCCATACTTTTGTGTAACCTACCAGTTTGAAGACCTCTTCGCTGATAAACGGCTTCACCACACTGACGATCCGATCCAAGTAAGTGGGACAGTTGACCATGTGGATGGCGCGCAGGCGCACGGGAAAGGCCAACTGGAGGAACTTGATGTAGGCGCGCAGAGTGCTGATCGTCAGCCGGGAAATGTGCCGCATGGTGGTGCCCTTCATATCGAAGATCTGCACCTCGCCTTCGGATAAAATTTCCGGGTTTCCGGGATCGTCGGGCGTAACAAAGCGACAATCGCTGACCATGAAAAAGGCGCGCGTGTCCTCCGTGTGGTGCATCTGCGGACGAGATTGGTCAGAGAACTGGAATTCTCGATTGGAAATATTATATACTGCTCACCTTGGTGGCCTCAAAGTCCCGGAAACAGTAGAGCGATACCTTATATTTCTCCGGTGTTAGACCCGGCAGCGGTAGGATGTCACTGAAAAATGATTGTGGTATAAAAAAAAATTTTTTTTTTATAAATAGGTGTACCACTACAAATGGATGCAATAGATGGACCCAAAAAGGAAATAATGGAATCTCCTGTAAGCTAAGAAATTATGAGCCCACTCACGCGTAGTCGAAGGTGCGCCGGCTGTCCGCATCCAAAGGATCCCTCTGGATGAAAAGATGCGGATGCCGGTTGCGCAGGGCGTAGTTCACCTCGATGAGCTTCTGGGTCTCCTCCACGTTCCCAAACATGCACTGGTAGAAGCGCCGGAGCAGCAGCGGCTCTGCAAATAGATATTATATGTATATAGTATTCTGTTCAACTTGTCAAACATATATTTGAAATAAAAAGTTAAGGAAAGTTTTAATAGTTTGAAAAATGGTCTTTAAATTTTATAACTCATACGACCTGTTGCATTATATCAATCAACTTATTTTAAGGCTGATGGTAAGAACTCAGCTTAGCAAACAAGCAACTGTACTCTCTATATTTTGACTCCGTTGTTAATTATAACTGGCATACGTGTCGGATGATTAATTTTTATAATGATTTTCCAATGCTTCATTTGACTAAGGACTTTTTTGTTGTGGACCACCCTAATGCACACACACATTGTAACAATCATTTTACAAAGGTTCTTTAGTTAGGTGGTTTGCTTTAGGCACGTTTGACTGTACATTATTTGTTTGTATACAATATACTGCAGTGACGTAAGGCGGCGAGTGGAGCGGCCTACTAACGACCTCATTAGTGGGCGGTGGGTGGATTTTAATGGGCAATGGATTTTTGGTGTGTAGTGTGTGGTGCGGATGTTAGTTTCTTACTTACCAATTTCCTTGGGCAGCTTCTCATTTTGCCGGAACCACTCGAGCAGCTCCTTGAGATCCCGTTCCCGTTCCCTGTCCCTATCACGTTGCAGCTGTTCCGTCGTACCGCTGTCCTCCGTCTCCTTCCCACCCACGCCGCTCATTGGTGCGCCTGGCTATCGATTGCTCCGCTTTCACTCCCACCTGGTCCACTTCCACCTATCGCCTATCGCACGCAGCTATCGCTTTCAAATCGCTTTCGAATCACTTTCAAAAAATCACTTTCGAATCGAACCGTTTGGCTTGAAGCCTGACAAACGACTGACTTGCGAGCCCGCATCGATTTAGTTTTTGAATATTCAATGCCAATGCGTCTGCGATTAAAAACACGTAGTTTCATAATTGCTTTTGTGCCGTCGTTTGGCCGACGCTTAATAGTGCCTAAATATGTGCCGGCCCAGCTTCTGGATCTGCCTAATCACCTGGTCGTGTGCCGCATCCGAAATTCCATAACCATATCCACTGATGACACAATTTTTTGGTTTCATTTGAAATTAATCTGCGAGACTCCTTTTCACTGGAAAGTTTATTTAATTTGAACAATTTATATGTTAAAAAGATATATCCATTTTTTCCAGAGTAATCATTTTGCTTGCAAGCCTCGAACCACTTTAAAAGCGAAACATTATTGGCAAATTTAAAGAAACAAATTGCCAAGCATATGTACGTACACGAATTCCAGCTACTTTTGGCTGTAATAAATCCTCATAAAATACAAATATATTCTTTTATTGGCAAGTAAATTATATATATTGGTCATATTTCTGCTAATAAATCGACAGTAGCCCCTTATTTGATAATTGGAAAAAATGAACTTAACATAGATAAATGGTAAGAGTGTAATAGAATATGAAAATAATTAGAAATTCTTGTTGAAGGGCAGCTTCGATACTTTTGAAACCCCAAACCTGTAGTAATTTCGGGCACTTTCCCGACGACTAATCGATAGCCTCGCTTTGGCAAGGCGCGCTCGTTGATCACATTTGAATACATCATATCACATTCGCAGGATATGTGTGTGGAAGTTATCAGAATATTGGACTATCAGAACCAGGACCAGCGGCTTTTGCTCTGGGAGGTCACTTTCCAGTAACGCTCATCGCTCAGGTAGGCACTAAAATAGAATTTGAGTAACGATCCAGTATTAATTGCTACTTTCCGAACTTACCTCTTATCCTTGATGGACTGAACACCACGGGCCTTGAGTTCCGCTATAGAGCCCGCCTTTCCGCCGTACTCCTCCGGCAACATATCCCTGGGCACTTCCTTATAGAGGCTCTCCAAGCCCTCCGTGTGATACTTGATCTGTAATGGAAATTCATGTGGAAGTGTGAAAAAGTAGAAATTATTTCGGAACTACACTGATAAAAAAAATGGAATAGTAAAAATAAATATCTGGCTATTGAATTTAAATTTAATAGTCATAATGTTGGTACAACGCATATTATGTTACATGACTTAATATTAGAACATTTGAATTAATGTGCAAAATATTGGATTTAAAATTGGTAATGTTTACATTTTGTAGGGTTTAAATTATATTCCAAACATAGCAAAATTATGTATATAAAAAAGTGTAATATTACATATATTACCATATTGCGAACTTCCTCCCTCAAAAAGGGGGACATCATGGAGATGAGCCTGTCCAAATAGGAGGGACAATTAATGACATGCATGGCCTGCAGACGGGAAGGATACGCCTCCTGCAGGAACTTCATGTAAATACGCAGCACGAAAATGGACACATAGGCCAGGTGACGAAGAGTATAGCCCTCAATGTCCACGATCTGAACATCCCCTTTCGCAATATTCGCTTCGTCCAATTCGTAGGCCTCTTCGGTTCCGGTTCCGGTACCACGATCCACATCCGGCATTGTAAATCGCGCATCACTCATCATGAAGAAAATTTTGGTCTCTTCCACGGAATTACGCTATACAACAATAAAATTTATAGATCATTAGATTACTTAAACAGAATAAATTTAAACTTATAAGGCTGCCAATACACACCGTTTGTGGATCCAGATCGGCCATACGGAAGAAGAGCAGCTTGTTTCCCTGGGGCGTAATGCCGGGCAATATCAGAAGATCTCTGAAAACAGGATATATAATTAGTTATTAATTATTAATTTCAGTCCGAGCCTAAATGTTTATATATTCTTGATCAGCATTACAAGGAGAGTCGATATAGTCTCTTAACTTTATACGCTACCGAAAAAACAAATGAAAAAGAAATTATAAATTTGTTGTTTTTAAATTTATACAAATTTGTTCTAAGAGATATAGTAATGGTTTACTATTTAATTTTTAATTGTATTAAAATCGGACAACAACATCATATAGCTTTTATAGGAATCAACTTAGCTTCATTGTTCTTAAACATACAATACACGCATGAGTACCGAAATATTGCTGTTTATTAAAATGCTTAATGTAAACATTTTGTAATGGAGGCAAGGGTATATAGACTTTGCTTCCTTTCTGGTCTATGTTTTACTTACGATACCCTCAAGCCCTTGGCTGTCATCTTGTCCTCCATATTGCGATCCATGAACAGATGTGGATGCTTATTCCGCATACTATAGTTAAGCTCCACCAGAGATTTGGTTCGCTTGACATCGAACGCCATACACTTGAGGAATCGTAACATCACTATGGGTTCTGCGAGGAATATGTTACATGAAAATGAGTTAACGTTAACGTTAGATAATCCATGGAGATAATTGAGGGATTTAGCACTCCCCATGAACAATAGTACCATAAAAACAGGGAGATAGCCATGCACTTGACCTTCGACACTGCCCACTTACAAGGTTAATGGATCGTTGGCCATATCAGGTTATTGCGCGGCCATTAATTCTGTCTCGCACTCGACTGGCTATCAATCGAAGCGAAACCCATTTGGGTTCGATTCTCCTGGCTTACGGCTAACTTACCGATCTTCTCGGGCAGATTGGGATTGCCCTCGAACCAGGCGATCAGCTCCGCCAGCTTGGCGCTCCATTCGGCTGATGATGATGATGAGGAGGCGGACTCTTTATCCCCTTTATCTACATTATTATCATTAACTTTATCTTTGTCCATCGGGGCAAACAAGGCGGGAACGCGTCTCTCTGGGGCCGCAAGTACCCACTAACTAAGCAAGTAACTCAACTAACGAGCCCAATTGATAAAGCTAACAAGACCGCACACACAGACCCATATACCACACTCGTAATATAGAAATGTATACCCATTGTTCCCAAGCGATCTATAGCTTTTCACGCTCCAAACGGTGAGAGAAAAAGCTCCGATGCAAAGCTCGTCCGCAGACCGCATAATTGAATCCAAATCCAGTTGTTTGTAATTAAGCAAAGACCCAGAGCGGTCTTTAATTGCTTCATTGAAACCATAAGAACAGAACCATTAGAACCCAAGACGAACCAGCAATACACTTGTTTTTTGGAATCTTTATTGGATCTGGAGATGGACACCTACAATATACAATACACATCCAATACACGTAGAACTCGATCTTATCGTCTGCCCGGCTTAACTCGTTTGCGATTGGCTTTGTATTCAATATTCAATTCAATATTCAGATGGAACCGTGCCGCTAAGAAAAAAATATATACATATATAGTATGTCTTTGTGTATACAGTATATATAGTATATGGCTAGCAACATACTCGCCCGTAATACTTATAGCCCCCGATGTATGAAATCGTCACAATGGTCACAAAATGGTTATTCTCAAAATTCTCAAAATGTTAACATTGTTTTTTACTAGACCTTAGACTTTAGGATTTCACCTTGTTATCATAACAGTTTGCAGCTAGCTTTATCTTTATCTATACCGTTATGTTCGTCTGAATCGGGATGGGTGCTAGCTATGATCAAAGTGAAGGGTCTCGAAACCTACGTAACGCACATAACACCGATTAAACACATACATAACATACACATTAATTCTGGACCGGATCGGATCGGATCGCTTCGGTTCGGTTCGCTTTGGGAATTGCAAATTGGTAAATTGTCAAATTGGCAAATTGGAGTGTCGAATTGAATAGACCTAAGCCTAGGAGTTTACTTTAGGAAATACTCGTACACAAAAATCTATTTTGGGCAGCATATTGACCAAGGCCTTGCGGCAAAATACATATGTGGATACAGCAATTGATATCGTATCATCTCAGATCGGATATACTATATAGATAACGTTCTACATGCTACATGCTTATTGTGGCTCATAAAGCTCTTCTCCCCTCTATTTGATAGATAAGTTATAGACATGGAACAACATTACTGGCACTGGCAAATGCTACAAATTGAGAATGCACACATCTCGAAGGGAGTTGGGATCCCTTCGCACATGAGTATATAGATCAATCTTATGAGCTAGTCTTATCCTCTAGGCCAGCAGATCGGAAGTCGGGAGGCAATGGGATTTTCAAGGGTTATAGGATTGGCATTCTGGGCAAGAGTTCCTAAATTCCTTTGGCTCTTCACATGCATAACTGGAGGTTAGCTGTACCTCACCGTACCCCAAAGTTTCTAGATCTCTATGTTCCCACCATACATAGCTTTAAGTTAAGTTTCCCTTAACAGGAGCTTAACTGAAAGTTAGCCTAAGCCGTATCCCTATAACCCATAGCCCTCGACTTCTGACCGCAGAACTTGGAAATACTGAAGTGTAGCTTGCGTCGTCGATTGACTTGTGTCTCTCGTTCAATACTGACGGCTTGCGATTGGAGGAGATCTGGCCGCGGATTCGGTTCCGTGTCCGTGTCCGTTCCAGTACCGGTACCAGTACCAGTACCAGCACCCACACCCGTATCGGTGTCCGTATCCGGAACATGTCACATGGTGTGCGTCCGGGCCACGATATCCCGTCGCATTCGTCGGGACTAGCTGAAGATGCTGCGTCATAAGCTGACGAGCGTTGCCTTGCGCTGTGCCTCCAGTCGGATCTCCAGGGTGGCATACGGGGGCACGCTGATCACCAGGAGCACCACCAGGGCAATGATCTTCAGCGACTCGCAGAGGAAGCCGTGTCCGGCGAAGGTAAGTCCCAGGCCGAGGAACCGGAGGGCCTGCAGCGGAGCCTGCACCTCGGGCACATGGGCGGCATGGTTGAGGGTGACCAGCGAGAGCAGGAGCGTCTCCCACATCCCGTTGCAAGCGCCCCACGAAGCGGCGATCACGTAGAACAGGGCACTGTCGTCACTCGATGGCTTCCAGCTGGACAGGGCCAACAGCAAGCAGGAGTGGAAGAAGAAACCGGCCACTGAAACGGAGAATATCGAGGGATGTTCAGTTAAGTTGCAAGAAAAAATAACTTCAAAAGAAAGGTGGCAGCATTTGTTAAAAATATATTTATGTTATTGCAAAATCTTAATTCTCTTTGGTTTAGAAAAAAAGAATGCAAATCTTCAGATCTATATGGTTTTTGATCAATGTGCCATTAGGAATACCAAGGTGTTCAGTTAAGTTTCAAATTTTTTTTTGACTTCAAAATAAATAACGTGAATTCTTTAGACTAAAAATTAAAATATTTGAATGTAACATTGTTTTTCAAAATATAAACCCACTTAAAGTAAACTGAAAACATGACAATGGCATGACTAACATATTTAATCTAATATGACTAACAAATTTATCCAATAGGAAAATTGTAGATTTATTATTAATTTTTCTTTAATTTAAAACTGAATTTTTCCATACTTAAAAAAAATGTAAATGGGTAACACACTTTGATTTAAGTACAACACCCCTCGGCGCTTAATCAGTACCGAAAATATTTAATTTATAGTGAAAATATTTAACTGAATGGAACAAAGCACATATACGTGATACTCACAGATAACGACGATCCTTTTCACATGCCGGAGAAGCATGCTCAGCGTGCAGGATACGATGAGCTGCATCAGACCCATGCCAATCAGAGCGCCGGCAATCATGCCAATGCCCAAGGAGCAGGTCACGAAGGCCCGCAGGAAGTCGCCCAACATGTAGGCCTGCTCCGTGCCCACAAAGTAGGCCAGTGGACCGGCGAAGAGCAGGGTGTCCGTGATGCTCACGTCCCTCGAGCGTTCCGGACGCGCTGACGAAGCCGTCGCCTGGACCTTGTCCACTATTATGGTCAGGGACAGGATCAGGGATGCCAGCGCGAAGAGGACATAGAGCCAGAGCAGGGATTGCCCAGCCACGCGGGGCTCACTTTCGATGAAGCCCGCATAGACCGAGCTGGGTATGGAGCTGCCATTGGCCCAGCCTGCGGCCAGGAGCGACTGCACCCGCAAGGGACACATGTCCGCCCCGCAGATCCGGTCACCATGCTCGTTCCGGTTGTAGAAGTCCCTCAGTTGCGGCGGCCAGCTTTCGTTGCCATAGTAAACCAGTCCCGAGCAATCGCCCGTGAAGTCGCCATCGCTGCAGGCCAGCAAAATGGAGGCCAGCAGGGCTCCGCCAATCAGTCCCAGATCCTGGGCCACCCGGAACCACCTGGCCAGGCGTCGCACCTTCTGGTCCCGATTGCAGAACATCTTGTGCTCCTCCTGCAGCACGTCCACTGCCTGCGACTGGGACTGCGACTGGGACTCGCAGGAGCAGCTTAGCCGACCGCCAAAGTGGACAATCAGGGTCGCCTTGGAGCCAGCCGATCCGCCCAAGGTCACGCCGAGCAGCAAGTAGGCCGGCAGCAGGGTGTAAATGGAGGCGTACAGATGGGACAGGAGGAAGAGCACCACTGCCAGGTAGTTGGCCACCATCAGATATCCATAGCCATAGCGTTTCATCAGCCGAATGCTGGGCAGGCTCATGCCGGCGGCCACCAGGAAAAGGGCACTCAGCAGCAACGACCCGATCTCCGGCCCGAGGGGCAGCCACTGCTCCCGATGGTGCCACACCGCATTCGAGCCCTGCAGCGCCATCACCGGCAGCAGGACGCAGTTCATCAGGCCGTGGGCCAGACTCAGGCAGCTGAACTGGCGCCACACCCTCTGGCGCACATGCGCGGGCACCTTGTGCCGGCAGTTCCGGTTGTTCAGCGTTATCAGCCGCCGGATGGAGGTGGCCCCAATGGAGCTGTTTATGGACTCCCGACGACGCGAGGCCGCCAGAGCGGCCTGCACCTGGTACGAGGACACGGGATTGATCCGATGCGAGCGGGTCGAAATGGGCGACGGCGAGTATGTGGTCAAGTGCTGCTGGAAAAGATAGAAGAAATACACTGATAAAAAAAAAAACTAAGTAAACTCAAGTATTTGATTAGTTATTTAAATATGCAAATTTTAAGTATTTTTCAACTTTTTTTCACTTTTTTCAAAACAAAGAATTTAAAATAAAACAAATAGGATCAATTTAAAGTGTAATATTTTTCACATTAATTTAAATATTTTAATATGCATGGTATTTAGTATAAGTTCTTTTTCTTTTATTTATATATGTATAATAATATTTTATATAATTATATATATATACATATTGAATTTAATTTAATTTAAATTTAACAGCCAGCTATTTATTTGTACTATAATATTAATTTTTTACATTGTATTTTCAAAATGTAATATTTTTAGATTCCTCAAAAGAAGGGCTTCAGAACAAAATGTATTAGGTTTTTCCAAAGTAATGCCACTAAAACATGTTTCATTACATTTTCACCAAAAGTAATCAGCATTTCCAAGAATCAACAGCTTCTACATTCACTTTAAAAGGCTTACCAAAAAATGTCGGTCTGTATTTAACTCAACAAATGCAAGCCTTTTACATAAAGAGCATTTTCCATGAATCTGCGTCACCTTATGACTTGAAAAGTCTTCCAGGAATCAACAGCTATTCAAGGATTAAATCAGGATAATGGCGTTGCAGTCAGTAGCCTTGGGTTTCATAACAGTTGAGTGGGAGGATTGGGATGGGGAGTGGGAAATATGGGGAATAAGGGGATGTCTGGCCAGGTTCAACTTAATTACTTGTTGTGCAACTGGGAATGATAATCCATTTGCGCGCTCTGACATCTGCCACCTGCCACCACCAACCCACAACTTAGCGAAACTGACTACCGACCACCTCTTTTGTCCACAAAGAGCCACAAGATGGTCAAGTGACCAAGGCAACGAAGATATCATCCCCCAATGCCCATTACCTCGTGCTGCGCTCAGATTCTATTAATAATATGTGACAAAGTGCATATGCCCACCACACAAAAGGAATACTATATGATATAATGGTTATTTTGAAAGGTTTTCATTCATTTTTGAGCCAGCGATTATATTTAATAAGTCAATTTGGTATATAATTATTGAAATTATCATGATAAAAATATCAAAATAGATTTTTTCATCCGTGTGGTGTGAAAATGAAAAAAAATAAATAAAAAATGATTTATTTTTCTATTTAATTTGATTTAATTTAATCAAAGTCTTCGATTTCATTTTTATGTAGTTTTGAGGATGGCTAAAGATTAAGGACCATTGAGGGTTAAGAGCGCGAGTTCTTTAGCCAATTATGGGACACAAAATAATCGGAAATTCTTGATAAGTCAAACATGTCATATTCCCTAAAATTTGTTTATATAATTTTAATAAAAAAAAGTAAATTCAAACAGTGGACTTAAATTAAATTTTTTTAATGGCGAAACCCATTATTTTTTTTAAAATGGAAATAGAAAAAATTAAATTAAAACTTTTTTCAAAAGTTATTAATCTGGAGAGGAAGAACATTCATTTCTGGTCCTCCTTTGACCATACAAAAATCTATTTATTATCTGTGCACCCACTCACCTCCATCATCTGCTCATCCCAGACGTTCTGAGCTCCGCCAGAGCTGCGGGTCCGGAGCACTCGATGCCTGGTGGTCAGCGAATGGCGGTGCTGGTGGTGCTGATGGTGCTGATGCTGATGGTGGTGCGAATGCTGTTGTTGTGGTGCATACTTCTTGCTCATCCCCATCCCCAGCAACGCGAAGCCACCGGTGGTGGTGGCCACTGGAGCACCCGAAGTGGTGGCCAAACCAGATCCTGTGCCCAGCGCCTGGTTCTGCGATTTGCCGGCATTCGTTCCATTGCCACTGGGCAGCTCGCCGTTTCCGGTGGTTCCGACGGTTCCGGCTGTCCCAGTTCCTGTTCCTCCGGCGGCATTAGGGCTCAAGGATCCTCCGCCAATCCCCAGACCGGCCATTATGTAGGCATTATACGAGGATTGCTGTGGAGTAATTAACAGAAATAATTCGTTACATGCTCAAATCGCTTGTTATGTTATCGATAAGCAAATGTAAACGATGACGATAGACGATAGCGCAACACTCACCTTACGCTGCTGGGCAAAGGCGGACAGTCGCTCCCGCTCGCGACTTGTGTCCCGGGCACGCTGCTCCAGCAAAAGTTCGTACTCGCGCCGCTTCTCCCGCTTGCGCTCCGCCTCCTCCAGCTCGTGAAGATTCGGCAGACTGCCCATTTCGTCCGGTTATTGCCAACTGGCCAACTTATCAAAACTTATCAGGGGCAGGGACAGTGGAGTTATGTTGATTCTGCTGCTGGGGCCGCTGCGATTCCGACACTGGCATCGCTATCGCTCCAAAAAGGCGAACTCATGCTGCTGCTGCCCTGCTCCTTCTGGTCCTCCTTCTGTTGCTATCTGCTGGCCGGGATTCCAGTCCAATCCAGTCTCAAGTTATTGTCCTTTCGGCGTGGGCGAGTTCATTGTCCGCCGTCGACATACCACGCCCCCCGCGTGTCGCGCAAAAATATATACATATGTATATGGAGCAATGCAATTAAAGTTTCGATGCAGCGGAATGCCTGAGAAATGGTGACAGGAAATGAAAATAAAGAAGTGCTAGGGTATCGAATGATAACGCCATCTATCGGCTGGTTACCGGGCTGTCACCTGCACCTGGAAACTGTCACCCACACAAACACATTTCCGCACACATCCTTTGTCCCACACACATACGCACACATCCGCTGGTCGTACATGCATTGCATACTTATGTGGGCCATGGTGCTACATTCATACATACATTCCGTTACCGTTACTCACGACATTCTCAGCTATGGGTACAATGCAGTCGAGGTAAAAACAAAAGTGCCTATAATTTAAAATTAAAATTAAATGACAAAAATAATTATTATTTAAAGAACTAAACTAACCTTTATTTGATTCCCATTGCTTATTGCTAAGATTCCCACATTGTTAACAGAAAATATTTAAAATGCAAATAATTCCCAAGCCTACGGATATATATAATAAGACTTCCCTCGAACTTTGCTTTGATTCTAATTATTTTTTTTTCAAAACTTTGTAGTGTATAGTAGGATACTAAGGACTAATTTATATAAAAAAAAAGCCATTCCCTTTCTGTGCACTCATCTTTATATGCATCCGATGCCAATCCTTTCAAGCTTTTGAAACTGAGCTGACTAAGGACCAAGCCAAATTAAAATTCCATTGAAATGGCTTACCAAGTTACAAAACCGCAATGAGGATATGTGAAGGCGAACACTAATTTGTTCTCTTCAATTCTTGGTAAGGGTCAGCCAGCTGACCCAGTTCACCTTGTGCCTAATCCGCTTATGCCAATTAGCATGAGCTGCAATAGCTATTATGGCGACCGCGGTTGTAGTTCCCATGGCCGAAGGAACTTCGCAGCACACACACACACCCAACGCAAATCATCAGGTGTGTCCATTTTGAGTTATCTACACATTTGCAGCCACCCCAGGGTCAGGTATTCCCGAATCCGGAATCCGGAGTATATATATTCCAGGGCAGGACGGGAATGGGAGATCCTCGGAGGAGGCGGGCCTAGAAAACAATGGCACACCATTTTGCAGCTCATAATCAACTCATAAACAGACTTGCCACTACTACCCTAAACACCCCTTCCCCAAAAAAAAAACTCAATTGAGGCGCAGTTTTGGGCCCACGCCCCTAGGGGTTGAAAAAAATAGTGGGAGGGGGAGGGATGGATAACAAATGCAAAGGTCCCGATGAAAAACGAATATGAATATTTTAAAAACCAAACAAAGACAGGCACACAAATAAGCACAACCCCTTACTCACTGCTCTTTATAAAATCATTAGGAAGATAATATACAGCCTTATAAATAATAAAAACCATTAATTACTTTTAAGTTTTCGGAGACCTCTAAACTAAAAGCACATCTCTCGGGTCGAAAATTGTTTTTAAACCTCTAAACAAGCCAGCACTTTAAGCCACTCAACAACGCACACAGCACTAAAACACCGCCGCTCGCGAACTGCTCCAGAAACACACTGAAAAGCTGGCAGGGATTACGGTCTGGCGATTCTGAGTCCGCTGCTAAAATTGTTGTCATCTCGGGTCTTCGACAGCATCTCGCAGCTCGCATTTCGCATCTCGATGCCAGACCTGCGCACTGGCCCCCAAAAGTCCCATTTCTGCACCGCCACAAAAGCGATATTATGCGATATAACATTAAAAGCAATCCCTATTATCAAGCGTGTTAAGTGCTACATTCAGCTGCGGGCAAAACGATATCCCAAAATGATAATGCTCTATGTTTGATTACATTTCCACAAAACGTTTATATCAATATTATTAATTTGGAAAAACAAACCCCTATATGATGCATTTAAAATTGTCATTTTTACTATAAAGAAATCGATATCTTTAAAAGGAGAGGGCATCTCGACAAATTTTAGTTAATTATAGGTTTTCATAGCTATTTGGTCATATATGTAATACATTTTTTTAGCGCAAAATAAGTTTTTCAATTGCTAGGTTGATAAACTTATATCATTCGATGCAACATGATACATTTTAAGAATATGTTATTTAGTTTACTAACCTAAATTTGGATTTTTAGTTTTTTTAGAAATTATAATTTGAGTTAAATTATTTGCATACACTCTTTAAAGTTTATATTTAAATTTCAAATTAACATTTTTAAGAATTAGTTTCCCAGCTCTATAATTTATCTAAGTTTTTGGTATTAGGTAAGATCAAAATTAAACGAAAGAGTACCAAATTAAATCCGAGCAAGAACGAATATTCGCCGATTTCTCGCTGTGCTGGGGATAACAAATACTGACCCACCCATTGAGCGGCCACCTCCGTTGTCTATTGGTTTGATTTATTTAAAAACTAACTGCAAATTGGCTAACAACAAACACGTGCATGGCATTGGTTAAATCTGAACATAATGCTAACAAATTATGCCAGACCAGATCGAGAATAGAATTGAACAGTTAACGCTAACAGATATCGAAATGCAACTGGTGGACCACTTGGGATCCATTTGTCATATCGGGCTAGTTGAACTTTGTCTTTGGGGCGTACAAGTAGAGTATACATTATGTATTTTCCGTATTCCGTTTTCCAATCCGATTAAAATGCCTGATGTTTTACTCATTTTTCTATTTTTGGTGTATAACCGTTCTCTACGGACTTTTTGAAAATTAGCATTTTAGTTAATAAACAAATTATTACTGATTGCAACTAATTCTGGTTTTTATTTAATTTCTGCTTAGCAAATTTTAATGTTTTCGAAATGCATTTGCTAGAATTTGAACGGATGGAAAACGGCAATAGGCAAAGAGAGTAAGTTATCCTATTGGGGTAGATTGATTTGAGCTTTTCTCAAGGTTTTAGGTTTCAGGTTTCAGGTCACGCTGTCTAATCCGCCCGATAGCCAAAGCTCAGGTGGAGATTGCACCAGCGCCGGTGCTTGCCGCCCAGAGAGGACTCCTCGCGCCGCACGGCATCCAAAAACGGGAGCTTCTCAACGTCAAAGGTGCCCAAATGGACCGTGGGAAGCGGTTGACCGCTGACCAAACCCATCTGCAGGCGGACGCACTGCTCCACGATGAACTTGAGGGCCGCACGGCGATGCAGCTCGAAGCAGTCCCGCGGTCCATACATCAACCGCTGCTCCACACACAGCCGCATGTCGCTGGCGGCCACATTGCAGCAGTAGAGGAACGATCTCAGCCTCTGGCTGCTTATGGCGCTTCGGTCCACATCAGGCAACAACACCTGCAGCAAATCCTCCGCCTTGGGTTCGCATTTTAGGCCATAGTTGGCCAACAACAGCTGCAGACTGGCCAACGGCCAGGAGGAGCCACCACTGGCGCCGGAATCGTTGGGCAGCGCGAAGTTGAGCTCGTAGGCGCGTCCCAGGAGCACCTGACGGTAATGGTAGCAGCTGTAGTCGCTGATGTGCTTGCGCATGAACTTCTCCGTGCGCAGCAGCTCCGACTGGAGCAGGCAGGGGCCGCTCTGCAGGATCCACTGGCGGTGCGACCAGGCGTGGTAGTTACTGGCGCATCTATCGGCGGCCCTTTCGCAGATCCCAATCTCGTTGGGCCAGTCGATGGCATCGGCACCTGAGCGGGAAAGAAGAAAATGTGAAATCTGTTGGTCTGCAATCTGTAACCCCCGCCGGGAACACTCACTTTGGAAGGAGTACAGCCAGCGGCGGTAGGCGAATGCCTCATTGGACTTCGGTTTGATGGAGAGCACCAGGGCGGAGAACTGCAGCTCCTTGTTGATACTGAGTCGATTCTTTTGCACCAGCTGGCGGCGAATGTGCCAGAAGGTGGTCACGTCCGGATTGATCAGCAGGGCCACGTTCAAGTATTTGGCCAGGGTATCGCTCTGCTGCTGCTGTTGGAGCGCCCGGAGCTGCTGGGCCGACGTCTGGCGGCGATGGGAGATGAGTGTGCGGTGGGCGTGGTCGTAGACATGCTGGGCACACCACGATTCCAGGCCAAGATTGTGCTCCACATGCACCACCGGCGACTTGTTGCAGTTGGTCTCCTTGGGTATGATTTCGAAGGAGGCGCTGGTGGGATATTCAGAGATTATAGAGGGTTTGAGTTTATGAACCAATAAATAAATAAATAAAAGCCAGACTCACAGATCTTGATCCTTGAGGAACACCGCATTGATGTCCCTGATGATCTTCTCGCAGAGCACCTTCTTCTCGTTGCGTTCCTCCTCCATCTCCATAGAAGTGGGTCCGACGAATGTGCAATTCCGGCGTGGTGGATGGTTCTTCCTCGGGAATGGGGATCTCGCTTCCGTTCCGTTCGATTCGAGGGTCTCAGGCACATTGATTGTCTCCAATTAATGCAAACATGTTCAATGCCTCCGGTTAATTAAGATTTGGGCGGAGGAGGAGGCGACAGCGGCAGAAGATGGAGGAGGCTGGGACCCTGGCACAATACGGCTAAACGTCTATGTCTATGGAACCCCCAGTGGCGGCCGCATCACAACAAATAAATTTCAATTAAAGCCGGGACACGAGATCTAGCCTCTATTATTATTATTATTATTTTAGTGCCCAGTGCGAGGGGCTGTCACTCTGGATCTGGTTCTCCGGCGGATCGCAAATTTGAAAACGTTTTTATCTCTTTTATGGGGAACAGAGAGCATATGTTGTTTTGTTGCTGGTTTGTTTCTATTATTTTTTGATTTGTTGTTGCAAACATGTGTGCTCACGCACCGATAACGATATCCCACGCACCTGCTGGGTCTATCGATAGCTGGTTGGCCATAGTGATGCGACCTGACGGGAAAGAAAGCTATAATAATTGATTAAATTTGTATACATTTGCAAAGGGTATTCTAATTTGGTCAAATATTTGTATCTCAGAGACACTTCTTACCCTACATTGCACATATTGCACATATTGCCTCCTACTCTCATGGTGATGCTGATAAAAAAATTAATATTATTAATTTTAGGGTGTCAGGATTTGATTTGTATACGTTTTCAGAGGGCATTCTAAATTGGAGAGTTGTTTGTAACGCAGATACTCTTCCACAAATATTTATTTAAATATATATGTTTAATAAAATAATACACATATGGACTTCATACCGTTGGGAGAGTCTATGCGTTACAAAAAGTTAACCAAAAAGTTAACCAAAAAGTTATGACACCCACTTTTTTGTTTTATCAAACTTATTAGTGGGGCTTAATAATATTACAGTTAAAAACTCCCGTCTGTTTTATTTTGTTTTATTTACTTTTTTCTTACGTTTTCATTGTGCATTTAGCCAAGCGCCAAATTTGACTTGAAAGTAGCCAGACTGTGAGCACTGCTTAAAAGACTGGTCACACCGATTTACTTAGTTGTTTTTAAACACGGTTTTTTGGTGGAACACGTGCGCGCGCGTAAAAGGAATCACTAGCTGCTTTAGAATCACCGGAATCACAGCCAGGATGCAGAACAACTTCCTCCCACTAAACACACGGCGGTTTCAGCAGCGGGCGCAGGTGGAGACACCGGATACAGTCTACTGGGACCGATTGGCGGTAAGTTCGGGAAAGATTGGGAGGTCAACGGCAGCCGGATCACTGTTTTCCATTTTTGAATCTACATAGAAACCGGAGCTTCTCAAGGAGCACAACACCATCGACTATCTCGACTTCAGCCCCTGTGACCCAGACAACTTTGTGCTGACCTGCTCGGTGCGCGTGCAGATCTTCAATTTGGTGACCAAGCTGGTGGTCAAGAATCTCTCGCGTTTCCAGAAGACCGCCTACGGGGCCACTTTCCGGCAGGATGGCCGGCTGCTGGCCGCCGGCGACGAAGAGGGCCACGTCAAGCTGTTCGACACCACCAGCAGGAACATACTGCGTCTGTTCAAGGGACACACGGCACCGGTACATCGCACCTTCTTCACGGCGGACAAGCTGCAGCTGGCTAGTTTCGGCGATGACAAGGCCGTTCGTCTGTGGGACGTGGCCAACGAAAAGGTGGTGCAGACGTACGAGGACTCGCACACGGACTACATTCGTGCCGGAGCCATGCATCCGCAGGCGGGGCACATGTTCGTCTCCGGCGGGTACGATGGCAAAATCAATCTGTACGATACGCGAGCAGAGACGGCCGTGCAGCGCACCTTGGATCACGGAGCTCCGGTGGAGTCCATGCTATTCCTGCCCAACGGCTCCATCTTCGTCAGCGCCGGCGGCAGCCAGGTGCGCGTTTGGGATCTAATCAGTGGCTGCCGGCTGCTCACCATGATGTCGCAGCACCACAAAACAGTGACCTGTCTGCGGCTGGGCTCCGATGGCCGGCGGCTGTTCTCCGGCGGCCTGGACCGGCATGTCAAGATCTACGATGTGAGCACCTACAAGACGGTGCACACGTTGACATACCCCAATGCGGTGGTCAGCATGGCTGTGGCCAGCGGAGATCAGGCCGTGGTGGCCGGCATGGTGGATGGTCTGGTCTCCATTCGTCGCATGATGGTGGACAGCACGCCCAGTCACTTGAAGAAGATTAGTGCGGATCGAGGGCGCAGGCATGGCAAAGGTCTAATGCATCCAAACAACACCCAGACGGTGGATCACACCATCAAGGAGCGAGTCAAGGGACAGGGACTCAAGAAATTCGACGTGCTTCTGCGTAAGTTTTGCCACAAGAAGGCTCTCGACGATGTGATGGCGGCGCAGAGGACACAGAAGAAGCCAGAGCTGGTGGTGGCGGTCATCAATGACCTGCTGCATCGCAAATCTCTGTACAGAGCCCTCACCGATCGACCTGATGAAGTGCTCGTGCAGTTCATAGACTTTGTCTGCAATTATTTGGGTGAGGCGCGCTTCATGCGTACGCTGATGATGGCAGCCAGCACGATCCTGGACGTCTTCGAGCGGCAACTGGTGGCCTACAGCCAGCAGCTGATGGAGGCTCTGGAACGGCTATCCTCCGCCGTCCAGGAGGAGGTGAAGCTAACCGCCGAGCTGATGCAGCTCAAGGGCGCCATGGACATGCTCATTGGCGTCTCGATGGACTGCGGGGAGGTGGCTCACAAACCCACCTACGTGGAGACCAAGGCACCCAAGATGCAGCCCTCCCCGGCGGCGGAGAAGTACGTGGTCTTAGTGGAGTGACCTCGAACCTGACCATCGCCGTTCAACGATCTGGGCGGATAGTCTAGCATTAGTCTAACTTTATTTAATATAGGCATCGAGGAGGAAAATTATCTTAAGGAGCAGAAGCTTTAGTTAATATTCCTGAAAGTGTTAATGGTTAATTTTTTTCTACAATTTAAGAAATACATATTTCTATTAAAAAACTCTGTTAAAAATGTGTGTTGTTTTTAAGGAATCGGAATTTGCCACCAGAAAATACTTTAAGAACACCTTGAAAAGAACCCCAAAATTCACAATAAATTACTTTCCGATCCGTGTTATGATGTATATATCCTTCTTTATTAAATACATACTTAAAATGAACATTTCGTCGTGCTTGCCAATTTCTCTTTTGAAATGTACATTGAAATTTTGTCTGCCGTTGTACGAATAAAAAAAAAACAATGATAATGGGGACAGCAAAACAGTTGCCCTTGGATTAACTCTTCTCGTTTTTGTTTTTTGCTTTTACTTTAATGCATATTACATTTGAAAATATTTTTCGGTTTTCGTTCTCCAACTTCTCGATTTAGCTTTATATTTTAGCTCTTTTGTTTTTTTTTTTTGTTGTGTAGATTTAGATTTACGTTTACGTTATTTTACGATTATTTGGAAAGACGAATTTACACTTAGAATTTGCTCATCTTCGACGCATCGATCTGTATTAATCTGCTTAAGCTAAACTTTCGCGCTAATTTTAATATATATCTTTATATTTATGTGTATTTATATGTATGTATAGGTATATATATATATCTATTCCGCTCGACAACGCGTCAACTCTCTTGCCACCGTGCCGATTCTTATTCTTTTGTTGTTTGCTTACCAGTAAAGAGAAAAAATATAAGATACCACGGATTTGTTAAATTAAAATAAGAATACAGTTAGGCGTCTTAACTAGTTTACATTTTAGGCGTGTATGTGTATGTGTGGTGTGCGGGAGTGTGTGTGCCGGGTAGCAGGTTTTGGGTGGTGTGAGTTTGGAAGGTTTTGAAGCCACTACATTTACATTTTTAAATTACAAATTATATTCATATACATAACAGATATTGCCTTTACATTTTACACACGTCGGCTGCCGATTCTTTTGCAACTTCTGCGCCACCCTCTAATCAGCTCCAGTTTCCAAGACACTGTACAAGATACACGATTTCAGGCCGGGCGATTTGGATTTGGATAAAAGACTACTCACTACAATAAAACAAGAGGAGTGGGGCATATACATATGAAATTCATGCAACGAAACATTTAACCGTGATTATAAGAGTGTGTGCTTAACAAGTCGGTTTTGGGTTTACAAGTGCAATTAAACATATGCGCATGTGGATGTCGCTTCCATCCAACTTTCATCAACGATGCAAACCGCGTACAAAAAATGTGGGCCGCCTTCTCCTTGAATTCGGGGGCGTCGTCCATATAATGATTTAGTGGTTGCTGACCAGGCCAGATTATCTAATATCAATATCAGAGTAAACCGGCAGTGAGAGCGGGATGTGTGCTTTGCGGATGTGGATAAGGTAATGTTGACGCTGAGTGGGGGTTCAGATGGGTCTGTGTTGGTTGTGGCATGCGTTATACTAGAAAGGATGTGCGTCTGGAGACTCTTCTGCCTTAGCCATCCTCCTTGGGCGGTGTGAACCAGCCTGCAAAACGAAAGGGTGCTCATTAAAATGGAATGCTCTCTTTATGATTAATATCACTGGATTCTTACCATTCTTTTCGTGGATCTGCACCAGCGACTTGAAGCTCTGCTGAGCTCGTGCCAAACTGTATTGGCCCTGGGTCAGTGCCTGTTTAGGGATGACTTATATTAGCTTCCTTGACATTGTTAACTTGCATTTTACATACCTTGGTGGCCCCGAACTGGATGCGCGCCTTTCCCTTGACGAGAGTGGCAGCAATTTGCATGATTACCGCCTCCACGGTGTAGGCCGAGCTCCAACCCTGTTTGGTCAGCAATTCCATGCAGATGGCGCCGCCGATGAGCACATAGCCGCCTAGTAAATAAAGCATACTTTCACGTTCTAGGACTACATTTACACTCAATCAAGTGAGCTAATCGCACCTGAGATAATCGGATGGACGACGCGCACAAAGGGCGGCTCGAAGGGATACGTCTCCTTGAAAAGTATATTGAGTAGTATGCTGTCCTTGCCCTCCTTCTCCTTGAGCATTAACAGATCACTGTGCAGCGGACTGTCTGGGTCAACAGACTTGAGGCGTATGTTCCATTCGTAAATCGACTCGTTGACGAGCTCAATTGAATACATGTTCTTCTTGAAAGCGTCCGATCGATAAATATCACGTAGTTCCTTCATTAAGCGATCGGTTGCCTGCACGGAACCCGAAACGGAACCCTAAAATCAAGGAAAAGTTCAATATACCACGTTTTCTCTTACCAAATATCATTGAACTCACTTTTAGATAGTCTTGTCTTTGACTTTGACGCAGTCTTTCTAAAGTTGCTAAGTGTTCCACTTCCATGTCGTCCTTCTGCATGTTTCAGATTTCATTACGAATAATTAATAATTTATAAAATTGTTTTCATGTTTTAAAATGATTTTGTATAGCTTATGTAGTGAGCAATTCTGCAGAAATAAATTAGTATAGCATTTCAGTTCCAACATTTTCTTAGGCTTTTCTTAATTCTTCCAAAAACATTTATAGTTATGTAGTCGATTTAAAGTAAATAGTTCCCAGAGCAATTACCTAACCAATTCAAAAGTAATTGCAGGCAAGTAGGAACTTATATTCGGTTGCAACAAATATATTTCTTTGGTCAATTTAAATGCAATTTCATCGGAAAATAGTTCTTTAAAGGTAATTACTACTTAAGGTGCAAATGTCAGCACAAACCGAAATAAGGGCTTATATTAAAAGAACTACAGTTGACGCCCAAAGTCGTTTAAATCAAACTGAAGCCCTGAATGCTTTTGTAAGGTACATGGAAAAACTACTCAGATACCCCTAAGGTGGTTTATATTTAGGGAAATATACTTAAGCTTTAAGTTAAAAAACCACCAAACCAATATCATTCGCTTGGGGCCTCTTAAGACTTTTAAAGGTATAGCCCACGAGATCTCCGGACATTAAATAACCTATAACATAGCTCACCTTGTTTGTACTTCGTACATCATCCATTTCCAACGGCAAGTCCTCGTCACCCTCGCTCTCCTGTTCGCTCTCGCCGATGGGATCCTCGATCTCCTCCTGATCCGAATCGGTCTCCTCGTTGCCGTGCGGTCCGCCGCCGCCCCCCGCTCCCCCGCCCCCTGGCCTCTGCTCGCAGCGAAGTGGAGAAGCGCATGGCGGCGGCGTTTGCAGCGGCAGGGCCAAATTATCGATGTCGGGTGGCAGTGGAACGTTGTGTAGTCGGCACAGCTCACGCAGCAGTATGCCCACCTGTGCAAGATATCGTTTATTAGATTATAGACAAACTGAACTCTATATTTTATAAGGATAAGGGTCCCAACCTGATTAATCACGTGATTATCACGTCCATTTGTATTGCTAAGTATTTGAACAGCATTTGTGACGCTCGTCTCCTCGCTCTCGGCGAACCAAACTGGTGGCGATGAGGGATACGTTTCCTGCAGGAAAGAATTAAGAATATAACCATAAATATAAAGCTAGTATATACTTGTCAGCAATAGATTTAATTAGTGATACTTAAGATAAGAAAAAATATTGCCAAAGACCATAACTATTCCATAAAAGGTTTAGTTTAGTTGAGTTGATATATTTCCCATATTATACTACATATACGGATTTAATCTTGAACCACGCAAGTTGTACCGGGGTGGACCTTGCAAATCGCGTGTGTGGGGTGGGTCAAGGACTTATACTTTGCACTCGAGAATTGGACACACACAAAAGATCTCTCTTATATCCATTCGCGTTCTCATTTTCAGCCGTTCTCAGGTGAATTGGTCGACGTCGTTTGGGATTGGGGCTACTTTGCATGCACATGAAAATAAACAAATAATAAACGACAGAGAACCGAACCCGACAGCAAGTACGAAATTATAACCTTTAATTAGATCGTTGAACCAAGCGGGGATCAGTGCACAGAAAACAGAAAGCAGAAAACAGATGGAGCAGCTTGGCAGCCGATGGTCGGGTGCAATGAATCACACCTCATCGAGGGTAATTTTTATTATATTGCAAAAGTGTAGGACAAGATGGCCAAATTTTGGAATTCAAAATTTCATGTCTTTGGATTTTTAAACTGAAATAAATCAAGATTTGATTGTTTTTGTATGAATTCAGGAATACACTTTTTAGGATCTGTTGTAGTGGTCACAACAAAAGGAAGATCACTCAGACTAATACATATTTATATATACATACGTACAAATGTATATCTCATCTCAACTGAGCAGCGTGGGAATAAAGAAGCGGCACAAATATTCACATATATAAACTCGTGTGCGGGAATGAGAAAGAGAGAAACGATAAAGTAAAATTAAAAAGAAGTAGAATCGGAGAAAACTGACAAGGAAAGCACTATTTCAAGGAAGAAAGGAGACATTCAGAAAGAGAAAGATAAGATTGCTACAGGGCAGGAACAAAATCACGGTGGAAAAAGATTACCTCGAAATTAAAATATTCTGAGTGATTATCCTTTTGTATATACAAAAAATAAAATAAGAAAACAAATTGCGTTATATGGGAGCTAAAGGACTGGAAAACTAAGCTGATTTTTCTGTAAAGTCTGTCTAGAACAGAATAGTTTTAGAAAAACTTTTATATTTTTTTAAATTGTCGAATGCTCTTAAATCTCAAATCTTCTAATGTTGCGAAGCTATTGTGAACCATTAGCCTCGGGAGTCAGCAGCGAATCAGTTGCTATGTATAGCAATAATTGATCGCCGTTTAAATATAGTTATCATTGCATTGGTCATGAAGTAAAAAGTAAAGAGGACAAAAACGGGCAATAAAAATGACGCGACTAAACATTGGGTTTTCTCCCAGCTTCATATCTTTTGTAAACACGGTGCCATAACAGTACTCCAATACCCATACCACCATACCACGACAAATAAAGTAGGTGCATAGGACGATAATTATATAAAAGTGATTAGACTTATATATCGAATTCCATCTTGAATTTCTTATTTTTGTGCACTTAGGGGGGTGATGATTGCGAAAATTAGTTTTCAAATTGTAAAGAAGGCCAGTTTCATGGAAAAACTTGTTAGAAATTCATTACGAATTTCCATTTCTTTTGCTTAAATATGATACACATAGTTATCAACTGTGAGCTAAAGCCGTGCAGTAAGAATGTTTATATTTGTAAAATATTTGGAGAAGCTATAAGCCCTTAGTCTTGAAAAGTTAAAATTGAAATGATACATATATGTATACAGTTAAGCCCCCATCTCTTCACAGTGCATATGGTCGTATGGAAAACCAAGAAACTTACCGTTATGTTGGCATGGATGTCGTAGCGCTTTCCATTCTTATCGATAAACCTGCAGAGCAGCTCATCGACGCTGGAATTAAGAATCTGAAATCGCTCGTGATTCTTCGGGAAGATTTTCTCCAGAGTTTTGATTTCCTGCTTCAGAGTATTAAGGCACGCCATCTTGTGGCGGGCAATGGTTTTTACTCGCCGACGCTAGATGGCGGTTTTTCCCTTTCCAGCCGCTCGATGTTGTTGTTGTTTTCTTATATTGTTTATTTTTCTGGATTTGGAGCTTCTTTTTCAATGTTTTGTTGTACACTCATTTGATTATTTTTTTTTATAGAATGCTGATTTTGCATATGTTTGGAGAGGTAGATTGAAAAGGCGACTTATTTTTGAGTCGCCCGGTTGTTGTTGTTCTTTGTTGTTTTCATATGTCAGGTCCGCTTTCTAACCTGTTCCTAGTATTTCGTAATAAATTTCTATATAGTTCACCAGTTTAAGGAATCTCTCTACTAGTAGCTGTGGAAAGTGAAGAGAAATAGTACTTTTTCCCAATTCTCTCAAAACTCTATTTGAGAGAAAACACCTTATTACCCACAACATACATAAGTTAACTTTGGAATATAACTTTAATTTTATAAAACATTTGTTTAACTGATTTCTAGTCCGAAAAGATATTTAATTTCTTCCACTTTCTCAGTCATTTTTTTTGCACTTTGACTTTTTCGACTTATTACCGTTTTTCATTTGGATTTCTTGTTTAGCTCAGTTTTCTTAATTTGTTTGCTGGCTTGTCCTGTGGCTTTCGACTGTAAATCGAGTATTAAACACGTGTTTGCAAAGTGTTGTTAATTTTTCGTTTATTATTCTTTTAGTAGTTGTTATTGTTGCTAGCTATCCAAAACAAAAACAACTAATGGCTCACACACACACACACACACAAACAAATCAGCAAAACTTTACACGCACACTTGTGCAAATAGTCTACGCAACGATCGGAATTAATCGAAAAACCGATTGGAAATCGGCAACAAAAAACCACAAATTTTGCGTTTATCTCCTATCCCCCCTTTCTTTCTCCCTCTGCTTCTACTGTTTATTCTCTTCTTTTCTCTCCGCTCGTTTTCTGCTGCGTTTGTTATTTTCGTGTGTGCTCACACAAGGAAATTTTTATACAGAAAATTCATGACAAAGAGGAAAGTGTCAAGTATGGGGACAGTCGGAAATCGTAAATCGAAAACTGATCCAATTTTTTTGCTCTCCTTTTCTTCTTCTCCTCTCCTTTCCTTTCCCCACTCTTCCGTCTGCGTTTTCAGCATTGCATACACACACACACACTGGCACACACTCGAAACGCACACACACATGCACAGGCAGTCTGGCCCTTTATCATTTATCAATATTTAAGCGAAAAAAGGGAAAAAAGCAAAAAGCTAACTGTGTGTGGAGCCCGAGAACAAATCCTTTGTTTGCACGGAACACGGAGCACAAAAAGAAACAGACACACGGAAAAACGGTCACAGAAAAAAACAGCAACTCTTCTCGCACACTTGCGGAAATATGCATGTAATTGTAGGCAAATTAGCAGCAGAGAAAACTGTTCAGGTAACGTCAATGCAAAAAAAAAAAAGAAAAACAACTGAATATACACGCACACAGCAGCGAAAATTAAGACACGGTACGGAAAATAAATTCAGTTCCACGCACGTCCGCCCGCTTTACCTTTTTTTTTACCAACAACAAACTGTGGGGTCAGTGTGACCGCTGGCAGAAAAATATACCGTCTGGCTCCCAAAAAATACTTTTTATACCGTTTCAAATATGTCATTAATTCAAGTTTTCAACCAGGTTTGTTAAATGGGTGCAGGCGTTATTACAATATGTTAATCTCAATTATTTTTGTATAATTTACAATTTTTAAAATATTGTTATCAGCTACTTTTAATTTTATGTGCACTTTGAAAGCCATTTAATTTAATACGTAAACTTATTGAAATATGAAGGGCAGGCAAAATATTTTAAAAAATCTCAAAAGCTATTTAGGAATGTTTATTATTTCGATTAGAGCTACGGTCAGCTCGCTAAACTTAACAATAATTAAAAAAAATTAAAATCAGTAATAATTTAGTAACAATAAGTTGATAAAATATTTGGAGATGACATAAATTTAATTATAAAACATACCATAAATTGTGGCTGATCTTTAATGTGAGCATCCGATTTTTATTAATTTAATCATAATAAGATTAAAGCACTCTCTAATTAAGATTTCATAATTTATTTCATATTTTTATAAAAAAAAAGAAGAAAGAAAGAAAAATTAAATATTCTTAAAAACATTAAAACTATGATTACTTGCGTATATGTTTAAAAACAATGAAGCTATGATGTTTTGCAGATCAATTAATCGATAGTTCCTATGGCAGCTATATGATATCATTTTTCGTTTTTAATAAAATTAAAAGTTAAATTCTGAACTGCCAAATTATCAATAAGTAACAAAGAACTTAAAAAAAATTACATATAAAAAAAATTTAATATTTTTATTGTTTCCATGGGAGCTTTATGTTATAGTCGTTTGATTTTGATGAAATTGAAACCGTAATTCTAAAATATTCAACCATTACTATATATAATAATTTTTATTATAATTTATAATTTTTTTTCATTTATTTTTCCGATTGTTCCTATGGGAGTTATATGCTATAGTCGTCCGTTCCGGCTCGTTCCGACTTATGTTACTACCTGCAATAGAAAGACAAGTTTTGGGAAAGTTTCATGCAGATAGTTTTAAAACTGAGAGATTAGTTTGCGTAGAAACGGACGGACAGACAGAAATGTCAAGATCCACTCTCCTAGTGATGCTGATCAATCAATATCTATATATGTATAAAGGGTCGGAAATGTCTCCTTCACTGCGTTGCAAACTTGTGACTGAAATTATAATACCTTCTGCCAGGTTATAAAACGAATCGGAAGTATTGAAAATACCAAAAAGCGAGAGTTTACAACAATTAAGTTTCTATCTACTAATTTAATAGACTATACTGACCTTGGGCCGGCTTAAAACATTTAAATAAAATTATTTTAGAAACGGTGTCAGACCACAAAAACATACAGCATTTTAAGTTCAATGCCATTGAAATACACTTATGGATATTTGCCCATGCTAAGGAAAAACTGTTTAGGTTTTTTTTACTCAAAAATTAGATAAAAATATTATTCATAGAAATAAAAATCCATAAAAAAGCGATAGTATCGCGTAAATTTAATTATTAAATACCGATAGCCATTCACCTGCAGTCTGGCAACGTTGCCGAGAGCCCACCCTGTGGCAACACTAGAAGTTTACTTTCGAGCGTCATTAGTAGTTCTGAACCCAAATCGGGGCTATATATCTCCCATATCATATCCAATCCGATTGCAAGTGCGTGGCGTGAGGGCACAGGAAATAGCCCGGTGAATTCGGGAAGAGTGTCCACCAGATCCGAGCAGCTGATTAAGGTACTACTGCGTTGTTCGATTCCCCTGGATTGTGCAAATTTTGGAGTCCAAAACAAAAGCGCAACGCAGATCGAGATAAGGAGCATTACAAGGCCCAAAGTAATCAAAGTAATTGCCTGTGCTACCCGCATTATTCCCCGCATAGAAACAAAGGAACCCCAACAGCAAGTACGGGTGCAAGCGAGACGGGGCGAGACTAGAAGAGCGAGAGGGGAAGAGAAAGGTGGGCAGGGAGCGGACGGAGGAGAAGCACAATGGGACGCATTTTTCTGGAACACCTCGGCGGGCTAAAGCTCTTCAATTGTGCCCAGTGCCACACAAACCTGACCAACCGCAGCCAACTGATCAGCACCCGATTCACGGGCGCAACAGGTGAGTCCTCTGATCTGGATTGCGAACTGATCTGGTTATGCAATATTAATCGTATTATCTTCTGGCAGGACGCGCCTATCTGTTCAAACGGGTCGTAAACCTGACCTTCAGCAACATCCAGGAACGGGTCATGCTCACCGGACGCCACATGGTGCGCGATGTCATGTGCAAGAACTGCGGCGCCAAACTGGGCTGGATGTACGAGTTCGCCACCGAGGAGTCTCAAAAGTGGGTAAAATCAGACTGGCATTGCTGGAATAATAATTAGGTAGCTTTTGTTTACTTTTTCCTTCCAATTAGGTTGAAGTATATTTGTAGATCAATGTAAAAATAGTCCCAAAAGTGGATCAGAAATAAGAATGTTCTTTTACCTATTAAAGTAGCTTTAGTTCACCATTTTATCGCAATAACTTTGGAATATATGTGTAGATCAAGGATTTTAGGGCGTAAGGTTTCTGATGAGAATGTAAAAGTAATTGTATTAAGTCCAAAAGTGCTAAAAAGCAGGCTGATACGGTTTTTGTTATCCTTGCAAATTGGGGGAAAAAAATGTTTAGTAGATTTTAATAACATTTCAATCTCTTAGAGATATAATAACCGTTTTATCTCTAAGAGATTGAAATGTTGTTGTAGGTTAAGAAATTTAGGTTTTTAGCCTTTGGATAAGTCTGTAAAAGTAATCGTCCTAATTCAAGTTGGCTAGTTTTCTTTTTCTGAACTACTATTTCGGTAGTGGTTTATTTATTCAGACGAGGATGTGATGAGTTTTATAAAAAACAAACAGGCCTTAAACTGTATGATGCCATAATCAATTTAAGCTTCAAAACTAAAAAAGACGGCAAGGCTGGTAACGGCGCTAATTGAGAGATCTTCCTAATTCAATATCCTTTCTTTTTTCTCAGATACAAGGAGGGTCGCGTGATTCTGGAGTACGCCCTGATCACCGAAGCGGAGGGTTTTCCGTCGGAGGCCCCCACCACGAGTCATTGAACGGAGAAGCTCCCAGCCGGAAAACGAAAACCACGCATTGGCGAACCGTGTGTAGCCCTAAGTATTGAGTAGAAAGCCGCAGGCGATGGCTTCTATGCATTAAACCTAGTTTAGAGATCGCCGTAGTCAGCAGGCGAGTCAGCACCAAGTTCGGTAAACCGGTTGTACATCATCCGGCACGGAGGACTCGCCAGCGGCCCATGGTCTTAACGTGACTTAAACGTAATTGTAGGCACATCTAGCACGTAAGCAGCTGCGGCGCCCGATTTTACCATTTAACTACTACTGTCATGAGGCTGAAGTGCTAAAAGAAAGAGATTGGTCCTGTTACGTTGCCCTGCTCCGCAGAACCGCAACTGATCCACACTTGTGTCTTTTCAAACAACAAGATCTCTAGACCGTAATCAATCACCAATCAATCAATCAGCAATAAAGTAACACAATTATCGAATAGTAGATACCGTCAACTCGTTTCTTTACTCTTTACTCAGCTATTATGACAAATGCAGGAAAAATGCATCATCTCAGTTGTCTAAACTAGTTAAGATTGTTAATAACACCTAAAGTTTGCCAGTCTTTTGGGCCATGGCCAGGGCATTCTCGTTGGCGACCACCTGGAACTCCTGGAAGCGCTGCGAGACCCGCTGGTTCATCTTTAGGTACTTCTCCATGCAGTTCAGCGAGCACTTCTCCTATAAGGGAGATTGGATGATGGATATATTTGAAAAATCACAAGACATTGGGAGAACCCACCTCGGTATCCTTGACATCCCGGGATGTAAAGTCGCGCACGCAGTCTGTGAAGCACATCTCGGACAGCTTGTTGTAGGACATCAGGAAGTCGGAGAACTAGATGGTAAAAACCAAATCAAATGAAAACCACATTGCATCATGGCCCCAGTGACTGACCACCGGCTTTTGTGTGCAATCACCACATCTTTCCCACTCACCGTCTTCATTTGATCCTTGTCCAGCTGATCCAGCGCTATGTTTTCCGGGCTCTTGGCCATCTTGTGCACCGATATTTGATTCAAGTTTCTCCAAACGAATGGGGCCAATAATAATGTGCCTTTATTAAATAATAGGGACAGCTGGTTGGAGCTGATAACTCGGTTCATCGATGTTTTCCATGCTCTCTATACATCGATAGCTTGACAGACGATGTAATCGGGGAAAATAAAAAAATGATATTTGAAATATTTTTCTATGGTATTCGGTAAATTCTAAAGAACAATTTCTTTTTTGTATTTCATGAATGAAAAAAAAAAAATTTCTAGTCATATTTAATAGAAGCCGCACAAAACAGTCTGTCCTTAGGCTATGTGTCTTTGTTTGGCCAAGTTACTATGAAAAAACTCTTAAGAAATGTGTTATTTTTTGTCAAAATTCTAAAAGTTTAACAAAATATTTTAAGAAATCGGTTTCGTATCCAAATCCTGAGAAATAAAGTTCGAAATTTAAAATGTCATGCCTCGTTGAATTGTCTGAAATTGTCATATAATATCGAAACGATTAGCATATACAGATAAAAAGTGTAGTTTTGGAAAATTTTCCCAAAAAAAATGTTCCCAGCTAAAATGCCAAATTCGCAAATAAATTATTATGTTCAATAAAGCTCGATAATAGACCAATAATATAATTTATTGAAGTCAAACAGGGTTTAATTTTTTTGGGCTATTAGCTGCACAAAGCAATAAGTCTTTTGGCCGTGCAGCATATTTTTTTTAATACCGTTCATAAATATCTTTTAATTTGATAATTCGTCGTGAGGAAATAACGTGAAAAAATGAAGCGTGAAACATGTATTTAAAAAAAAAACAGTAGACAGTTTTTTTTGGGTTATTTTTAATACCGACGAACGGTCTTGCTAGTTTGCGCACTTTTCAACACTGCCCAGCGCGCCATCTTTTTTTCTTCACAAAACATATTTTTTCGTCCTGCTTTTTGGGTGTGTTCGCTGCGCAAAAGGCGAGAAAAAGCCAGGATAAGCAAGGAAAACCCAGGAAAAACCGAGCCGCAAATACCCACTGATAGCCAGCGGGAAAAAGGAGCATTCACACACACAGACAGAGCACCACAAGCCATATCCATATCCAATCATAATGCCACGCTACCGGGAATGGGATTTGGCCTGCAAGGTGTACGTGGGCAACCTGGGCAGCTCCGCATCCAAGTACGAGATCGAGAACGCATTCAGCAAGTATGGACCCTTGCGCAACGTTTGGGTGGCCCGTAATCCGCCCGGTTTCGCCTTCGTGGAGTTCGAGGATCGCCGCGATGCGGAGGACGCGACCCGTGGCCTGGACGGCACCCGCTGCTGTGGCACCCGCATCCGCGTCGAGATGTCCTCCGGCCGTTCGCGCGAGGGGCGTGGTGGCGGCGGCGGAGGCGGTGGAGGAGGCGGCGGCGGGGGCGGATCCGGGGGCGGTGGCCGCGGCGGAGGCAGTGGCGCCCGGGCCGGAGGAGGCGGTACAAGGGCCGGCGATGGCGGCGGTCGTTATAGGTGAGTAGATCGCATCCCCCCCTCTCTCTCAATCACCATTCGATTCGATTATGAAACATCATAATTTTTGCCAATATGTGCGCAGAAAGAAAAACAAACACATATATATTTTTGATCTGTGTCGTGTGTGCGTGTATGTATGCATGTGAAAAATCGATTCGCGTATACATACGAAAGCGGGGCCAGCCAAATTACACAAACACACACACACACATACGTCTACCTCAACAGTGGGACCCCACTGTAAGTCAGCACAGTGACGTCCGGTAAAAACAGTCCTACCACCACACACACACACAGTGGCGTCCTGGTTGTTGCTATTCAATCGATTTGCTATGTTTTTTTTTAGGGTAATTGCAATATATAGAGTACCCCATTTCATTGCTCATTACGCACCCCCGAGGTCCATAGTTTAAAGTTCAAAGAGTATAGCTTTACCTAGAGAAAACGTTTTGTTTGTTGTTTTTTAGTAAAAAAGTAAAAAAAAAAATGTATTAAAAAAAAAATAATTAAACATAGTAAAACCAAAGTAAATCGTTCGATTTAGAGCCAATTTTAATGTGGTCTCACAATCATTTTGCAGGATAAAGTCTTCTTCTTCTACTACAACAAGCACAACAAGAACTACTACAACAACAACATCAATAATAATAATAATTAAAAGAACAACAAAAAAAAAAAAAAAAAAAAAAACAACAACAGCTACTACTACTAGAACTTCTACTACTCCTCTTCCTTCAACAAGTACAACAAGAACAACAACAGCTACTACAAGAACAACTAGTACAACAGCAGATCCTGCTCCTCCTATTACACACATTTCACCAACAACAACAGCCACCTCACCACCACCATGCAATTTGTTGTGCGGCCCTTGTCAGAAATTCAACAAATTCGATAAATATATTCCGCTGACCAAGAACCAGAACAAAAAACCGAATGACCGCAACACTACACCCCCTCCACCACCTGTTCAGCTCGACCCTGGCCAAAAAACAAATCATCAGCGACGTCTTCGGCTCCGCAACTACAAGAATAATGCACCCAAAAACCAGACCAAACTCACCCACAGCCACCTGCATACATACATCCCATTATGGGGCAAACGACCACTATTTGTGTTGGTTATTAATAACATAAAAACGAAGCCAACTTTAATGTTTCTTTTTTGTTTTTTGATTTTTTCTTTTTAATTGGCACAGAATTTTCTTTGTAAAATAATTTTTCCAACACTTTTTGGTCAATATCTTGCTTAAACCAAATATTTTGAAGCATTATTTGGTACAGTCATGGTTTAAAAAGGAAAGTGTATTTAAATTGAAAAGTAATTGTCTTCCTTTTTTTGAGCATCAGTCGTAAGCATTTTTTATTATGCTAAAACTAAAAAAAAGAGCTAGTAAACAAATGTGCACTTTAATATAGTTTGTTTTAGAACAAAAATGGACAAATCAAACAATACTTTAGACGTAAAAAAGTTATTAACTAATTATTAATATTGAATCTATGCCAACAAAAGCTATCGTATGCCCCATAGTGCATCCCACATTCTCACATCATGTACGGTCTGTTAGTTGACCCCATCTTCAGGCTACACAACAAACACACACCATTAACCACACTAATCACCAAGAAACCACAGCGAACCGGGCATCGACGGCAACAGAGCAACTCCATCAAGAATCTAACTCCAATATGTATCTAAGCATATATATATATATACACACTCACCAGTCCAGCAACGCTTCAATAAGTCAACTTCCTACGCCTCCAAGTTCTGCTGCGGTTGTCTTCAGCCTGCTTCCTTCGTCCCCAACAAACCACCCACCACCTCATCATCCGTCATCTTTAGTGCAGCTACAGCAGCATCAGCAACAAGCTACAGCTACAAAGACCAACTGCAACAACAGCTTCTTCTTCTACTACTACTACTACTACTACTACTACTACAACATCTGGCAGCCGGTCAGCAAAAGTATCTCTCGTAGATCTTTTATTGCCACCACCACCCAGTAGTTGCACCTTTCCCTTGCAATCAATCAAGATTGAGGCTGCTGCTTCACGCTTATTCCTTCAATCGCAGCAAGTATGAAACCTTTGGCCGCCACCAACACCACTTCCCTTCGAACCGAACCGAAACAAAACGAAAACGTAACGTCTCTAACAAAATCCGTTTGTAATATTTCTATTTATGGTTTCTGCTAATTTTTTTTTTTTTTCATCTTTCGTTCTTGTATCCTAACATCTACTGAGATAATGTTGTTCGCGCTAACTGTCTGCTCTCTGTATATATATATATATATATACGTGTGTTGTGTAAATGTGTTTATGCATTGACCCGATCAACTAGAATTCAGTCAGAAAGTCAGATCAGACGGTTCACCAACCACCAACCAACTAAACGACCCCACCAAGCACCAGCAGCATCAGCAGGGCAGGGTCTTCTTCAAGCTCGTCTCTCCTCTTCGCGGATGGTAGGAGCAGCCACAACCACAAACCACAACCACCACCTGAACCTCTTTTGCTGATAACTGATGCTGATGCTTCCCCACCAACTGCTTCTTCATTCGACCTACGTTCTTCGGCTGCTGCAACAGATAACAGAATAGAATGATTCACCAATATTTATATATATATCCACCAACAACACACACAAAAAAAAAAACCACCACACCACAGCCACTTTAGTCACAGTCAATCAGCCCAGAATCAGCTCAGTATCGTATTCGTATCAACAGCCCAAACTACAAATTACAACAATTCAACAACAAGAACCTACTACTACTACTACAATTCAACAACAACTACAACAACAACAGTCTTCTCAGTCTGCTCTGCTCATCAACCAACTAAGCAACTACCTACCAAGAAACCAATCAGCCAACCAATCCAACCAACCACCACCAATTACTTTATGTAAATGTCACACCAACGCTTTCGTAAATGGGGCCAAAAAAAAAGAATCAAAAACCAAAATCAGCTATATCTCCACCACCTTCAAGCACCTTCAACCACAAAAAAAATACAGCCAGCTCTCAGCTCCGCTCAAATTAAAGCTCCAATATCAGCTCTCCGATCCACCAGATCCGTCAGCCCAAGTTGTGTGTTGTTTGATCGAGACCCACTATCAACTTTACGTATCTTAAGGAATTGTTATCTTACTACACGCCTAGTTAAGTTACTCGTTTGTGCAAAATCTATTTAATTTGTATTTTCTCTCTCTCTCTCTCTTTCTCTCCTCTCATCTCCTCTCTCTTTCTGTATCCTGTCTGTGTGTGACGTGCCAATCTGTTTCCCCCAACGCGCCACCCATTTCTTTGCAGATCCCGCTCACCCCGTCGCTCCAGGACACGCAGTCGCAGCTTCTCGCGGGATCGTCGCAGTCGCTCCGATTCGAGGGATCGCCATTAGATGAGCACAGTAAGGAGGAGGAGCCCCGATCCGGACAACACCCTATTGCTTATACATATATGTAGATAGAGATATGTATAACACAGCCACACAGTTTGGGGCCAAAAATGTGTCTGTTTTGCCCCTCACGAGAAGAGAGCGCCACAGATTCCTTAGTTTGACTCAAATATTTCCGCCCTTGCAAAACGTATACATATATACATCCCCTCCCAAAACAAAAAATTAAAGAAGTCGAGCAACTCCACAAAAAAGACCACCACACAACCCAGCCATCTCCGATCTGGATCTGGATCGCAAGTATAGCCACAGTACAATTACGGTACATATTGGTATTTAGGCTTTAAGACTTTGGTAGATTTTAATTCCGAAAAAGTGAAAAATAAGTAATCCTGCAACCAACAACTACAACACACAAAGAGTGAGGCATCAGAAGAAAGAAGAAGGTAAATGCGATTCTACATACATTATCCATTTGTTTCTTCTCTGAATCTGTCGCAACACAAAATGTTTAAGAGAAAAGTGAATATAAAGAAAACGTAAGAAGTTCTAAATAGATTGACGAAAGTGCAAGTAATTAAGTCGTAAAATGAGAATCAATAAATTGAACATAATTTAAAACCAAAACACTTTTACTGACCTTGTTATTTTCGGGTGGGCTCAGGAACTTAACTTTATAATGATAGCTATAAAAGCTATCACTTAAATGGTATTTTTGAAGCCAGGGATTTCTAGTAAGAGTTGGGAGAAATCAAATTCTTTGTAATTATTGTTTGCATTTTCTATTTCCGATTTTGTTATACAAATTAAAAATACAATTTGAATTTAAATATGTTTTGAATGTGAAGTACCATGATATATTCTTCGCTTCAATACTTATTTTATAATTTGTGAGTAAAAGTCTAAAAGAAATCCCTAAAAAAGTTTTCCCATTTCCGAAGTTAAAAACATTCCAAGTCTTGTTTAACAATAGATTTGATTTATTTTCATATTTTGTTTTTTTTTTATAACAATTAGTAATGACTTGAATACACACACATCGTATGTTATCGTGATCGATACGGGATAATCACATTCAGGGCTAAATATGCTATGTATGTATTTAAATATTATACGTGTACATAAAGCAAATAACTTTCGTCTAGAACAATATCAGAATTTCCAATTTGGCGCCAACTCTTGGCTCTAACAAAAATTATTGTCATTTCTCCGCCAGGAGAATCTCAATTCAATAAAGATCAATATATGGTTTAACAAGTGGGTTAATTGCTAACTGGAAACGTGATCGTAGATATTATAGCTGCGCAGGACAGGGATACAATTCAGGGGGACTTAAAAGTTGTACACAGTTTATATATTTATATATTTCATATATAAAGCAGATTAAAGAAGCATTCAGTTATGACACAGTAACAAAGATAAAAAAAAAACAAATAGGGAGTTTTATATTTTAATCCTAAGCCGGAGGATCGACACTTTTAACACAGGGGTAGGGGGTTCGGGGGACGGGTGGTGGGCGTGGCGCAGGGAGACGTCTACTTGTACTTCTTCATGAAATCGGCGTGGAACACACGGAACTTCTCCATCATCAGCTTCAGCTTGTCCGTCTGCGGAAGAATCGTGCTGCGGAAATGCCAGGTGCCGGGCTTTTGGCCAAATCCGCTGCCAGGAACAATGCAAATGCCTGTGGAGGAGAAAGAACCCAAGAATTAGACACTGGTAAAGTAAAGGGCAATATTTACAATTACGGTCAAAAAAATAGTAGTAGTAGTAGTAATAGTACCTGTTTGAGTATTCAAGAATATTTATAATTGATAGTAATTTCTTAAATTTTACTTTTTAAGGTACTGTACTAAATGATTTTATAAAAATTTTAGGAAAATGAATTATAAAATCTCGTTCAACTGCACTTATTATTGAAATAAAAATGTTTTTAATACATGTTTCTTTTTAGAGTTAACTAAAAAAATAAATGTTTTTAAAAATCTATTTTATAAATGTCTTAATGTTTTATATATACCTATGTTAAATGCAGATTTGTATATTTCCCTTACTTAGTTTATGGTATTAGCTTCCAAACTAAAGAACTACTATTATTTTGACCGCGCAGCTGTATATGTTTATAAATGAAACTTACCGCTCGTCTCGAGCAGCTCAAATGCGTAGAAAACATCGGGGGCCATGCCCTTGGCCTTGGCGGCCTCGACGGCCTTGGGCGGGATCTCGATCTGGGGGAAGACGTACATGGCCCCCTGCACGGGATTCACCTTGTAGCCCTCGAAGCTGCTAAGCGTCTTGTGGACGAGCTCGGCCCGCTCCTTCAGGGCGGCGAGGATGCCGTCGCGCTCCTGCTTGAACAGCTCGTAGGAGGGCTCGCCGGGTTGGGGCGGATTGACCAGGGCACTGACCGCCACCTGGCCGGCGGTGGTGCTGCAGAGCGCCGCCGTTATCGACTTGGTCAGCATGGCCTTGACCTGGGGGTCCAGGTTGAGCACCTCCATGTAGCCGCCGCGAATGCCGCACTCGCCCAGGAAGCCCTTCGACGTGGACAGGAAGCTGCACAGCTCGAGGCTGCGGTACGGCTCGCCCATCTCGTAGGCCACCTTCTTGAACGACCAGAACTTGGAGTTCTTGTCGTACACGTTGTCCTGGTACACCTCGTCGGCCAGCAGCAGCACCTTGTTGTCGTGGGCGAACTTGATGATTTCCTCGATGTTCTCGCGGGTCAGCACCTGGCCGGTGGGATTGCCCGGATTGATCACGACCAGGGCACGTGGATTGCACGTCTTCTTGGCCTCGTCAAAGGAGCGCTGCAGCTCCTTCCTGCCCAGACTCCAGCCGGTCTCCTCTTCCAGGTAGTAGTCCACCTTGGTCATGCCGTACTCGGAGATGGTGGCCGAGTACAGGGGGTACTGCGGAATGGGCACCATCACTCCCGGAGCCTTGCCATCCACCTCGGAGCTGAAACAACCAACTGATTTAATTTGGATTCAACAAATAAACAGTCTATTTTATAAATTGTCTTATATAGTCTCAAGGCGAATAAATAAATAAGTAAAAATCAATCTTAAATCAATATATGAATCTATATAAAAATATCTGAAGAACAAGTTAATTTTGCTTTATAATAATTTAATTTTAGACCCACAAAGCTTTTTTTTCAAATGAAATCTCCATGCCTTATGTTAAAAGCATTTAAATGAACCACTTAAACCATCTCGGTACTATTAAAGACTTTGCCTTATTTCAATAATTTATTGATCTGTAAAACTAAAATAAACTTCCTAAGATACTTGCTGCCAAATATGACAGTTAAAGTTATTTACGATTTCTGTAGCTTTAAAACCATAAAATTAAATCTTAAACTTACAAAAACCATATTTTTGTAGCACAGTATTTAACCTATTTAAAAAAAAAAAAAAAAACTTGTATAGAATTCAACTATACCATAAAAATATTTATCTCTGCTACCTTCTTTCAGAAGTTTTGCATGCTTAAACTGAAGCACTTTTGCCCAAAAAAATAAAGAGATATATAGGCCATATCTCTGGCATTATATAATATGTACATAGCTCCAGAAAGGCAAGCCTTATCTACTGCAATAAAGAAATGTTTCCCGGAATTTGCGGCATACTTGATCATGGCGAGAATGCTCTTGATGCCGGGAGAAGCGCCGCCGGTGAGGTAGATGTTTTGCCAATCGCTGGCGATGCCGCCGTCCCGCTTCTCGATGTACTTGGCCACCTGGCGACGGACCACCTCCAGTCCGGCGGAGTCCGTATAGGAGCCCACCGACTGACCCTGGCAGCCGTCCAGAATGGCACAGGCGCGCTTCTTCACGTCCTCCGGGTAATCGGGTGAATCGAGCAGACGAGACTCAAAGGTCAGCGCCAGCAGCTAAACAAGTAAAATAAAATAACATCGATTAAATCTAAGAAGAAAGAAAACAAACGTCGGCAAGCCGAAGTTTATATACCCTTCCAGATTTCATAATGTCGTATTTCTTATACCGTTGACCGATTATAAAATTTTGTAAAGGTAAATTATTAATATATCTTGGATAATTTAATATATAATATCCAATATAATAGTTATTACTATTTGATCTTTCAATCCGTCTCGTTCCGACTAGAATAGACAGAAACTTCTGGGAAACTGAGAAACAAGATTGCGTAGTATCGGACAGATGGATATACGGACGGATAAGGCAACATAGACTGATCTAGAACACATACATATACTTTACAATGTCTCCTTCACTGCAAAGGTAAAAAAATCAATCAAAGGACTATCCAATCCAACTCACCTGTCGCAGGAAGGTCAATGGCTGCTGGCCCATGGCATGGCAATCTCCAATGTTGGCACGGATCACCTGGTCGAAGGGCTTCTTGGCACCCTGCAATCAAATTCATTCGAAACGGAAGGTAAATTACACATTGTTTACTATGTTGGTCTGTTGGTCGCCCGCAAATTGAATTATGATGGCGGATCAAATAAGCCTCTAATTTGTGGTTTTCACTATGCAAATTACTCTGAAGTGTAATTGTGGCCCTCTAATTGGACACACACAAACACTTTCAACCGCATGGAATATTTGCAATTGGGTCAGAGTAATCGATTGAGCTGAAATTCCAATTAATTTTGTATCACTCATGTGCCATCAAAGATTAAATTGTAGTGCTGGTGTATTCGGGATAGTTACTAAATGGAAATTAGAATCACCCATAATTGAAGAGAAAGAACTTAAACGCATAAAACATTTGAATCAACCCAAATTAATCAATGGATTAACAATTCCAATTAGTAGTTTATCACTAATGTGCCATCAAGAGTTAAGCAAATATTGTAGTTTTTTTTAGATTTTGGTTGAAGTTGGAAATAAAAATTAAAAAAATAAAGTCAGTTTTTGCTGATGCATAAATATGCCAACTATATAACTATCTGAATACCAGTTTTCGTGTTATTAGAATTAAGGAAATAATTTGTCTGAGTTATCATTTTTACTGTAAAATAAATTCGTTGCGGATACAAAAGCAAAAACTGTGTTAAAAAAAAAAAATTTATACAAATTATAAAATAGGATCTAGTGATTTTGTGAAGAAAAGGAGCTTTAGGTAATTTGGGTTATTTGCTATTAATTTATTTTCCTAGTTTTAAAAGTATCAATGTTGATTAAAGTGCAGTAGTTAAAATTGGATAAGAATTCAGAGAATACCCAGTACTATTCCTACTCCAAATCGGGTTCACTATACCCCCTATATGGGGTAGGGCACACAGTAATTTGCTGTTGGAAACTGTCAACTGTGTAAGTTTAACACACAGTTTGCCGGGCACATGCAAGTTGCATTCATTAAAGACCCCGTCGTCTCGGGTTCCATTTTACCACGCTAGAATGGTCAATTTGCTACATAATGTATTACAATGGAGGGACCTCGATATTGTGGGTTTTGCGGCTAAATAATGGAAATTGCGCCTTGTAAGCGAGCTTCATCGCTTCCAATTGACGTCATTGGGTATTTGGTGGTGTGTGTGTGTGACTGACAAAGTAGTTATTGGAAAATTAAGGAATTCACAAATTGAGCACAAGAGCATTCTTCGCAAAGTTCTCCCCGTGTAAACGTGTTCACACGGCCATCGCGCCACCTTATCGAATCTAGTTAATTATTTCTTTTTTCAATTTCGAAAATTACTGATAAAAGCGTTGCCAAGTCGAGGCAAATGGATTGCACCCACAATCATGTGTTTGTATCACACATGGAAATATCTATGGTATCAGGTTCTATCGCAATAAAGTGGACCTATTTGGCTAACAGAGGGGGAAATATTTTAACTAGACCAACTGCAAAGGTTTTAAACTAAGTTCACACTTAATGATCGATTTGAAACGTAGTTAAGGAGTTAGAATTATGTGGATATACCTACATACATTCATTGTAGTTGATCACCGCTGCATGTACTTCTAGAATTTTTTCAGATTCTCTCTTTTCTCATATTTTCTTGCTTATACCCTTCGAACATTTCGCACTTGAAATCGTTGTAAACAAACTTTTTGTGCTAAGTGCCAATATAATTGATAACTATATACATATGTATGTATACATATACTCGCACAGGTAGAGTCGTATAATTATAGCGGTCTTGTATACAGGCGTTGGCAACCCAGACATTATCGCTGAACGAGCCTAAATAATAATAATATGCTATAGCGATTAGGCTAGCGAGTTCTAATGTCAAATGGAAGTGTGCACAAACTGAAAATAAGTGTAAGGGGAAATATAGTTTAGCTTCCGAAGATAATAATTATTATGTGAATGATACATACATACAACACCTGAAATAATACATATTAGGATTTTCATACTTAAAATTGAAACTTTTTTTAAGAACAAAAGAAAGTTGAACCAATATATCTGATAAGAATGTCTGTTGCTGTCAGATGATGACTTTTTGGAATATTGCCAAAGTGCACAAGTGGAGGAATTTGATAAAACGCAGATGGAACACAACACACAAGATTCAGATTCAGTCGTGCGGATAAGGAAATCAATCGCAGCGGGAAACTGAGGGAAAATCAACTGGCTGTCAGTGGCATTAAAACACACAGAATGTGGAAAGTCAGCGGGGCCAACAATGGACTTAAATGCGATTTATATTCCTACATGAACGAGAAGTACATACGCCTGCGGGTCAGCAAAGGTCGAAGAGAAGAAAAAGGCGAAAGAAAACGTGTGTACAACATATTTCCCATAGCTCATGCGCATGTTGGGCCTTTGTTTTGATTTTTCACTTTCACACAGTGATAACAAAGAGTCCTCAGAATCCGACCCACCCACAATTTCCGCACTTATGTAAGCCAAGTTGAAGGTCGTTCAGTGAACTTAAATTGTGTCACGGTACTCCTCTACTTTAATTAGAGTCCAAGAGAGTCTAAGATACGTAATGTGGAATAATTACAAACATTCATAAGCAATTAAAACCATGACTCGTTAAGGAAAATGAGGGAAAAAAAACTCGGCTTTAAGATGACAATACGGGTAAGCTGCATTTGACGACCTCCTAGAGACACATCATTCACTCTAGAGAGCAATACTTAAAGTAATTACTTTATTGACTTGTTTACTTTGCCCCAAAAGTTTAATTTCCTTAACTCAAAGTTCACTTCTTAAATTTTCGGCATTTTATTTGCAGCCATTTAAGGAATATATTTCGTTTTAGATAAGTTTCGATAATTATATGGCCGGCAGATTAAAATTGCCCAGGTCTTTTTGGATTACTTTCGAAAGCTTCGCAACCTTTTTTTGTAGAAAATATAGAGCATTTGTAGTTAAATAAAGATATTGTTTCTATGAACAAGAAAAAACCTTGACAATTTTGTTGCCTTAAGTGCCTTAAATAGTGAATAACAAAATAAAATGATTTATTTAAAGTCGTTGTCTTATTGCTAAATCAAAGTATAAGAGAAAAATAAAGAAAATCAAGATCTATATTTATTTGAAGAGGTGAACGACGAATGACCAACGAATTTTGTAATGTTTTTGTTTACTTTTGTGTTGCTTACGGAAATAATAAAACCTTTGGAATGACTGCTATTTCTTCTCAGAAGGGGTTTAAAAATGTTCTCTTAAGCTACTCGTGACAAATATAATACTATTTCACGAACCAATAGAATATTTACTTTCTGTAACCATTCTACATGTGTTTCTCATACTATTTTTTTAGCAAGACTTTAATTACTTATTTTCGTGGTAGATTTTCTAACAGGTGTCCTTGAAAGGGAGGGAATACGAGGTAAATGATTTGGCGTGGCGGTCTCGCCCATTCGAGCGTAAAACAAATGAATAAAAAAGGGCGGCAAAGCGAGGCGGCACAACACATCCAAAACAAACACAGACACTGGCACAAATGCTTATATATAAAGATATAGCGTGCTTAGACATTAAAATGCGGGCTTTGAGTTGCTATCAAATTGGGGGAACCAAAGGGGAATAAAACGCTGGATAATGGCGTCGCATTTAGCGCTTTGTTTGGCATTACAAGGGAACTACTTTTGATTCACTTTTGGATTACTTTTGATCACGTTTGGAACTCACCTTTTCCAGTTCCTTTTCGATTTCTCCAGCGCGAATAACCAAAGGACCGCGAACCGCATATTCCATGGCAATAAAGTTGGGATTTATGTTATCCAGCTTCAGTGATTTCGACGACGACGGCATTTTCTGGCTGGTTGAGAACGAACTAAAAAAAATTCGGATTCAAAATTAAAGCACTTAATATTTTTTTTTAGCGAGCGAATTTTGTTTAGCGAGCGACTAACGGGAGAAGTGAATAAACATTAGTGCCCAACATCGACGAAACGATTTTTTAAAAAGGTTTCATCGATGTTTGGCGGGGCAATATCGATGTTTTTCCATCTCTACTCTGCTTTCCCACTGCTGCAGCGCTGCCCCCTTACAACATTCCTCTGTTAAATCATCGTTTGTTAGGAAAATATCTTAAATACAAAATAGGAAAGTTAACAAAACACCTACTAACCGGCGGACTTCTAACGGTTGAATGAAATTGCCGCTTTTGCCGTGTCGCTGTTGCGTCGCTGCCGCTGCTGCCGACGTCGACGTCGCCGCTTTCGCCGCACGGCGACTGCCATTGTTGCTATTGTTTTGCAGGAACGATTTCCAGCGGCGAATCACATATTGTTGCTGCTGACGTTGCTGTTGTTGCTGCAAGGCGGCTGAAACTGTCGCCGCAGCGGGCTTAATTAGCATTCGGCTCATTATTTCTGCAAAAATTTTAAATAAAATTCAGTCAGTAAATAAGTTATTAAAACAGCCAGCGCTTAAATGGCAAAACATAAGCACACTAAAAAGTGGAAGAGGAAGCTGGAGAAGAACTGAGGGTGTGCGCGTGTATAAGAGTCGAGCTCACAATTATAAGGGCGGCGAATTCGGTGGAACAGCTGTTATCACAACACCGTCAGAAAATTCAGTATAAATATCAAGAAACATTCAAGTAAGCAAGTGAAAAAAATGGATTTTTTTTTTTTTTAAGTGAATTTATTTAAATAAGAAAAAAAAAAATATATGTCTTCATAGAAGAGCATCTGCAACAATATAGACATTTCAGTATAATAAATACGATTTTAGTACAAATTAAAAAACCACATCAATATTTATCGAGTAAAATATGGCTATCAGGCCCATTTATTTATCAAAATTCATAAAATTGATAAACTTATATAAGTTTTTCTTTTTGTGCAATACCTTTGGGTCTTATCATTGTGTGAAGCCAATTATCAGTAACATTTTAGGGCTAATCAATGGGCTATATTTTATTTATTGGAGTTTTGATTATACATGTATGTTTTTAAAGCTAGAGAGTATATATTTACGACTGCTGGAAATTTAACATTTCAATTCTGAGCTGAGTGGGCATTTAGTTGGTAGGCAAACCCAGTTGCTGCACTTGGGCGCGATCTTTTGAAATGCAGCTAAACATATCTTATTTGAATTTGAAAAAAATCTATTTTAATTGCCAATTAAATTTGACTCATTTTACAAACATCTAGTAATAAAACAATTGCATCGAAAGTAAGTAAAAAATAATATTATTCTTTTCCAATAAAAAAATGACTTTTAACAAACATATCTTTCTTTTTTGTTGATATATACATAAATTTGAAATCATATCATTACAAAACCAGATATTTCTTTTCACTTTTAAATAAAACTTTAAACTTTTAAAATATTAAGTTCTTATTTATGTATTTGATTTAAAATTAAAAATAAAATGTGTTATTGTAATAGGTTTTTTAATAACAATAACTTTACGGTACTATTTAAAAAAAAAAACACCTTATCGCTGTGGAAGTTTTTTCAGAGGCAAGTCAACGGATTTTTTGGCTATTTACTCTGGCATTATGTATATGATTTAATAGCTCAATTTCTCCATAAAATCAGACGGGACTCATTGGTTGCCCCTATCAGTCAAGCGTACTTTTGACTTTGAGCTAAATTAGCCGAGCTTATCAGTGACGTCCCAGTCGCAGCTTACGATTCCTCATCTTTCAATTTAATATGTATAATAATTTTCACGTTTCAAAATGTTTGCACTTTGGGGCGCTTATTGCGTAATGCAAAAATATAACAAAAGATGGACAAAGAATCTTTTAGAAACATGACAATGACCAGAAATCGCTTACCTCAACCTCAACCTCAACACTCTATTTTTTTTCGCACTCAAATCAAGCGTCAATCAGCCGCATATTGTTTGCTTTCTTTTTAGCGACAGCGAATTTTTAGAAATTAAAAACGTACTAAATGGCCCGAAAAACATATGCTGTTCTATATATATATATATTGGTGGTATATAAAAACAAATTTGTTTATTCAAGTCCAAGCCAAACTCGTTGGTAAGTCGTTTTGTTCGATTTCTTTAAACCGGTTGCGGATTTACTGGAATAGAAGACAAGGGAAAGAAAAAAGAGGGAGTGTAGTCCAATTTTGCGATCGAAAGAGGTGGACAAACATTTGAACAGACATCACCGACTAAGTTCTACCGTAAATACTCGTTTACTTTTAATATACTATCTAATTTATATACAACAAATTAGATAACTTTCTAAATAATATCTTATTATGGTATATTTTACGAAAGAACTATTAACTATCTTGAACATTTATAACCCAAAATAATATTTGAAAGCTTATATTGTTGCTTATTTTCGGCAATATTAAGTTATTGAAAAGAATAAAGTAGAATTAAATTGGTCTATTAAAAAAAATGTTCTAAACAGTTTAACAGTCGTTTTTAAAGTAAAAAGGGTTAAACCACGTATATTTATCTTCAATTAAGTTTTAAATGACTTTTTTTTTTGTGCGTACAAAACATTTGAGAATCACTGTTCATCGCCATAGGTTTGAACTGTACCCCTTTTGTTTGTGATTTGTTTTGACAACAAACTGCCTTATGCAACAAGCTTTAAAACAAAAAAAAACTATATTATGTGGACTTGGCGCACTTTGCTCCATGGTTTAACCCCCTGTTCCGCACTTTTAACCCCCCGCATTGTGGATTATCAGACATCCCAACTGGATAAGATAGTAAAGATAAGGATTCCAATTAGAAACACTGGCCATCCGGATGAAGTCGTTTCCAACCGACGAGAACAAGTGAATTATATTGTAACTCGATTGACACGTAGCAAACAAAATAACAAAAGTATATATAATTGATGGTTGGGGTGGGGGGTTGTATTGTTAAGTGCTAATTGGCTCGCTAAACAGCTGTTAACGCCGCACAAATTGGTAAAAGAAAAACGCGGCACGCAATTCAATTAAGAAACACGCAAAACGATAAACAAAATCAGAGTACTACTCTGTACATTCCTTTTTTTCTGGGCGCACAAATTACTTTCACTGTCACTTCCTCGGCGCTCCCAATTAGAATTTCTCGGCCACGGTGCTTATATATATACACACAAAGGCATTTATATATATATTTATGTAGTTCAAGAGCGTAAAATCGATTTTTCGCTGCACTTTTTTATGGGTTCACCTTGGTGGGCGCTATCTAAGTGGGCGTGGCGATTATCTAACGGCGTTTGTTGTGATCCCAAAGAAACTTGCATAAACTTATTAATAAACATATATACCTAATAAATCTGTGTGTGTGTGTGTGTATGCGTATGCGAGCGAATTCCAATCAGAAACGAATCGGAAAATTTAAGCTGCTTGGCCGTTAGCCGCAATTAAACAACTGAATTGAAACTGAAATCGAAACCGAAGTGCTGGCAATATTTTCAGTTGTTGTTTTCAGTTGATGTACCGACTAGATGTTTTTCTTATTGTTGCACCGCGCGGAAACGGCGTGTGGCGAAGTCACGATGAAGCGGTCAGCGATTAGATTTTAAAAATATCACGTCTGCAGCCCTGGCGCCTTGGGGGCTTTCGATAGACCGCGATAGATCGCTTGATGACCGTATTTGCCGTTCTGGAAAGCTCTCAAGATTTTTTGAAAAATAACGGACTTATTTCCTTGAATATTTTCCCTAAAGACTGCCATAGCGGAAATTACACATTTTTGGGCAGATTTAACAATGCAGAAATGTTAATTATTTCAATTATTTTTTTCAGAAATAATATTAATGTGTTGTTTTGACAAACCCCTATTTTTTAACATCACTGTCGTCCTTTTTAATAAAAAAAGATAATTGTAATGTAAATCCAAAAATGTATTCCAAAGTTTTGTCCCAGAGTTAGGTGTCCATTAAAGCAGGGTCCACGGATTCCAGGTGTTAATTTTGCATCTCCGATTTTCCCAATTTCCAAGGTGTTTTTGTTTGTAAAGTGTCGATCCTGGTCTGAATTATTTAAAACAAATTTCTATACTTTTAAACTAAGGCATACTTTGGTCTTCAAAAATGTTTTTCTCTGGAGTCTAATACGTTTTTGTCAAATAAAAATGTAGTTAGTTTTTATATTTTTGGATAATGGAATTGATTTAAAAGAATAAAAATACTAGGCTTTTAATTCAAAACATTTTCCATTGTTTTATTTCACTCGAAACTTATGGGGCTAGTCAAAAAAAATGTCGTCTTATTCTAGGGCTATGTACAGAGTGTATTTTAGATGGAGGAGGATAGAATGATGGATATACCCTCTTGAGCTCTTGAACCTTGGCTACGTGCTGATGCCCATGATGGATTCGATGGAGAAGCTCAGCTTGGGCTTCTTTTCGGTGGCGGCTGCGGAGGCAAAGGGTGTGTTCATAGAGGCATGTGCATACGTGGGCGGATTCGAGGGCGGGATCGTCGGTGGCATCGGGTGATATATGGGCTGCTCGTGATGAACCGCTGCCGCGGCAACGGTGGCGAAGTACAAAGCGTTCCCGCCCAGCGTCGCCTCCATGGCATAATTCAGTTCCGGATCGGCGAACGCTCGTCGTTTGCGCATGCGCTCCATCAATGGTGAGCTGAACGTGGGAAATCGCTGTTTGTACTCTAAAAAAAAGGGAAAAAATAGTCCAAAATTAGTACACTGGTAAAATAGTAGTAAATCCTAGTATTTCATAGTCAAGTTAAATATATTTCGTTTTCAATTATATAAAAATTGATTCGAAACAGGTTTTATATATAAAAATGTAATTAAAAATTGAATCCATATTAAATTGAAATGTAATGCATATTAAATAAATAATATATTCCACATCAAAGCAAATCTTTTAATATTAAATCATGTCGTTTTATGTGCATTGCATTTTATATTATGATTTTGTATATAATTGATATATTGTATATTGTATATACTCTTCCATTCTTTTTATCAGTGTAACAGTTACAGGGATGGGCGTTATCACTACAAATTGCCGCGATTCGTTCGAGATTGGACCCATTAACATTGAGTAATCCGAGACACGCGTCGCGTTCCCAGACAGTCTGGCACCTATCGTTGAGGATCGGAATCGGGATTTGGGATTCGGGATCGCCACTTATTCGGAAACCAGATGGAAAACCCAAAGAAGTCAATTGCTGTTGCCACATTTTCATTTCTTTACCCGAAGAGGTTTTTCCGTTTTTGGTCACGTATCAGTTTACCGAATGCGACGAATGCGACGAATGCGACTCCCTCAAGTGATTGGAAAATGTGCGTACACACACATTTCGAGGCATCCGATTTCAATTGTTTTTCGTCAGTCGTCGAATAATTGCTATTGCTATTGTTATTGTTGCCAGTGTTGTTGTGCATCAGCATCAGTCATAGTCATTTCCTGTCCACGTCTACGGACGAGATCCAAAACCAAGATCTCCGATTACGGACGGGCCAGACAGTCTGGCACCGCATGGACAACCAGAGAAAAGTCGGGGGAGTAGGGGCTGTAGTTATCATTTCAGCTGGACCATCTACTTTACTACTTTTTTAATGATCCATTTAAAAAAAAATTTAGTTTTAAATTTAAATATTTTTAACCAAATATCAAGGTTGTAATTGAGGACATTTTTTTATTTAAATGAATGAATTGGAAAATAATAAAATAAAAAAATAAGTCTTTTATGGGGAAGTTTGAGGGTTAGAGTTGGGGATTCTTGGCGTCTTAATTTAAGTTTATGTCAACTAACCTTCCATAGCGGCCGTTATGTGGAGCGTTGACTGTTGCAAACTGCGCAATCGTTGCTTGTAGATCCTCTTTTGAGCCATCAGAGCTTGTCGGGTGGCGGAGGAGGATGCGGATGCGGATGCGGAGGATAGACGAGCGGATGGCGGCGGTGATGTGGAGCTGATTGAATCCTCGCCCTCGCTGCTGGAGGCGGTGCCCACTGCGGCGGCCAGTCCCGATTTCTCGCATTTTGAAGCGGAGCAGGTGGTGGCCCCCAAGGCTCCCAAAGCCTCCATGGTCTGTTGGCGTCGCAGGGCCACCTGGGCGGCCATCACACGCTGGCGATCCACCACCAGCTGGCAATTGGGGCAGCAGCACTCGCGCCATCGGCACAGCCGCTTGTGACCTTTGACACAGGAAATGACGCCGTGATTGCGACACCTGGCGCACTTGGGTGTCCTCAAAAGCCTTCGTTCCCGCTGACTAGAACTAGTACTAGTTCTAGTACTATTACTAGCACCGCCAGCACCTTTACTAACACTTATGTCCTTGCTCATCCTGACTCGCCGATCGACTGAAAAGGATGCGGACCGGGGCGCGAACATTTAAGCACTGAAACTGAAACTGGACGACGGGCCAACAGCTAACAGCCATCAACCGCAGCTACTTGTCGCCGTCAGACAGTCTGGCAGCGTCAAGTGGTCTCAGTCGGGGCTTCAGTCGGGGGATCCTAAATATACGAGCTATATGAGATATACAAGATATTCGAGGTATACGTACGGGATACGTATCGGTCCCTCGCTTGCCATTGGCTGCTAATCGCTGGCTCTAAATTTAGACGACCCAATCGCCGCACAGATGTCTCGCATCAGCATCCGAAAGATACATTCTGCTACAGGACTAAGTACCTAAACTCAACCAACATTGTATAAATTCTAAAGGAGTTGCTTTGGATTAATAGTATAATATAATATATAAATATTATATTATAAAAAAACAACCTTTTGAGTGCTTAATATTCCTATATTTTAGGTAATATTATCATCTAATAGTGATAAAACTCTTTTCTGAATTTATTTTATTTATTTTTTCTTTTTCTTTAGCTGTTACTGCAGTTTTATAAATTTTCCTGTTTTGTTTTTTTTTTTACTCATCTTATTTTTTAATAGATATTCATTTCAAGATAAAGCTACCTGAAAATCCGTATGAAATGGGCTTAATATTCTCTGATCGGGGTGGTTCGATTTAAAGATGTTTGACTGTACTTTTCCCATCCGCATATCTTTGTTTGGACTCTGTATTTCGTCAAAGTGCATATTGATTTCTGGATGTCTTCCATTAATATCTTTATTCGTTTATTTGACTCAATTGTATATATTGTATAACAATTTGTAGCATTATTTTATATAGCACATACATATATATATATATTTCCGTATAAATACAAATTCAACATGAGTTTAACATTATCGCTTCATTAGTTTAGCTAACAAACAGTAGTAAAAAAAGAAAAAAATTCTCAGCGGTTTATATTCTAATAAGTGTTTTGGGGCAGGACTTTTCATTTTGATGCCTTTTAAATGCCTTCTCTATATATGTATATATATTACATATATATTTTCTGGAACAGTGCGTTTCACTAGTATCAGACAGTTGGACTTTAAAATTTTGGAAATATTATAGCCAATTTAGGCGATTGTCAGCCAGCTTTAAATGAAGATATGTAATCGAACTCACCATTAAGGGTGATAAATTTGGAATTCTTGCCCTCAAATTAAATAACTCTTTACAATTGTGAAACCCACTGTCCCGCTGTATATATCCATTAAGTAAGTGCGATTCCAAAAGGTGAGTGACTTCTATTAGAGGAGTTCGTAGATTAAAGCTTCAGCTAGAAGTGTGCCAGGTTTCCGATTCGTTTGGTTTGGTCAAAATACAGGTGCGACTTGAAAAAGGACTATGTGTATCCGAGTGCGTTCTATTGTTATCTACGATGTTTTAACAAGCGGACAATCTTTGATTAATCTTCGATAATTATAATTACTTGATTTACACTGAATCATAAATGCTTGCAAAGTTATTGTCCTTAACTGTTCAAAAAACGCTCTCTAAACGGAAATCGAAATGTGTCCGTATTGTGTTGTGTATATATCATCTGTTTTCCCCCTTTAAAAGTTTGATCCTTGAACCAACTAAATCTAATTATAAAACACGCGGCTCTACAAAAATTCGAACGAACGCAAATCACAAAAGTACAAACATTATATATAATACTATTTCATACATCTCGACTACGGAATGTAACTATCGTAAATACTTTTTGATTTCTGATTTCCTTCGATACGATTCTTCGCTCCTGACACAGACGCACTCTGAATTCACTTCATTTGCTATTTTATCATATCACAATGCTTAAAGGGCTCACCGCTTCTCGATTTTCGATTTTCTCAGTTTCAATATTTCCATTTCTTTGATTTTCTCAATTTCGAATTTCGATTTCGATTGGGCTTCAAATTCAACAACGATTGATTGCCAAACGACGATCAATCTATAGAGTTATAATTTAACAGGCTCACTGGTCGCTAAACTATATCATACAGCTCGCGAAATAATTGTATAACCTTGGTATCTCTCATATTTTGATATCATTAAGATTTCCCGAAGCAAAGCAAACAATAAAAAACCCAGGGAGTAGGATTACATTAGAGTGGGAAACTTGAGAACCCAAGTGGCAGATGATCTCAAAATATATGACTAATTTTGAGCATTAAAATGTAGGAAAATTCCTTTCTGGTTTTTGTCTTAAAAAAAAACTATTCTAATGTTAATGTGAAATTCCTCTAGAAAGTATCTTCAATTCTAATAATAATAATATAGTTTTTTTTGCATAGGAAAACCCCAAAGTTCTCCAAATATTTCGCTTGTTGTATGCGACAAATTTCAACAAGTGCGTTACTCTGATGGAGTCTGAATCTACCAGACATCCAGATAGAATGTACATCTCTTCGATATAAATCTTTACATAACAATAAGTGCGCGACAATATTGGTATATATAACTAGTCAATAGGCTCGTTTGTCCTTTGGTGCGGGTTTTTTTTAGATTTAAAGACTTTTAGATTACACGGCCATCTATAATAATACTCGTTTGGTTGTGGGTAAGCTGTAGAAAAGTAAGAAAGTCTCATGGCTAAAGTGTGGTAAATGCAATTTTCCACAAGGTTTTCTATTTTTCCCCTTCTTATTTTTATACCCTTGCAGATGGCATAATGATTTCTTTGCGAAGTTTGCAACGCAGTCAGGATTCCGACTCTATAGAGTATATTTATTTTTCTAGAAAAGTCGATCTAGCCTCTAAATTTTAAAACTTTATAAATGAAACAAAATGAAAACGAAAGTTATAGATTTATTAAAACTACACGTTATCGTATAGCTTCTTAAGAAATGAAAAAATTCAGCGGAAATTCGACATAGTTTCATTTTGTTCGAAATTCATAATCGAAATATAGTAAATTTTAAAGAGTATTTAATTTTTGTAGTATCTGCAAGGGTATAGAAACATCGGCCTGCCGAAGTTGGTTTCCTTTCTCGTTTGATCTCCTTTTGAAAAGGGGTTTTTTCAACTAAAAGGCGGTAAATTTTGGTTTGCCAACGAAGTGGAAAATTTCCATGAGCCAGTGCCGCCGGTGTGATCGGTGATCGGTGACCGGCGATCGGCGATCTGTGATCTTTAGACGATGCTGTTCCGCTTGGCGGTGCTCCGTTGGAGCGTGTTTTGCATGGCGGCCACCACCGCCTCGGCGCCGCCCGTGAAAATCGGCTGATTGACCGCTCGCCGCAGGACGTGCCACATGGCCACCGGTTTCCTCAGCGAGGAGAGCATCTGGTGCCAGTGGCGCAGGCCCTTGCCCACCGCGCAGCTGCCGGCCACGATGTGGCCCAGGGCCATCACCCCGCCCGCCGCCGTCACCCCGAAGACGGTGACTCTCAGTTGGGTGGTGGTCAGACTGGGTGGCGGCACACTGAAGATCATCGACTCGTTGAAGATCGGACTGCGGTCCTTGCGCTTCAGCGAGGTGCGCTTCTTCAGCACCTTGCGATCGTTGTCCATCAGGTAGACCTGTTGGCAGAAGGCAAAATATAAATCAAATTGCTGTCCTATTTAAACTTAACCAATAGCCTTGCTGAAATTTATTGTATGTGTTCAAAGCTATTATTCTATTAGAGTTGCTGAAATAATACCATTTATATTTATCTAAAAAAAAATTCAAAATTTAAAATGCTGTTTTTAATTTCAAAAGTTTTTTCATTCTTTTAAAAGTGTTTAAAATATGAAATCAAAGTAAAATATTTAATAGAAAATTCAATTGATTAAGAAAAAACTACCGACCTTTGCCTTATTTATGACCTTATTCATATGAATGAGCGAACCCACCTTGACAAAGATGCTGTTCACCGTGTCCATGGACTCCGGCAGATCCACCGGCTGGTCCGCGTCCAGCTTCAGATTCCGGGCCTTCACCACCACGATGGTCAGACGCTCCGCCGTGGGCAGGTAGCTCAGCGAGAACATAAGCTCGCCCCAGCGCGCATTGCACTTGCGCGAATCCGAGAGCGGGATCCACGTGGTGATGGGGCGTGGCAGCTCCCCGATCTCCATCTCCGCCTCCCCGATCAGTGTGTGGGCGGGGCCGTTGTGGTACAGGTGAAACCACAGCGAGTGGCGCGCCTGCCGCTTCTGCAGCCAGAAGTTGAAGCTCTCGTTGTAGCTGGGTGTTAGCGCCGCCCTTACCACCTTGTTTGGATTATCAAATGGAGTTACGGTTTAAAAAGCATACTTTGAAAATATGAAATAAATCTTTTCAATAACTTCTTAATTAAGGAAAACGTAGTTTGTCGGTTTAAGCAATACATTTGTAACATATAAATAAACTGTTGACCACTACTTCCCAGAAATTATTAAGATTTGTTAAAAAAAAAAAGGTTTAAAGACTTATTTGTTGTATCTTGTTCAAATTTATGATTTTTTTTAAGCATAGCCAAACCAGTGACTGTTTTGTACAGCTGGTGACCTATAAAAACAGTCCCGATCGATTTACAAAAAAAAAATTGTTTCGATATAAAAAAAGATTTTTTAAAGCCGATTTTTTAATAATGGCCAATTTTCGCATTTTTGATAAGGGGGTACATCATCATTTTTTGCCAAAATTTGAAAACCTGGAAAAATTTTAGCTGTGAATGCCATTTGATTGGAAATTTTATGACGAATCCAACGATGCATGAAACTCCAACTTCTGACAATTATTTCCCAGGTTTTTTATTCAAAAACTGATTTTTAAACGGTATTTTTGTGTTTTTGGCGAAATAAGAATACAAAGCATTTCCTTAAAGTCTTTTTGTTGTAACTTGTCCAAAACAAGACGCATGGTCATAACAGTGACTGTTTTTTACAGCTGGGGACCTATAAAATCCATCCCAATCGAAATACAAACAATTCAGTTTGTTTTGATATAAAAAACGATTTTTAAAGTCGTTTTTTTAAAAATGGTCAATTTTCGCATTTTTGATAAGGGGGTACATCATCATTTTTTGCCAAAATTTGAAAACCTGGAAAAATTTTAGCTGTGAATGCCATTTGATTGGAAATTTTATGACGAATCCAACGATGCATGACACTCCAACTTCTGACAATTATTTCCCAGGCTTTTTATTCAAAAACTGATTTTTAAACGGTATTTTTGTGTTTTTGGCAAAAAAAGAAAATAAAGCATTTCCTAAAAGTCTTTTTGTTGTAACTTGGCCAAAATAAGACGCATAGCCATAAAAGTGAATGTTTTTTACAGCTGGTGACCTATAAAATCCATCCCGATCGAAATACAAACAATTCAGTTTGTTTTGATATAAAAACACGATTTTTAAAGTCGTTTTTTTTTAAAATGGCCAATTTTCGCATTTTTGATAAGGGGGTACATCATCATTTTTTGCCAAAATTTGAAAACCTGGAAAAATTTTAGCTGTAAATGCCATTTGATTGGAAATTTTATGACGAATCCAACGATGCATGACACTCCAGCTTCTGACAATTATTTCCCAGGCTTTTTATTCAAAAACTGATTTTTAAACGGTATTTTTGGGTTTTTGGCAAAATAAGAAAATAAAGCATTTCCTAAAAGTCTTTTTGTTGTAACTTGGCCAAAATAAGACGCATAGCCATAAAAGTGACTGTTTTTTACAGCTGGGGACCTATAAAATCCAACCCGATCGAAATACAAGCAATTCAGTTGGTGTTGATATAAAAACACGATTTTTAAAGTCGTTTTTTTTAAAAATGGCCAATTTTCGCATTTTTGATAAGGGGGTACATCATCATTTTTTGCCAAAATTTGAAAACCTGGAAAAATTTTAGCTGTAAATGCCATTTGATTGGAAATTTTATGACGAATCCAACGATGCATGACACTCCAGCTTCTGACAATTATTTCCCAGGCTTTTTATTCAAAAACTGATTTTTAAACGGTATTTTTGGGTTTTTGGCAAAATAAGAAAATAAAGCATTTCCTAAAAGTCTTTTTGTTGTAACTTGGCCAAAATAAGACGCATAGCCATAAAAGTGAATGTTTTTTACAGCTGGTGACCTATAAAATCCATCCCGATCGAAATACAAGCAATTCAGTTGGTGTTGATATAAAAACACGATTTTTAAAGTCGTTTTTTTAAAAATGGTCAATTTTCGCATTTTTGATAAGGGGGTACATCATCATTTTTTGCCAAAATTTGAAAACCTGGAAAAATTTTAGCTGTAAATGCCATTTGATTGGAAATTTTATGACGAATCCAACGATGCATGACACTCCAACTTCTGACAGGCTTTTTATTCAAAAACTGATTTTTAAACGGTATTTTTGTGTTTTTGGAGAAATAAGAAAATTAATCATATCCAAAGAGTCTTTTTGTTGTAACTCGACCAAAATAAGACGCATAGCCAAACCGGTAACAGTTTTGTACAGATCGCGACCTATAAAATCCATTCCGATCGAGTTATTAAAAATTTTATTTTGTTTTAATATAAAAACGATTTTTCAAAGTCGTATTTTCAAAAATGGCCTATTTTTGAATTTTTTATAAATTCGTTTTTTGCCAAAATTTGAAAAACTGAAAATTTTATAACGAATCCAACAATATATGACATTCCATCTTTTGACCATTGTTTTCCAGGGCCTTGATACAAAAACTGATTTTTTAGGTGCTTTTTTTAGGTTTTTCGAGATATGTGAAAAAAAAATTAAATTGCTTTTAATTTAAGTATTTTCTGCTCCTTAAAATATATTTTCCATGCCAATTTGTAACTTGTCTTTGCTAAAGTTAGTAAAAAAGTTGTTAAATAACTTTTCGAACAGCTCTCACCTTGGTTTGCATGGCACCGGGATGATCGGGCACCAAGTAGATGCGCACAAATGTGTCCAGAGACTCGACGCTGAAGGGACAAATGAGTCCCTTGGCCTCCAGGACACTAACAGTCAGTTCCATGCCCTCATTGCTAATGCTGTTCCTTTGAGAATGTGCAACATCTTTAGGATATTAAATTAAAAAGGTGTGTTTCTTAGCTTACTTATCGTAGTTGAGGCCAATGCACAGGTAGCCAGTTATCTGAGTGTAGGGCTGATCCAATTGATCCAGGAACAAGGTCGAATCCGAGGTGACCGAATCACAGGAGACGGCTCTTTCCAAATGGATGCCGTCCATCGAACCCACCACCGATCCCGATCCCGAGCCAGAGTCCAGCGAGATTTGTGAGCTGTTCCGCCTGCCCAAACCCAATCCCATGCCCATGCCCATGCCCAAACTCAAAGTGGAGTCCTGTCGCAGCAGGGAGCGTCCAAAGGACCAGGTGCCGTTGCCATTTCCATTGCCATTGCCATGTCCGTGGACATGATTGAGCCCATTGCCATTGGCCATGGAACTGTGACCATTGACACCGGAATTGAATTTCCGGAAGAGATAGTCCTCGGAAATGGTCTTTTGGAGGAGGTGCGGTCCCTTTACGCGTTGCGTGAGTCCAGTAAAAGGATTCGTGGTGTTGTGCATTTTCAGCAGTCTGCTGGACAGACTGTGGCTTTCCACAAAGGGATTGCCATTGGCATTGGGGGTTTCCGTTGCCGTGGCCGTTGCCGTTGCCATTGTCGGAGTGGTAGTATTTGTAGTAACAGATGCATTTAGAGGATCCGAAAGGGGCACCTGTTCCGTGGACTCGCACAGAAAGGGATTGGTGCTGGAGTTTCTCCGTTTTAGAGCTGGCGTTTTCCTCTCACTCTCCAGAGACGGGGTCACCAGGGTCTTTTCCTGATTGATGCCCTGCTGCAAGGACACCTGTCGCTTGGCAATGGGTCTTGGTATGGCCGTGCCCGATAAATTCACGGTCACGGAGGAGGAGAGCCTGGCCGGAGGTGGTGCCTCCAGTGGCTGGGGCAGCACACCGCCCATTGAGCCACCCATAGATGCGTCTTTGGAGCCTCCCACAGAGCCACCATTGGATCCATTCTTAAATCCACCCACAGATCCACCATTCAGACGCAGGCAAGAGCGACGTTCCTGGTCGGCTGAGGTCACCTCGGTGACCTCGTTCACCTGGCTAAAGGAGAAGGTCACCGTTTTGCCATTCGGAGTGGGAGCCGGTCGAACCGGCGGTGGCGGAATGTAAATGTGCCCCGAGGGCGGGTTCCACATGGGCGTGGTCTTCTCCAGGACGCTGGAGCTTCCGGTTATCGACACCGCTCCTCCTCCGCCTCCGCAGCCGTTCATCAGGAGCAGGTGCGTCTGCTGCGAGCGGTTGAAGTCCTCCTTGTCGATGGTGTCGAAGCGCTTGAAGCTGCCGCTGGTGCTCAGCAGGAACTCCGATCCGGATTGAATCTGCCAGTGGTAAGTGGATTATATCATTAAATCTATCTATCTTATTATATAGAAAACATTTACCCAAGTCTTTTGGGACTAAAAATTATTCTTATGATAAGTACATATCTATTTCAATATCAATTATTGTTAGCTGCCATTGAAATCACTAATGAACCTCGAAATAAATCCACCGAACTTCTTTCAATTAAAATATATAGTTTCATACTTATCGCCTCCTTTATAGGTAATATCAAAACTAAATTCCTATTCTTATATTTAGCTCAGAAATGTGTTGTTTAAAATAAGAATAATAAAGCTACATTTTTTCTTCATCTGATAGTTACTAATCTGTCAGTATTATTATGTATTAGTTTATGATAAGGACCACAACACTTACACTTGCCATATAGCCATTGGCATGGAAGAGCTTCTGCTTGTGGTTGGACAACCCGATCTTCTCCTCCTTGCTGGACCGCATCCGCATCCAGTTGGCGGCCCTCGGACCAAGACAGTGGCAGGCGAACAGGATGCCCAGGATCAGAACCGCCACTAGCAGTAGCGCCAACGTAATGGTGAAACTCATCATCTCCGTGTCTCACTACCAATTCTCATACATTTCTTTGTTTTCCTGCGGGAAGGGAGGGAAATCAATGTTTAATATACACTCCTCTTAAAATTATAACAGAAATCTCTCTAATTTTTAACTTTTCGCCAATATTTTAAATATAAATCCTTTTAATTGAAAATGAGTCCCCAAATTCTAAATCATCAAGCAATCATAACATGGAAGAACAAATTTTTTGAACTAAAAATTTTAAATCGGATGAAAAATTAATTTCTTTTCGGATCCAATATTTATCTTACTGTTTTGGTTCGAAAGCTACAACAGTTTTACATTTTTCAAAATTACCAATCAAAGTGCATTTTCTTTTATTGCCTGAACAACTAGAGTAGATAACAAAATGACTCATCTTTCCGCAGTTTATTTGCCTCTAAAAACGAAAATAAAACCCAAATGTTTTCATTGGAAGCCGATGACGATGGCGAGAGGTGGGACTGGTATTTTAGATATTTCGAAAACACTTTCATCTCGCATCGCTTTACACTGAGCAATTTGCCTCATCATTGTGGACGTGGGGCGCTTTTTTTTTGTTTTTGGGGGGCGGGGACAGGTGCTTGTTCTCGTTCTCAATCACAAACTTTGACAGTTTTTCAATTGAATTTGTAACCGAAGACGCAGCATTGCCACTTCAAAGCGGAGGCGACCGACAGAGGTGATGGGAAATGGTGGGGAAAATGGAAAAGGGGGCCCTATGACAATAGATCACTTTCAATGACAGCCCTCTCGTCCAAACTCTTTATCATCCATGTTATCATCCGCTCTGAACCGACGTCGTCGGTCACGAAAGGAGCTTAGGTAACTTGGGACCTGGGACTTATGACGGATTACAGTCAAATCTGAATAAGCCGAACACGACAAAATCTTCGACTTACAAAATATTGTTTTGTACGATAGTGTTTCAGAAATCTTGTTGGCCTTTAAGCTTAAACAATAAAAATATACTTATATGCACATATACTACCCTCAATAAAATATTAACTTAGTCCCTATTAAATGACTTTATAAAATATTATTTGACCTGATTTTTAATTTTTAGACAAAATAATAAATATTTAAAAATTCATAATAATATTATAGCAACAGGTTTTATAATGTAATAAGAATTTCAACATAGTATGGTGTCACTTTATTTTGCAAGTACATTAAATGAAAGTGTTTGCTAAGCCTTGGTATGTACATCTATATTTTTCCCATTTACTATCCGCATTAATTTGCCCACTAATGACACGCTGCATCGCATCCAGTTCATTGAGCTGGGCATTAAATCGCTTTAACTACATGCCTCGCCGTAAATGCATTACATTTAAGTGCGAGGGCGGAGAGTCGCCCATTTGATACCCTGTAGTGCATATTTCGGCCCATTAAAGTAGCTAAAGTTGGCAAGAGCGCATACTTACCTGAGTACCTTGTGCACACCCTGTAAATAACTAGTGTAATGAGCGCTTAATTTGACGCTCACACTCGTAGCCTACACTAAAAAATAAAGCAATAATCCTGGTAGATCTTTTCGTCAGAAATAAGACTAAAAATATTAAAAACATTATCGAAAAGCTATACGAATAAGCTAAATAAAATATTTAAGAACATTTGTACTACTTATTCTTAGATATCATAATATGTAAAATATTGTGTTAAAATGAAAATGTATTTCAATAAAAATGGTAATATGTATGCTAGCTTTTAGGACAGAATTTAGCTTAAAACATTTAATTTTCATTTCATGTTAAGGGAATACAAATGTGACTTTATAAAATAATTGTGAATAAGGACCATTCTTTTCAGTGAAATTGTAAGTATTTTCAAGCTTAAACGGCTATTAAATTCTGGCCAGTGTAGTGCCAAGTTGGTAACACATCTTCGTGGTCGAGGAGAACTTTTAGCCCGGCAGCAGCCAGCAGAAGTGTCACTTTTCATTAACCTACTGCGAGGTCATTCCACTGGCTTTGCTCTGTCTTTTGTTGCTGCAGCCCTCCGATGTCTGATATATATATATATACTATACTATACTACACTCTACTATATATACATATATATATATATATATACAGTAGATTGGGCCTGAAAGTGTCGTCCCGCATTAGCCAATAAGCAAGAGGGCTAGTGACCTCTTTTTGCGGCCTCAAAAATGGGACAAACTGAAAAATTAACGCTAGTCACGTCAGCGAGAGACAACTGTAGCCCTTAGCAATTTTTTTATTTTGCTAGAAAGCAAAGAAAGAAAAACAGAAATCAAAAAGTTTTTACTGTGAAAGGGAGAGTGAAAAGCAGGCGAAAGCCAAAGTAATCAAAAATGTGGAAGTGCAGGAGATGGAGGCCCGAGATAAAAGGCCAAAAATCTAGAGCAAACACTCACACTCAGACGCACAATCGCAGCTCATTTGAATTTTCCTGGGTTTTCTTGTAGTTTTCCAAAACCAAAAAAGAAGAGCAAGCACTCACCTGATTTTTTGCTAGTTTTAGATTAAAAGTATTCGATGCTCTATGGCCACTTGCATCAAGCAATGTTGTAGCACTTTGATGTTTAACAATAAAATAAATAACAACAAGCAGCAGCGCTCCGGAAAGAGGAAGAGCAGGAAGCGGAAGTGCGGGCGGAAAATTCGCTCATTTTCGTAGACCGTTCGGTGCCAAAACTCGCGGCCAACTGGGAGAAAACTGGCAAAACAGCAACAACTTTGGTCCACTTTCCGCAAATTGCACTCTCTCCTCGAAATTTCCTTTTTTCTGCACTTTAAGCTTTGTTTTTGAAAAAAAGCTTCGGTTAAAATCTTTGGTTCAAAGCTTGATTTCGTCCCATTTTCCGTTTTGGGACAAGCGCGTGCCATAAGGGATGTTTATGGCATTGAACGCCATAATAATATAGCAGGTCAAAAGCACTCGGGCATTCTATAATCTAACTATAAAAAATACAATAAATTAACCATAAATGGGTGATGCGAAGTCCCAAATAAATGCAACTCACCACGCAAAAATTGTTTATATAGTAAGTTGTTGATTATCTAAATAATATCAAAGTTTAAAGAAAAAGTATAAAGCAAACTTTTCAATATAGATTACACTTTATTAAATAAGTGTAAAATTGAAAAAATAAAATATTGCACTATGTAATGCTTTTAAGAAATAAACTTTAATAATAAATAACATTTCACGACAAATTTAATGCATATTCTCAAGTTCTACTTTATTTATTTTATCGTCGGAAAATCAACGCACTTACAGTGTTAAATACAAATGTTCACTTAATCAATATTATATTGTTATTATCAACAAAAAGACTATTTACAGTTTTAAATGCAAAATTGCGAATAATTCATGCACAATGGTTTTGGTTATAATTACCATATAAAATCAACTTAAATACAAAAACACACATGATGTCTCGCTAATAGTAATAATATATTTTATTGAAAAACTAGTAGCTATTTAAAAAATGTTTTTTTTTTGAAATGATATTTTCCAGTTCTCTCGTGTCACGAGAGCATCTTTTTCTAATTTCTTGGCTAATGCGGGGAAAACCAGCTTGGAATGCATATAACTAAAAGCTTTTCGTTATACAGGTACTAGGATGATGCAACGGACCTTAAGTTTTCTAGGTACTCAACAGGGGTACATGGTACAGCAGTCGCTAACTCTGTTAGCCAACTGTACCTAGCTACAAAATCAAACCCCAACTCTGTTATGCCCCAATAACAGTGACACTTCGTGCACTTTCCCCACTTTCTCCTCACTCTTTGGAAGGGGTGACATTTTGTGGATCGAAAGCTTTCGAACAGTTTGACCTTACTCAATGTTACTGCACTCCCTAATCCTGGAATTTTAACATTTGCCGAACCGATTTCGTTTTAAGCGGATTAAGAAAAAAAAATAAAGGGAGAAAAAAAAAAAGATAGAACAGAACAGAATAGAACAGACAAGAGCGGGTCTTAAAAACCTGAATAATAGATAGATACACACACAAGGGTCGGCCTTTCGGCCGATAATGGCTTTAATTCGTGGTCAATCTAGCGTGACTCCCCAAAGGATGCTCGGCGCGAAATGTTTTTACATCTCTCAGCCCCCGGAGCGGCTAATAAATTTCCATTTTGCAACTTGCCGCATTTTGATTTTCGGCTATTACGCAATTTTTGGCACACACAGGCAAGCAGGCAGGCCAATGAAACGAATAACGTAACGAAAAGTCCCACTGCGCCAAAAATGCGCCGAGTGATGATTAAAAAAGTACACACACCACACCGCACCACAGCGCACCACACCACACTTTCCCATTTCCACTTACCACTTACCACTTACCAGTTGCCACTTTTGCCGTGGATAATTTTCGCAGAATTTCACAACAATTCCCACTGACAGCAGCAATCAGCGGATGGTGTTGGCCAAATCAAATTGCTTTCAATCGACACTTTTGCGATGATATTTCCTATCCACTGGACAAGGACGATAGGGATACCGGATGGGTCTGGATCTGGATCTGGGTCTGGGTCTTCTCGATGCCTGTTTCTCGACGCTCGATGCTCGATTGTCGGTCAAATCTTAGTCTGCAAAACCGCATTCGGTCTAAAATGAAACAATAAAAAAGAGTGGCAAAAGGTTTTTCATTCTTTCTTTTGTTGTTTTTTTTTTTTTTTTTTTTTGGGTGCGGCGGCAGCGTTAAGGTCTAAATTGAAATAAAATGAAATGAAATGCAACGGAATGAAATAAAATTAAAAAAAAAAATAAAAACAATGGGCATTGGGCATTGGCATTCCCGAGAGTTGAAGAGTCAAAGGCAAAGCAAATAAATTGTGCAAATTGTGGTAAATTGCGACTAACACAAACAGCAACTATGTTTGAGTGCTTCTGTATATTCTGTATAGCATGTATAATAATGCCAAATGCCGAAATGATTTCAAATGCAATTTCAATTGAATTTGCAAACAGGCTTTTCCTGATGCTTCACCCGCTTTCCCGCCTTCCCGACATCCCGCCTTCCCGCTTTTCCTCCCCTGATCGGGCATTACGAAAAAGTTTTAGGCCATACAAATAACGGCAAAAGACCCTCCCATCGAATGCCTATCAACGAGCCCGTCAATTCATGGCAAAATATTGCACAAATGTTAAGAGACAGGGGGCGGTAAAAAGGGGAAAATTCAAGGGGGGATGGGTTGGCTGTGAAAGGGGTAAACACGAGGGAAAAGCGGGTAAAAACATGGGAAACAAAATGGATAGGGAAGGATATAGCAGCTACGGCAGATGCAGCAGCCTGCATGAAAACTCGTTGGCCAACAAAGTTTTCCACCCCTCTGGGCCTTCTGCCTTCCAATCCCATTACCATTCCAGTTGGCAACCCCCAAAGCCCAATCCCCCACCACTTCCAGTTCCCGTTCCCTTTCCCGTTCAATTGACAGTCCAATTAACCGGGAATTACCCGAAGTATGTGGGCCCGTGGAAGTAAAAGTAATCCCTATTCAACGTCCCGAGGAGTCCCATTTATCGCAGCTCAACTGGGCCCCTTTAGAAGTGTTGTAATTACATAAGCACTGCTATTTTTTTTATATTTTATTTTGCTCTACTGTTTGCAGTTTGCAATTTGCTTTCCCCTCTGCCACCCTCCTCCAAGCGAAATTGTTATAATTACAAATAAAATGCTTTAAATGCAGCGCACAACATTTTTTTTCATCAACTCAGTTGAGCGTAATTAAAATGGCACAACACTTTAAATATATCCAAATGGAGTTCATTTTGCTTTACGCCCACGGTTCAATGAACTTCGCCTGAGATTTTAACCAACTGCACAGACATTTTTTCATCTCCCTTTTGTGTTGCCATAATTATAAATAAATGTTTTTAAAGGAACTGTAGCTGTAGCTGTATAAGCACTGGAATTTGTGCAGCTTAAACATATGTATATATATACGACAACTGGGTTTATTTGGTCCGGCTTGCAAAGATTCAATAAATTTTGAATGACATTTAAATTGACGTTTATCCCACTTCTGTGTGTTATAATGAAAATGTTATATTTTGGGTAAACTTTCATGTGTAACTCTTAATATGTTTTTCTTGGTTTTCCATCACGAATAAATACAAACAAAAAACAGTTTACCTTGTCCCGTTTACAAAGGTTCATTGAACTCTAATTTAATAACATTCATCTTTTTTCAGTGTCGACAGCAGGAACCTTTTTTTATTACTTCCGAATTTAATCAATATACGGAAGTTGCGGCCATCAAAAAAGTTGCAAATTTAATTTTCCAAGGAAAGGAAAGTAAGTAATTTAAGTTTTTTCGCACAAACTTTGGGCAAGAAATAAACTGTCAAAGAAGTGGATCCAGAATTTATCACTCAATCTTATTTACGTAATGTAATCAACGTTACGAAAAAAGACTTGCACATGTTGTTTTATGGCCTACCAACATTTTGCGCCCGAAATAATTACCCAGGAAACATAACATACATATCTCAAGAAATAAAATTTGTAGGTACCTCTATTCAAAGGTGTTTGTAATCCAATAAGTCTGATGGAATGTCCGTACATTTTGCCCATTGCGAACACAAAACACACTCCCTGTTGCAAATGCCTTTCCCCTTTTCAATTTTCCTCAAAACTAGTAATGTAAGTTTTCCGCCGCTCAAAAGCAAATGAATATAACACAAAAAAAAAAAAAAAATTCCGTAAATTCAATGACGAGCCCACATAACACAGCCCCATATATTTTTTAAAGACCCAGAGAAAGCCGGCTCTATGATAAGCTTTCAGGGCATAGGCGGGATTAGTTTCCATTCATGATAATTCCGTTCTTTTTTTTTGTATTTTGTATTTTTGCCCCCCGTTTTTTGAGCTCGTTGCTCGTTTTTGCGTTCAAACAGTGGCACCCGTTTGCCGGGCTTACCTTTTGCCACACGGCACAGACAGGGGGTTAAGGGTCTTCCCCTGTTCCGCCCCTATAGCGCCCCTTCTTCGCCCCCGCCCCCCTCTGGGGCCTTCATTATAAGCGTAATCTAGTCATCGTGCCTTCAAACTCGTCCATTGATGCAGTGACTCTTTGTGTCTTTCATTGCCAGGCGCACACACATATGCAGGCGGAAAAAAATATGCAACATGCGGCGAATGCGGGTTAATCTGGTCTTATTTCAGATTTTTCATAAAGCCGGCTTAATATATTTTTAATTGGTGTTTTCTGCAATATTTAAGTAGTTCAATGTACTCCCCCCTCCGCTCAATATGCTCAATGCTTCTGATAATGCTTTATTAATGGTTTCATGGTTTGCACAATGCAAACATTTAAACATTATACCACATAAAAGCCACGTGCCAACACTGCGTATGAGTGATGGAAATAAAATTGGAATTAACTTAACGTAGAACTGTAGTGAGGGCACACGAGTTTAAATATTTTGCAGCGTATATAATTGCCAGTTTAACAATGGTCTACTGACCTTTCAATACAAAAAAAATATATATATATACATACATTTAAATAGTTTAGAGATTAATTTAATGATTTTTTACTAACCTAACCTAATTTAATTGATTTAATTATGTCAAAATAGACCTATTAAATTTTTTTTTGGGTTTTATCACTATGTTCCTTTAAATCGTCATTGAGTTATGGGTAGCTACGTTGGCTTTTAATTACAAAAAATTGATACTCG